GATAAAGGTTCAGCTATGGAAACATGCCAATACAAACATCGAAATGGCACACCTATGTTTCTGATGAAGCAGCTTTTTGATTCAAAACAAAAAAATACTGAATGTCACCTCAACCTAACAATGTGAGTGCGATGTTTATGAAGGCAGAAGAAAATTTGTGTGATTTGTAAACATCGAATCCACCAGATAACAGATGCCATCTGCTTCATGATCTCCTGACCTGATTTTTCTTTAGACACAATCCAGATTCACCTACTTTGTATAACAGTAATAATCCCTGAGTTTGATACAGCGCCTTTCAGGGGAGGATGCCTCAAAGTATTTCACAAGATTCACAGTAAAGTGCAGTGACTGTATTTTGTAGGTGAATGTGCAGCAGCCAAGTTACCACAGCAATGTCACACAAATCAACTGGGATTTTTAATTGGGAGACTGAGTTCATTTACAACCTCAAAGAACTCCAATACATTTGTTGCGCATTATTTTATCCCTCTCCCGCTCCTCACTTCTATAAGTCGTGACAGTTTCTCAACAGTAACAATTTATCAGCACCACCAATAGTACTGGGAGAGCTGCACTGGAGCGTCAGCCTACACTCTGTGAAGACCTGAACACACAACCATCTGATCCCAAGGCAAGAGTGCGACCAAACGGAACCAACCTTTGCTGATATGGCTCCGTCCAGCAACCCTCTGACCACAGGAACACAATATGTTTGTGACAGATTACATTGTAGTCATTAATCCTACAGTGTGAGTATGTCACACAATCTGGTGTTTCTAGCATCTGTGCATGCGTGGGTGTTGGGTGACATTGGGATTTAGCTCAGAATACGATGCCCCTCTGCACCACCACCCATTCACACACACCCCACATGGTGGCTGAATATCATCATCCTCTGAAACTCTCTTTCAAATTACTTCCCTTTCAAATCAAAAAAAGTCTCTTTCAAATACTTTCCAAAATTAGGGAAGCAAGGTGTGTCCCTCCAAGGAGTGAGTGCACATTCCATTCCAATACATGTGGATGTACACATGCGATGGGATCATAGAATCATACAGCACAGAAAGAGGCCATTCGGCCCATCGCATCTGCGCCAGCTCCTAAAAGAGCAATCCAACTCAATCCCACTGGCCCGCTTCCTCTCCATAGCCCTGCAATCCTGTCCTCCCCAAATACCCATCTACTTCTCTCTTAAAAGTTCTTATTGAATCGGCTTCCACTACCCTTTCAGGTAATGCATTCTAGATCCGAACAACTCACTGGATGAAAACATTTTTCCTAACCTTACCTGTTTCTTTTAACAACTATCTTAAATCGGTGTCCCCTGAGGGACACCACTACACATCTCCCTCCAGTCAGAAAAGCAACCGTTTACTACCACTCTCTGCTTTCTGTCTCCTAGCCAGTTCTGGATCCATGTTACCACAGTCCCTTTAATACCGTGGGCTTCTATTTTTTTTAATAAGTCTCTTATGTGGCACTTTATCAAATGCCTTTTGAAAATCTAGATAAACTACGTCTACTGCACTACCTTCATCCACCCTCTGTCACTTCATCAAAAAATTCTATTAGTTTTGTCAGACACGATCTGCCTTTAACAAATCCGTGTTGACTGTCCTTTATTAAACAATATTTTTCTAAGTGAGAATTTATATTGTCCCGGATTATAGTCTCCAGAAGTTTCCCTACTACTGTTGTTAGGCTGATAGGCCTGTAGTTCTCAGGTTTATCCTTCTGCCCCTTTTTGTACAGGGGAGTAAATTTTACAACCTTCCAGTCCTCTGGCACCACTCCAGTGTCCAAAGAGGATCGAAAGATTGTGGCCAGAGCCTCCGCTCTTTCCACCCTTGCTTCCCTCAGTAACCAAGGATGAATCCCGTCTGGACCAGGTGACTTATCTATGTTGAGCACCAACAGCCTTTTTAGTACCTTCTCTCTGTTTTTTTTTATCATATCCAATTTCTGTTCACATGCCTGCAATATTGTGGCATTGGTTGCACTGTCTTCTTTTGTGAGGACAGTTGCAAAGTACTTATTTAGTACATCAGCCAAGCCCTTTGCCTCAACAAGAAGATTTCCACTTGGGTCCCTAATTGGACCCACCCTACTTTTGACTAACCTTTTACTCTTGATATGCTTATAAAATACCTTAGGGTTCCCTTTTATATTTTCTGCTAATCTTTTCTCGTACAATCTCTTCACCCTTCTTATTTCCCTTTTCACTTCTCTGTACTTCCTATAATCTCTTTGATTATCCTGTGTGTTTTGGACCTGACATTTGTCATAAGGCTCCTTCTTCTGTTTTATTTTAATCCCAATTTCCTTAGTCATCCAAGGAGATTTGACTGTCCTACCTTTCCCCTTTGTGGGAAAGTATTTGCTCTGTCCCCGAACTGTTTCCTCCTTGCATGGAACTTCGTTTGGTTTGGATCCTCTCAAGCATAGTGATAGGTTTCTGCATGTGTCAGACACCCGGCTGATCAAAACAAAGCAATCAAAAACATTAAAAAAAAACTCTTCAATCACGCCTTTGGTCAGCACTTTTAAATGTTGTTTCTGTTTGGCAAGTGTGAAAGGTGCGAATATGAATTACGAGCTGTTCTTACATTCTTTCCTCCGAAGCAGAATATTACCACCATCTGCTGGTTACATTAGGTACAGCAACTCAAAAGCACTCAACACAACTTGGGCTGGTGCATCCACTTACCAATTAGAGTTACATCACTTCACTGCAAGACCAGCGCAGGCCCGAAGGGTCCGGTTCCATTGCGCACTACATTTGAGGCCTGGAGATCTGCCAAACACTCAACATTGCTCACCAAGCAACGATAAGAACTTGATTTATATAGCATCCCTCACACGGGAGCATTCGGGAGTGTAAGGAGGGGGGAATGGCAGGAGTCATGGCGAAGGGAGAAGGCGGTTTAGATAGTCTTGGTGGGGTGGAAGGGGACATGGGGGTGGGGGAGGACAATGCAGCCAAGCGGATGTTTTGAATTTTTGAGGTGTTGAAGACTAAGATCTCTTCGCGCTTGGCATTTAACGTGAGGATAGAGTGGGCTTGAGGCGGTGCACGGAGGAGATGATGGACAGTGGGAACCAGTGTCTTTGGGTTGTTTTTGGTCTCTGGGATGATTTTGGAGTAAAAGTCAGTTTTGGCCTGTGAAAGGGAGAGGCAGTGGGTGAGGAGGAGCTCGAGCCACAGCTGGCGGTGAATCCTGAGGCTGGATTTCTGCCATCTGCGCTTGAGCATCCGGGTTTGTGTTTTGAGTAAGTGGAGGTGACCGTTGTACCAGGGGGAGCAGGTGGGCTTGGGAACAACCCTGGATTTCAGGGGAGCCAGGGAATTGAAGGTTATGGACATAGTCCAGTAGCTTGATGGCCGCAGCAGGATTGCTGTGAGTGGAGGGCCAGAGGGACCAAGGAAGAGAGGACATTTGTGAGAGACTCAGGGGGAAACTTCTTCCAGGGGCGGAAACAAATAGTAGAGGGTCTGGAAGAGGGGAGGGGAATGTGGGAAATGAGGAAGTGGTCCGAGATGGCGATGTCCATGATAGACAGGTCGGAAATGTCAAGGCCATGGGTGATGACGAGGTCAAGGGTGTGGCCACACAATCACAGACAGAGAGACACACAATCAAGTGAATCACAGACACACACCCGACAAATAGAAGACACACACTCAGACACAGCGAGAGTCACACTCAGACATAGAGAGGCATTAATTCACATAAAGACACAGAGAGAGATGCACTCACAGACACTCAGAGACATAGAGACACACTCTCACAAACACACATACAGAGGAGAGAGACACACAGACAATCTCAACAGCGTGGCTCGGGGGAGGAGATGCATGGGAATGGCGTGGGTGGGAGGGAGTTCGCGGGCATGGCACGGGGTGGGGATGCATTGGCGTGGCGTGGGGGGGACACGTGGGGTGCAGAGGGGGTGGCGCGGTGGGGGGGGGAGGAGTGAGAGTGGCGCAGGGGAGTGCAGGGCTATATCAAATGCAAGGATTATTATTATTATTATTATTATAAACAAGGTTATTCTCATCTGTTCTTCGGATGAGATGCTAAACCAAAGTCCTGCCTACTGTTCACGCGGACATAAAAGGTCCCATTTTGAGCACTGCATGAAAAAAAAGGGTGTTTTTCTCCCGGTGTCCTGGTTGATAATCCCCCAGATAAAATCGGCAATTACTTCATGGCTGTTTGTGAGACACAGCCGTACGCAAATCGGCTGCCAATTTTGCCTACAAACTAAATGGCCACGACACTTTATAATATATTCTGTGAAGTACTTTTGACACATTCCCTGATGTGAAAGACATTATATCAAATGTAAGGATCGTTATCATCATTAATTGAGGGGTGCATAGTATATTAGCTATTCAGGCTCTCTCCCCACCCCCCACTCCCACCCCATCTGACTTCTAAAGTTGGCTAAAAATCTACCTCTTTGACCACACTTAAAACCAGCTCCCCTCTCCCAACCTGCCTTATGCAGAACAAGGGGCACCATTTTAAAATTAGAGCGTGAAATCAGGAAGAACTTGTTCACCAAAGGATAGTGAAAATGTGGAACTCCCCCCCCAAAAAGGCTGTGGATGCTGGATCCATTCAAATTTTCAAGACTGAGGTGGGTAGATATTTGTTATCAAGGGAAATGGAGCAAAGGCGGGGAAATGGAGTTGAGGTACAGATCCGCCTTGATTGAATAGAATGGTGGAACAGGCCTGATGGGCTGAGTGGCCTACTCCTGTTCCTATGTCCAAAACACACAGTCCTTGTGAAGCGCTCAGAGGCGTCACCTGAAGTGAAGGATTCAGCACTCCGTGATGTTACCCTACGTGAAGGTGCTAAACAAGTGAAGTTACTATTACTTTTGTGATGGGTGACGTACAAGTAGTTGTTACCAATTCAGACTGTGTTGTGGTTCAGGCCGACTTGGTCAGGGACAATCTGCTCAGCAGTCGGCCTGTGCTCACTTACCCAGCATGCTGGCGTGCTTCAGGAACTTGAAACTGGTTTCGAATGTCATCTGCTGGAGTGGCGAGGCGTTGGACTCTATCCCAATGCGATTGAAAGGCCTGTACACACCACTAAGGCACATGTAATCCGCCACCAGCGAGAGGTGCCGAGGGTCAACCTCAATACCTGCATGTCCAAAGCAACCGATTAATGCAAAGCTCATCCAGATTAGCACTTTTAACAGCATGGTTTAAGCCCTTACTTGGTAGATGGTAGGTACAAGAAACTCTCTGCGAGCTTCCTGGTGGGCAACACAGCTCAGCATGAAATGGTTGCCCCAAACTGTGCAGTGCAATCTCATTAGAGAAATTTGGGTGAAGAACGCTCCTTTGAACCTATTTGGGGAGAAATCCCACCAGGAGTGAAATTTACTCCATTTATGTAGCATTTCAGAGTATTCACAGTTAGGCAAATTGTTGGATTCAACTTTGAAGCCAGCTTTCATTTCATGCTTAAAAAGGTATTCACCTGCAAAATAGTCAGTGAAACAGACAACTTACCATAAACAGCGAAGACGTCTTTGATTTCTTTCTCTATTACCCTCAGGGCAGCTTCAATGCCATATGTATTGGCCATGGCGTGGATGTCATTGGAGTACAAACTGCGCACGTCTAAGATCTGAACAGCGGCAGAAAGAACGATAATCAGCGTCTCAGCAGCAAACGAGAGCCCGAGCCTCAGGAACATTCTCCACGAGTCAGAACAAGAGCAATTACTTTGCTCACAATCCTTTGCAGCGCTCAAAGTAAACAACTTGCATTTATGCAGCATCCTTCACGTAGGATAACGTCTTGCAGTGCTTCACAGTGGTGAGGTTAGATGCTAAGCAGAGGAAAAGAAGGAGACCATAGGCAAGGTCAAAGAGATAGGTTTTAAGGTGGGATTTAAAGATAGTTATAGAGGCTGTGAGGGATAGAGGCAGGGAGGTGCAAAGGTTATGGGCATAGTGGCTGAAGGCTCATGGGGATATGCAGCTAACTGTAAGCTAAGCAGAGAGGTTAAGCAGATAAGTGGAGCTCAAGCAGATCGGTGAGATAGGGTGGTGTCAGGGCATGAAAGGAATTTGCTTTTTTAAAAAAAAGCTTTTATCTCGCCCCAAAGTTTAGCAGGAAGCTCCTCTGGGTATTGATATCCCCCCAATAAAAAAATGCATTCGGTGCATTTTACTAAACACACCCGTGCTCGACCCAGGAAGGAAGAAGCTTTGCTATACATGGCATGAATCCCTGCAGGAACAACCAAAAAGAGGTTGCACACTGCACACTTCCCTACCCTCCAATGCACACTATCTGTGTCAGCCTGGCTCAGTTGGCAACACACTCATCTGAGAGTCAGAAGGTTGTGGATTTCAAACCGAGACTTGCATATTCTAGTCTGACACTCCAATGCAAGGATGGGGGAGCGTCGCATTGTCGATGACCGCGTCCTTCGAATGCGTTAAAGCTTGGTCTGAGGCAGCAATAAACCAACAAAAAAATAAACCAGGCAAACTGGAAGCTGGGCTATATTGCTAAATCAGTTGAGATCAGGTCTCCGGATGTCATACTCAGGCTGTACAGTGCTCTGGTCAGGCCACACCTTGAACAGTAAATACAGTCCTGATCACCGTGACTTAAAGGGGGGTGCTCAGGCCCTAGAGGCAGTGCAGAGAAGAGCATCAAGGATGATCCCCAGTGTTAGAGGAAAGAGACAATGAGCTATGAGTAGGGCCAATAGAAACTTGCAGAAATATTTGCCAAAAATTGCAGGGAAATTTGACAAGTTTTGTGAGAAATTTTTGGGAGTTGATTGGTGCTATTGAGGTACAATTTGTACACTGAGTTACAAAATATGGGGAGTTGATTGGTACATTCTGCCACCGCACAGACACAGAGCAAAACGCACATTCACAAACAGAGAGAGAGAGACACACTCACAGTCAGACACACATACTCACAACATACAGACAAAGGAGAGAGACACAGACGCATTCACACAGAGACACTTATAAACACACACACCCCCAGAGGAGACACACAGAGACAAATACACACCTACAGAGGAGCCAGAGACACATAGACAATCTCAACAGCAGGCCTCGGGGTGTGTGAAGCCCATTTCCCCCTTGCGCTGCCTATGCATGCACGTCCGGAGCCGCTTCGCCCACAGTAGCATAAAGTAAACAGACGGCAGCAGCACGAGCGGCCCGGGGCCAAGGAAACTTCATGTTTTCAGTGGGTGGATGGGTGGGGGGCTGGTGGGAGTGTGGCTGTAGCGGATTCTGTGGAAAAGTTGCAGCCACAGGTCCAGGTAATGAGCAAAAATTAGATAAACTGGGCTGTTCAGTCTTGAGAGAAGACAACTCAGAGGGGACGTCATAGAGGTGTACAACATTTTAAATGGGATTGAAAATTTAAACCCAGGTCAAAAATTTTGGATATATCATGACAGTTGAACAAGAGGTTTCGAGGTTGGAAAGTCAATTTGAGGACAGACACCAGCATGTTTTTCTTTAAGCAGACGGTAATCAATAACTTTTGCCAGGAGAGGTGGTATAGACCACGACACTGGACTCATTTAAAAAGCATCTGATGCAGTGATGGCTGTTTGTGAAACTTTGCAATTCGGAAATTGGATGCTGGAAATGTATCAAATGTAAAATAAAATTTTAATCTCAGCCACAAGGATGCTTTGTCACAGGCAGGTGGGACCTCAGTCAAGGAATCATCCGTACGACAGCATCACTGACATTACAGAGCCTGCTTTCACCTCCTAACCTTCACCCAGCCTCCTGGGGCTGCACTGGAGCTCAGCAGACTCTGGTCTATTTGCCCCAAACTTTGGAACTCCATCCCATAGTCCCTTCATCTCGCTCCCTCCCTTGCCTCCCTCAAGGCCCGTCTCAAGATCCTCCTCTTCGGCTGTGACTTCAGTCACCCTCCTACCCTCACTCTCCTCGCCCTCCACCCCTTCTGATCCCAACTCTCTGGCTCGGGTCCAAATCCCTGACTGTCAAGCACCTTGGGACATCCTCCTGACGTGAAAGGCGCTATACAAATGTAATTTGTTGTTGTTTTTGGAGCATCAGCCTGGGCTGTGAATTCAAATTGCTGGGGTGGAGCTACAACCCACAAGCTCCTGACCCAGAGACCTGAGCCAAGATGACCCGCAAGACAACAAATTACATCTGCAATTTGAAACATTCTGAGCTTCACAGCATCCACCAGCTCAAAAACAATCTTCCTCCCCTCTGCAGTTCAAAAGCCAAAAGTCACGTACAACACCCCTTACGTACATCGTCATACTTGAACATCTCGAAGAGGTTTATTCCCTCAGTGTTCAAAATGAGCTCCTTTTCTCCCTTCTTGTTGCTCGTATTGTTCAAGAGGCAGCGGGTGATTCCTTTAGTTTCATAAACGACTGCATTCTGGGCTAAGGTCATGATCAGAGAGGAGAGGTCAAAGTGCACCTTCATTATAGGAAGCTTCAGTCGAACCTGAGAGGAGGGAAGCCACACATCAAAAATATTCCAAAATGTCAGCGGAGAGCTCACAATTTATTTCTCTGCATTGTGACAATTCACACTTAGGATGAAGTAGGATGAAAGTCTGAGATGTCTGGGATCAGCGAGCAGGGAGGGAGGATAGTGAGTTCAAAGGCGTTGACCAAAGGTACCGTTAAAGAGATAGGGTTGTTAACAGAGACTCGAGGGTGAATGGAGAGTAGGTGTCAGGCAAAGGGATTTGGGGAAAGAGCTGGAGAGGGCACAATCTCTTATGATAATAATAATCCTTGCATTTGAAAAAGCGCCTTATCATGTCTCAAAGGACTGTCATTCTCTGCCACAAACTATTGCTGAGGTAGAACTCAATAATTCTTTTGAAAGGGAATGTGATCAATGCTTGAAAAGGAGGGATTTGAAAGGCTGTGGGAGAATAGGATTAGATCAGGTGGCTCATGAGGAGGAGTGCTGCAATTTCTTATGCTTGTCAGGTCTCTGTGGTGGCTTGTAATCGGGTCCTTATCTCTTACCTCACACCAAAGGCCCTCAGTCGTGTCGTAACTGTAGTCTTCAAGTGCGGAATGTGAATTTACCACACGGTTCACTCTCAACAGGTCCATTGATTGGCTTTTCTCTTTCTTCTTCCTTTTTTCACCCTCAGTAAGAAGGGAAGAATATCCTGTAGAGTCCTGATCGATATCTTCACTTTGGTTACCAGACGGATTATCTTCGTCTTCCATCTCTTCTTGTTCTTCTCCATCGCCTCCGGCATCCTCTTCCTCCTCACTGTCATAATCAACCTGTGACATGATCACACACCATCGCAGGAATTACAAGGGGCAGTTCAGCCAAAGGAACAGCAAAGCTGCTGTTCTTGTTCAACTCCCATCAGTACTTCTTTTTGGTCAACCAAATGTCTCACACAACAACTTGCATTTATATGTATACACACTTCATGCAGGGTAGCAAACAGAAAATCAATCACCATGATTAAGAGTATCCAAACCAGACAAAATTCCACTTATGTATACCAACCAACCACCCATGAAAATATCCCTGTGTCTGGAATGGATCGCGCACACTCTGCTTACTTAATTCTGCAGATGGCAAGAGCCAAGGCTTTGGGGGTGACTGCTGGTATTAAAACCACGTAGTTTGTTATTGAGATCACTGTCAGGCAATCTTTCCGCTGCTTGTCCAGCTGGGACCCCCCTACCAGTTAGGGTTTTGGCTTATAGCATTAACAAGCTGATCAGGAAGAATTCCTGCCCCCAGTGACTGGCTTGTCTCTCTACGACTTCCTGGTGAGCCAGACTGGCTGGCTTGTCATCAGTAGTGTCCTGGAGTACCGTGGACCGGCATGGCTCAGGAACTGGACTACAGAGGATTGACTCAATTCCAACATTCCATCACCAAGCATGTTACCTTGGAGCCAGCATTTAAGATCTCCTGCCAGTCCTGCCAGCTCCCCACTCTAGCTACTCCTCCTTCCTCACTCCCAGAGGTGACATGTACTCCAACAATAAACACTGCATTTTATATAGCATCGACAACATCAAAACATCTCAGAGTAAGTGCAGCACCTATGCACTTGTATTGACATTACACCTGTCAGGAACAACAAATGTAACAAAAGCCACATTGTGTGTTACACTGGTCAGAAACGATTCATTGCCAAACACCGCACTACACACTGATCAGGAGCGATTCATTCCTGCAGCCTGTACCTCCTCCTCCTGTTTTTGCCGTCTTTTGGCTTCTGTGGCATCTGTGTCTCCCTCGTCAGCTTCAGCATCGACAATCTGGGCCTCTTCTTCACCCTCAGCCATATGGTCATCCTGTGACTAAGAAACCGGAAACAAAGCAGAAACCACAAGATCAGTGGCCTGAGGGCAAAATGCAGGATAATGACAGAAAGAATTCAGAAGGTTACACAAAAACTCTGTTAAACAAAGGCTGTCTTTAACCTAGAAGTTTTCTGCTAAAACTGTTGTTATAAGAATTATTTGTTTAATCCTATATCCCTTAGCAGTGCAAGTGGACAAGCCCATAAATAATGCAAATAGATTCCTTGTCCAAGGAAATAGAGCATCATAGGGAAATAGTGTTAAATTTATATAAGACACCACAATTGGAGAACTAAATACCGTTTGCAGCTTTTCTCTCTAAAGTTGAGACAATTGTGAGGTGACTTGATAGAGGTGTTTAAAATAATGAAACTATTCCATAAGATGGATGTTGCAGGGACTAGAAAGGGTATAAGAGAGGGGAATAGGAGGCGTGAGGGCTCATGTGGGTTATAAACACTGGTATAGACTCGTTGGGCCAGTCTTTTCTTGTGTTATTCTCTGTAGCGTATTGGTATTGAGCACTCGCCTCGCAAGTGAGAGGACCTGGGTTTGATTCCCAGGAACGGCGAAAGGTACGGCAAGTTTCCTTATTCCAGACGCCTCTGTTTACCTAGCAGTAAGTAGAAACCCGGTTGTTAAGCCGATTGGAGGATCGCTTCTCCAGGGGTAATAATTCCTTCAAAATAAATAATAATTTAGTCATTCAATCCAGGACTATTTGTGGGCACTCCTGTTCGTAATTGGCTGCCGCATTTCACCTACAAAATATACAGTTAATTCACTTTCCAGTATATTCTGTGAAGCGCTTTGAGATGTCTCAAAGATGTGATAAGGTGCTATATCAAATGCAAGGATTATTATTATCATTCACCTGAACAGACACAGGTGATGCAGGGACTCGATAAAAAAATGCTGACTGCATTGTCAGCTCCTGTATTTTGTTCAAAGGTGAATTACGAAACATACAGATGAGTTACGATAGGCGGCTGGGCGGTGGTTCTCCACTGCTCACCTGGTTCCCATGGCTGTCCTCGTTGTGATCCAAGTCGCGGGCGGTTGCTTTCCTGGTGTTTACCACTTTGAAGGAACCCAGTTTGGCGCTCTTCTTCTTTATGGCTTCGAGGAGCATTCGGAAGAACCTAGCGAGGAGCACAAAAGTAGAACTGTAACCTTCTCTGGCAGCAAAATTCTCTCTCTCTCTCTCCCCACCCCACATACACACACACACAAAACAAAAAATCCCAGCGAGTCTCCGCCTCCCAAGACTAAAAGCACTGAAAAAAATCTCTCCTGTTGATACAATGAGTCATAGGAAGCTGTGGGTGGTGCACACATCAGTCCATTCGAAGGCAGAGGTGTTGTACCTCTCCTCAAAACAAAATGGACACATGCAACATCCGTCACTAAAGTTTCTGTTTTCTTGTTGTTAATCCCAAATATATTTGAGGAATTGCCTAGATCCATAAAGGAGGTGGATGATGGGGGCGAGGGTGGCGGGGGGAATTGTTGTTGAGGAGGGGGTGGAGAAGTCAACAGTGAGTATCAGTGATGGCGATCCAGGGACTTGATAAAAAAAATGCTGACTGCATTGTCAGCTCCTGCATTCCTGCAGGATGAGCAACATGGCTAAAAGTAGAAGGTTGTGTTTGTAATTGCTCATGGGGAAGGCTTGAGAGCTTTTCACTCAGATTACCACAGTTTCTGCAGTCATTAGTTCATGCTACATGGACTGGACTCTTCAGTTGTTTTATGAAATCATACACAAAAATATCTATGTGTATATATATATACATACATACATACAGACATATACAGATGCCCGGACAAGTACACTCACTCAAATACACGTTTTCATATGCATACTCAGACACCCACAACATTAACTCAGAAACCCTCATGATAACACAGAGAGACACACACAAACACAGACACCCAAATGCTCACCCAGAGACAATCACACAAAACCAAGATAAAACAGAGACAAAAACACTCCTACATGCCCTGCGCGCACGCGCACACACACACACAATAAATGCTGGTTTGTAGGTTTGTCTCCTTCAGTCACACAATATGTATTTCCGACAAACAGTATTTGCAAAATGAAGCCAAGCCCCAGAAACTCTTTCCCTTCAACAACAATAAGAACAAGTAAACATACCATTAGTGGCGTAACAAGGCCCCAGCGGGCCCTGGTGCAAGAATAGGTTTGGGGTCCCCTTTCCGATTCCGAAATTTAAAATGGTAATTACGTTTACTATCTGGTCTACTTATATTCTCTCTCCCCGACCAAACACATACATGATCCAGCTATATCAAAATGGGGAGTGAGAAAAAACGAGTTGTTCTGCCACGAATGGGTTGGGCCCCATTAACTATATGAGCCCTGACATGACTGAACCACTTGCACCATTGTAGTTATGCCACTGAATACCGTTCGATCTTATAAATAATAATCCTTACATTTGATACAGCGTCTTATCATGTTGTTGAGACGTCTCGAATATATTATAAAGTGGATTGACTGTATATTTTGTGGACGAAATCCTACAGCCAATTGCACCCAGCAGTGTCCCAAACAGTTGTGGATTGAGTGACCATTTTTTTTTCGAGGGATTATTGCCCCCAGAAAGTGATTACTGCTAGGTAAACAGAGTGGAGTCCTGTAGCTCAGTGATTAGAGCCCCCGCCTTGCAAGCGAGACACAACCTGGGTTCAATTCTAGGCAGGATGAAACCTTGGGCAAATTTCCTTACTCCACTCGCCTAATAATAATCCCTCCAAAACAAAACAATAATAAATTGGTCATTTTCAATCCACGACTGTTTGTGGGACATTGCTGTGCACAATTGGCTGCCGCTTTTCGCCCACAAATATACGGTCAATTCACTTTACAGCATATTCTGTGAAGCGCTTTGAGACGTCTAGAAGAGACGTCTAGAAAATCGCTATATCAAATGCAAGGATTATTATTATTATTAGTCACGTGGAGTAAGGAAACTTGCTTAAGGTTTCCATCCGCTCGGGCCCCCTTGCTCCTAACGAGCAAGCTAACCACTAAATTCCGGGACTCCACCTCAAATGAACATTATCTTTACGCTGATGTTCATTGATGTGCACAACATGCCCTAAGCCATGTTTAATGCAACAACACACAGTGCAAAACTCCACTAACAATCTGCACCTTGAAAATATTTTTAAAAACACTGCCAGCAAGAATCAAACCTGCTTATTGCAAACATAGCTGAACCTAACAAACCTTTTATAGATATTTGAGCTCCTTTATTAATGATATCGCAGTTTCAATTGGAAACGTGAACCATTTAATTACAGGGAGTTTCTAGTAAGATTTAGTTGGCACAGTTGATTTTAATGCGGCTTGAAATAAAACAAAGCGTTCACACAGAGAATTTAGAGAATTGGAAAAAGCTACTTTCACTGTACATAAAGTTCATTTCTTTCTCTTTCTCTTGCTGGCTGAGTGTCAAGGGTGATGCAATGAATTGTCTGACCCTGAAACTGACCTTAGATAACTGCAGAGCGCAGCGTGAAGAGCAGGCAGAACAGATTGGGTGTGCTGCACCAAAACATCTCAACAAAAGTGCTTAAAAGAAAAGACCCCTGCATTGAATATAACACCAAAATATGCTGCAAGTATAGTTGCTGAATTTGTGGTCAAATGCAGCAGCCAATTTGTATACAGTAGTGTCCCACAAACAGCCACAAAGTGAATGACCAATTTTATTTGGGTGGAAGACAGGGGGTTATTCTTTGTGAATATTCATGGGATCTTTAAGGTCAGATGGGGCTTTGGTTTACTGTCTCCATCTGAGGACAGCTCCTCTGACAATGAAGTGCTCCCACAACCATGCGGTGGATGGTAAGCCTGGATCATGAGTGAAAGTCCGGATGTTGGGCTTGAACCCACAACCTCTTCACCCAGAGGGGCGAGTACTACCAACTGGCACGTACAGGTTAACAAACCATTTTACAGACCTTTGAACCGATATCTTAGGTTTGTTGATATAAATATCCATTCCTGTTTGCACGTTTCAGTTTATTGCTGTCAGTAAGAATAATGTAATGTGATATAAGGTGCTACACCAAATTGCATTTGGTATAGCACTTTATCATATTGTTGAGTCACCTCAAAACACTTTACAGGAATTCACTGTGAAGTATAGCGCAGTGTATTTGTAGGCGAACAGACAGCCAATTTGCACAAAGCAACTTCCCATAAAATAGCCAGCAACAACACGAGACAGTGCGGGAGCTAGAGGAGAAACCGTTCGTTTGCAAGGAGAAACCTTGTTCATCTCACTATTGGTGGGCCACTATTCTGCCACTCTGCCTGTTCGCTCCCTCCCCTCAGCGAGCTCTGGTCTGCTTCACGCCCCTCGCCTTGCTCGCCCCTCTATCAACGGGCGGGCCTTCCGCCACTCTGCACCCACCCTCTGGAACTCCATCCCACAGTTCCTCCATCTCGCCCCCTCCCTTGTCACCTTCAAGACCTATCTCAAGATCCTCCTCTTTGACCGTGCTTTTGATCTCCCTGGATCCCCCCCTGCCCTCCACCCTCCCCGAGCCCGGGTCCGTAACTCTGTAGGTCCAGTGCCCTGGGACATCCTCCTGACGTGAAAGGCGCTTTACAGATGTAATTTTGTTGTTGTTGTGGAGATGAAATGGAGGCAGTGTGAGAGGTACGATTTGAATCAGTCAAAGACAGAGCCGTGAAGGTTGAGGTGAAAGGAAAGGCGTAGGATGAGGATAGAGTGGTCAACGGTGTCGAAGGCAGTAGAGAGGTCAAGGAGGACGAGGAGGCAGAGGGAGCCCTGGTCGCAGATGAACAGAATGTCATTTGTGACTTTGACCAGCGCTGTTTCTGTGCTGTGGGCGGCACGGAAACCCGATTGGAGTGGTTCGTGAAGGGAATTGCAAGAGAGGAAGGAGCAACAACTCGTTCCAGGACCTTGGACAGGAAATGGAGGTTGGAGATGGAGCGGTAGTTTGAGAGAAGTGATGGGTCTAGGGAGGGCTTTTTAAGGATAGGAGTGATGACGGCTGTTTTTAATGGGGTGGGAACAGTACCAGTGGACAGGGAGAGGTTTATGATGTCATGAAGCGAATAGATGACCAATTAGTTTTGCTCTCAGTAATCTGGATAGTTCAATATTCGGGCTATAATCCACCCATCCCCACCCAAGACTGAGCCCAAGCCAAGCATGAGCAATGATAGGGTCAATTGTGAAATGCTGTGCAGTTTGAACTATCTAATTCATATTTTTTTCAAAACAAATGTAATTACAAGACCTCAAAAAAGGGTTGCGGTCTGAAAAGAAAGCCCTTTGGCCAATTTGATCTCATCCTTCCAGAATACTATCTACGGTACAGTCCGACCATCAAAGCCTTGAGAAGAAAAAAAATCATAGCTTTGATAAAGATTTCGCCCACTTAATTTGCATTCAGTGATCTCAACAACAACTTGGATTTATATAGCGCCCTCCACACCGGATGGCGTCTCAGAGCACTTTACAGTTTCGGATCCCAGGACCGAGCCAGGGGGACGGGGGGGGGGGAAGGTGACCAAAGGCGCGGTCGAAAAGAAAGGTCTTCAGCAGAGACCTGAAAATAGGAAAGGAGGGAGCGAGACGAAGGTAGTGAGGAAGGGAATTCCAGAGCCTCGGGGCATAGTGGCTGAAGGCATGACCGCCGAGGGTGGAGCGGAAGACTCGGGGGACAAGGAGGAGACCAGACCCGGAGGAACAAAGGCAACGGGTGCTGTTTTGAGGAGAGAGGTCAGAGAGGTAGGGGGGTACAGAGGAGTGCAGGGACTTGAATACGAAGGTGAGGATCTTGGAAGTCGATCCTCTCTGGGATAGGCAGCCAGTGTAGTCTGGCAAGGACCGGAGTGATCGGGGAGCGGACTTTCGTGCGGGTGAGAATGCGGGCGGCAGAGTTCTGAATGAGTTGGATTTTATGGATGGGAGACCAGCGAGGAGGGCATTGGAGTAGTCCAGCCGAGAGGTGACAAAGGCATGGACCAGAGTCTCAGTGGCTTTTGGGGAGAGGTATCTCAGGGAAACTTATGAACCATATAGAGCAGGACACATGTTTCGAGTCTGGTTTCAGCTTACGCAAGCACCGTTTTAGTTGCAGGTGATGCTTTAAACAAACATTTGAGAGTTTCAGACCCTGATAGCAGGTGAGCTCATCCATAAACCAGTGAGCTAGAGGGGGCTTAATAATAATAATAATAATAATAATAATAATAATCCTTGCATTTGATATAGCGCTTTTCACGTCAGGACGTCCCAAAGCGCTTCACAGAACACACTGTAAAGTGAAATCTATCAATCGCCCACAAAATATACACTTTACAATATATTCTGTGAAGTGCTTTGAGAAAATCACAACAATGTGATGAGGCACTATATCAAATTATTATTATAATAACAACAACACATTACATTTGTGTAACGTCTTTCAAGTCAGGAGGACCTTCCCAAGGTGCTGGACAGTCAGGCATATGCACCCGATCTGGTGGTTGGGATCAGACAAGCAGGGAGTTTGCATAGTTGAGCCTAGATGTGATGAATGTGTGGATGAGGGTCTCGGTGGCTTGGGGTGAGACACAGTGGTGGAGCCGGACAATGTTGCGGAGGTGGGGAAAAGAGGAGCGGGTCATGGCACGGATGTGGAGGATAATTGATGGTTAACTATCGCCAAGGTTCCATACTGGCTCCATGAGGTGTAGAGTACATCCATGAAGGGTGCAGTACCAGCTTTTGGGATGCCTTCTGATGTGAAAGGCAGTAAATACATGTAAATTTGTATTGTATTCTGGACCTGAGGGATACCAGAACTGCCGTATGCTTCAGTCTCCCTGCGCTGACTGGCTGGCACCTCTGCTTTGCCAGCAGCACTCCTAGTGCCAATGGTGTCCTATCAACCAAGTCATGGCACAACTCGGTAGTAGAAGCTGATTGTTTAGGTAGATGTTAAAGATCTCACGGGACTATTTAAAAAGAGAAAGGAGATTCTCCCAGTGTCCTGGCCCACAATCCCCCAAATAAAATTGGTCATTCACTATTATGGCTGTTTGTGGGATATTGCTGTGTGCAAACTGGCATCCCCATTTGCTCACAAAGTACAGTCACTACATTTTACAGTAAATGTAAACCTACCTCTTTGACCACACCTGTGATGACCTCCCATCCCTCTCTCCCGTGTCTGACTCGCATCTTTGTACAGTGCTACGAGACGCTATTCCACATGAAGGTCACTAAATGATTGTGGTTTGAATTAATTCACCTCCAAAAAGACATTGGATTCCGCAAAGCGCTTTGAGATGTCCTCCCGACGTGAACAGCACTGTGTTAAATGAAAAGGTTATTATTACCTGGTCTCCAAATAGTGCAGCAGATCGGCTGGCTTCAGGCACTTCTCTTCTTGGTACAGTTCATGGCGCAGGAAATGAAATGTTATTTGATAAACGTTGTACATCAGGGTCCCTTCAATCTGGAAAGTGTCCTGCACATCAATCTTGTGCAGAACCTGCAAATTAAATAAAAGAACATTTTGCGAAACTACATATATAAAAGTATCCAAATCATTAATAATAATCCTTGCATTTGAGACAGCGCCTTTCATATTGGAAGGGTGCCCCAAAGCCCGTCAGAGCAGTTACTGTGAAGTGGAGTGATTATTTTGTAGATGAACGTGGCAGCACAATTGTCCCGGAAACAGCCATGAAATGAATTAGCAATTTTATTTGGGGGATTGTTGGCCAGGACTCCCTTCTCTATTCCAGCACAGACAGCCTGACTCATTGGCAGGACCTGAAAGGACAGACCAGTTACTGGGGGCATGGAATCATCCCACTCAGCTCATGTTAACCCTGCAAGCCAAAGCCCTTACACGAGTTGGCTGGTCTTAGCTGGACAAGCAGCAGGAACTTGCCAGACAGCAATAACAATGGCAAGCTATGCGATTTTACCTGGTTAGACGCCAGAAGTTACCCCAAAGCACACTTTGGGGTCCCTAAGCCTTGGCTCCTACCAACCTGTGCCTGATACTTTCTGGAAATTAGGGAAGCAGGATGTATCCCTACAAAGTGTGTACATTCTGTTCCAACAATCTGTATCTGGGATTTACATGTGTAGATAGGATGCCTGGAAATCTCAGTTTGATTTAATCATGGTGATGGGATTCTGCATGTGTCAGACACCTGGCTGACCCTCTCAAAAAAATGTTTTTGAATAGTGCCATGGGATCTTTAATGTCCACCTGAGCAGGAAGACGGGACCTCGGCAGGTCGCATCTGATGGACAGTACCTTTGACAATACAGCACTCCCCCAACAATGCACTGGAGCTTAGGCAATGGACCCATACAATAGAAATTTACAGCACAGAAAGGAGGCTATTCAGCTCATCAAGTAAAACCTGCTCTCAAAGCAAGATGTTCATTCAATTCGACGGGCCCGCCCTATCCCGATACCCCTTCAAGCCTCTAGCCTTCATATGCATGTCATCACCTTGGGTCATCCTTCTGATGTGAAAGTTAATATAAAAAATATAAATATTTATAGAAAATACAAATCTATACTATATTGTAATTTGTATTCTACTTCCCTCTTGAAACCACAATGGACTCTGCCTCTGCCATCCTACTGAGCAGAGCGTTCCACATCCCAACAAATCTCCTTAAATCTCTTTTGCTCTTCTTGTGATTATCTTATATCTATGACCCCTTCATCACTGACTACCCTACCAGTGGAAATAGCTGCTCCCTATTTACCTTGTCAAAACCCCTCACAATGGATGTCTTGTGAAATTGTTACAAAGATGTTATGAAACATGGCATTTATTTTTCATTCACAGAGCTTATGGCTTCCATGTGAAGGAAAGTTGGTACTTACCTCTGCCAAACACACCCTGGTCAACTGCTTCTTCAGCTTTTTGACTTTCTTCTGCGCTTTTTTTGTGTCCAGCACAGGAACGCTCATCATCGGAGTTTTAATGTTAGCACTTGCCACCATTAGAATCTCACGCAACCTTTAATATGCACAAACCACAAGATAGTCATTCAAAAATACACACATCAACAACAACTTGCACTTATATAGCACCCTCCACACAGGGTAGCGTCTCAGAGCACTTAACGCATAATAATAATCCTCTCATTTGATATAGAGATTCACTGTAAAGTGGAGTGACTATGGGCGAATGTAACAGCCAATTTTCACACAGCAATGTCCAACAACCGACATAGAATGAGTGACCGATTTTACCTGGAGGATAAAAGGACACTGGGGGACACTCCCTTCTCTTTTTCAAATAGGCCACAGAATCTTTAATGTCCACCTGAACAGGCAAATGGGTTGAACGTCTCATATCATCTCCCACAATTCAGCACAACCCAAGCACTGCTTTGGAGTGTAAGCCTAAACTACATGAGTTCCAAGTCCCAATATGGGACTTGAATCCACAACCTTCTGACTCAGAGGCTGGAGAGCTACCAACTGAACCAGGCTGACACACGTATCTAAATAAGATAGTCATTCATGAAATACACAAATCACAATAACAATAATAATCCTTGCACTTGATTACACACCCTTCGTGTCAGGAGCACGTCTCAAAGTACTTCACAAACTGACCCGTATCAGGACTTTGAACTCATAGTCAAGGCTGACTCTAGGGAGAATGCTGATTTGTCAAGAGGTGTTGTTTTTCAGATGAGACGTTAAGTTGAGCTTCTGTCTTGCTTTAAAAGATCCCACAGCACCATTCGGGAAGAGAAGGGAATTGGAGTTAGGGTGACTACACTTTACCGGAAATTCAGTGAAGCAATTTGAGATGTTCTGACGATGTGACAAAATGGTGAGGATTATTAGTAATTCTGAATTCCTCATAGTTTCAGAGGTCGCAAATAAAGATAATCCTTCCCCGGCTGCCCGACGGCAACTCCCTCGGCAGCTCCTCACCTGGGGATCCCCAGTGTGACGTTCATGTCACCTCTCCCAGCGAAATGGAAGGTGTTCAGAGTCATCTGAGTTGACGGTTCCCCGATGCTCTGGGCGGCGAGCAGCCCAACAGCCTCGCCCGGGTCACACAGCGATCGCTGCCATTTCAAATTCAGCAGCGTCTTCAAACTGAGGAACAGAGAGCAGTCAGGCCAGGAGGGGGATAGAGATCAATCAACTTGTGGCCAGACACTGCACATAATTTTCTAACCGTGCGCTACTAACCAATTGACTCACAAGATCACGAGAGGTTCAGATGAAGGAACTTTGACCCAGGATACCCACCTTACTGTCTTCCCATCAAGGCATCGAGCCGTTTCTTAAATGAGTGCAAGGAACCTGGCCTCGACTACCCTTCCTTCTCACCCCGTTCCAGCCATTAATTACTCTCTAGTTAAAGAAACACTTCCAGACGTTGGCCGTAAAATTACTCTTCGCAGCCCTAAACCCGTGCCCTCTTGCCTTCACATTTCTAAATGCATTGTCATAAGCCCGTAGAGCCCCAGCTTATCTCGAAGCTCATCACTAACAACAACAAACAACAATAAAGTACATTTATATAGCCCCTTTCAGGTCGGGAGGACGTCAGTGAAGGGTTTGCACCTGGGCTGGGAGTTGGGAGAGTCATGAGGGATGGTAAGCGGGGGGAATGGAGGTGGGAGAAGACCAAAGGCACCGTCAAAGAGGAAGGCTTTGAGAGGGGTCTTGAAGAAAGCAAGGGAGCAGGCGAGACAGAGGATCTTCGGCAATAACAAATTGCATTTATATAGCGTCTTTCGCATTGGGAGGATGTCCCAAGTACAAGTTCCGGGGAGGGGTCGGTGGGGGGTGTCAGATAAGCTGAAGGCTGGCCCGTCGATGTTGGAACGGGCGATCATTGTTCTTCTCTGCAATGCCTTTAGGAGCTGAACATCGCGTTAGCCAAAACTGTACCCAGTAATCAAGGTGAGGCCTGACCAGAGAGCGCTGCACACTGAACAGTGATCCTGACTAATCTTTTAATGAAAGATTATATTATTTTCTCCATTCTGTCCCCCCTTTGCTTTTTCCTTTTACAGAATTCCAGTTGGTAACTTGCTTGAGGAGCCACAAATACCCGTTAGCAACACTGTCAAGCAGTGAAGTAGACGCATAAAGTCAGAAAGATTTGGTAAATACCAGTCCGGAGATAGCTCGGTGCTAAGACAGTCACTGCTAGGGTTGGCCTCCAGGTCAGTGATGTATTTCTCCACAACGTCACCAAAGTTTTCGGAAACCGAGCTCAAGTGAATGTCTGGGCGGTAGATGGAGATGGAGGGGTCAGGGCACCGGGCAGTCTTTTTCAAATACTTTTTCTTGCTCTTTTCCTCCAGTGAAGACCACATGTCCAGTAACTGCAAAACAAAAGAAGACTGATTCAAGTGGACTTAGCCCAAAGAACTATAGAATATTACAGCACAGCTTCAACAGAGCCATCAGCTTAGTCTCACTCCCCTGCCTTTCCACCACTCCCCGTTTTACTTTTCCTCGACAAATGTTTGGTCAATTCTTCATGGTTGTGTCCAAAGGTCAGCCCTGCTCAGCTGGTAGCACTCTCACCTCCGAGTCAGAAGGTTGTAGATTTAAATCGCACATTGGGGTCTTGAACTCCCAGTCTAAGCGGACACTCCAATGCAATGCTTGGAGGTGTGTTGCATTGTCAAGTGGACGTTAAAGATCCCTTGGCACTAATCAAAAAAAGAATACAGCCTCTCTCAGTGTCCTGGCCAACAACCCCCCAAATAAAACTGATCATTTGTTTCATTAGTTTAAACAAAACTATTTGTTTTAATTTTTCCACCCGGGTCTAGATTTTCTCTATTTATGCAGCTTTGTAGATTGTTGAATTAAGCCAGGTAAAATGTCCAACTTCCGGTTTGTCCGGTCGCAGTTGACCTCACTTCCTGCTGACCTGGAAGTTAGCTATTTTTTAATCTTTAATTATGGGAAACAGCTCGCCCACATTCTGTGTGCATGAATCTAACCCACTATCGCGCCTCGCTATAGTGTGGCTTGGGAATTTAAGGATCCCATCAGGTTGGACTGCAATCTAAATGTACTCACTTGCTGGGTTGGAAGGTCCCTAGAATTTAACATCACCCCTTCAAGGTTCATTTCCTTGATCTTGCGGGACTTCTTTTGTGAGTACAACAAGAATGCCCCGAAGCGAGGAGAGGGGCTGGGGTTCTTGGCTTTCCACTTCCTCATTGCCTTCACGTGACTGGTCGCAGCCACAGAATCGATTTTACTTAAGACCTCCTCCAAGTTCTTGGATTTCTTAATAATCTGGAAGAAAATTACAAGCAAAAATTACCCAGATTAAAACTGGCCATTCACTTCACAGCAGCTTGTTGGGACACTGTTGTGCGCAAATTGGCTGCCGTGTTCAACCACAAAACGCAGTCACTGCACTGTTTAGTACATCCTGTTAAGCGCTTTTGAACCATCCTGCCAACTTGAAAGGCACTGTATCAAATGCGACAAATTATTATTTTATTAAAATTAATCTTGAGCTTTAAAGTAATAACAATCCTTGCATTTGAAGTAGCACCATATCACGCCATTGAGATGCCTCAAAGCGCATCAAAGAATATACTGTAAAGTGGTTAATACTCAACAAAGCATAAAGACAGAAAAAAAAAAGCAGCTCACCTCATAATTATTAGCTAGAAAGTGAAACTGGCCGGGCTGCAGGAACTGTGTCTTTGGGATGTCGAGGCCATCTTCACCGTACAGGAACTGAACAACACTGCCATCACTGTCTCTCACCGTCAGGTCATATTGCACCACCAGACCCTCCAAGTGTTTTATGATACATCTGAGGGGAAATCAAGCCATAGTCATTTTACGCAACTATCCACACCTCCAACCCCACCTTCGGCCAAACTCCCACCCCCACCCAACCTACCCCTCGATTCCAAACTCCCCAGCTTAAATGCAAACCCAAACCTTGGGACGTCCTATCGACATGAAAGGCGCTATATAAATGCAATTTGTTGTTGTTGTTTCCTACCTCTGCCAATTTCAAGGAAATGACTTAAATGAATAAACTATCCTTGCATTTGATATAGCACCCTTCATGTCAGGAGAACATCTCAAAGCACTTCACAGAATATACTGTAAACTGCAGGAGACCGGACCTAATTTAATATGGGTATTAATCTCCCAATTCCTCCACTTCCCTTTACCCACCCTTCCCTGTTGGCTTGTGTTGGGGCAGAGCTGCAGAAGGTCCCCCCCCCACCCCCCAGCGACTTGCTGTCATGCATTGAGCCTGGCTAGAAAAGGTCCCCTGCCATCACTAAAAATCTCTTTCACCAGCTGTCTTTGTCATAGCTAACGTTCCACAGAATGCCATTGATAGGGTAGTCAGTGACTGGGGGACATAGGCTTAAAATAGCCACAAGGAGAACCTAAGAGGAATTGTTTCACCCAGAGAGTTGTTGGGTTGTGGAACGCTCTGAAGAATAGGGCAGTGGAGGTTGTCTCCATTGTAGCTTTCAAGAGGGAAGTAGACAGGTACATGAAAGAGAGGGGCTCGAAGGCATCTGATTCCACCATCCTTCCAGACCTTTCCAGACAACTCTCTTTGTAAAAATAATTCTCATTTTTCCTCTGGTTCTTTTGTGAATTATCTTGAATCTGCTTCTGGTTACCACCTGCTAATGGAAACAGTTTCTCCCTATCTAATCTATCAAAAATACCTCATAATATTGAACACCTCTTTTAAATCTCCCCTTAACCTTCTCTGCTCTAAGGAGAACAATCCCAGCTTCTCTAGTCTCTCCACATAACTAAAGTCCCTCATCCCTCAAACAATTCTACTAAATCTCCTCTGAACTCTCTCTAAGACCTTGATATCCTTCCTATAGTGTGGTGCCAGAATTGGACACAATAATCCAGCTGAGGTCTAACCAATGACTTACAAGGGTTTAGCAGAACTTCCTTGCTTTTGTACTCTATGCTTTTATTTATAAAGCCAAGGATCCCATATGCTTTTTTGACAGCTCTATCAACCTGTCCTGCCACCTTCAAAGACCTGTGCATGTGAACCCCCAGTTCCTTTTGCTCCTGAACCCCTTATAAAACTGTACCATTTAGTGTACATTGCCTCTCCCCATTCTTCCTTTTAAAATGCATCATCTCACACGTCTCTGAATTAAACTTCACCTGCCATGTGTCTGCCCATTTCACCAACCTGCCTATGTCCTCCTGCAGCCTGCTACCATCCTCCTCAATGTTTACTACATTCTCAAGTTTTGTGCAAACTTTAAAATTTTGCTCTCTGTACCCAAGTCCAAGTCATTTATGTATATCAAAAAGAGCAGTGGTCCAAATACCAATCCCTGGGGACACCACTTTATACTTAGGGAGCATAGGGATAAGGTGAAGCGGTGGGATTGAATTTATCTCCTTGCTCTGTGACCTGGTGTTGGTTCAATGGGCCAAATGGCCTCCTTCTGCTCTGTAGATTTCTAATGTTTCTGTGCAAAACACCCAAGGAAAAGATGGCGATTTTAAACCTCTCCCCAGATGTCAGAAACAGGATTGATTTAACGTCTGCTTGTAACCTGACACCTTTCTTTTTTACCTTTGGAGGTAGCCGGAGCGACTGGTCTTGACGGCAGTATCAACAAGCCCTTCCCTGCCAGCCATGCAGTGAAAGAAAAACTCCTGGAGCCCGAGAGAGAGAGAGAGTGAGAGAGTTACCAGCAGGGCTCACCTGAGTGCCTCAGTCAGTGAGGAGTGCTATCAGTCTCTTTCACATACACACACACACCACCCACTCCCGCCCCACACACAACACACACACACACAGTCTGTGAGGGGTGCTACACACAATAGTTGTCACAATCAATGTGAAGTGTTATTACTAATCTACGCCTGGGTCACAGTTGGTGAAGCATGTTATCAGCAACTTAAAACCGGTTTAATATTTTATTTGAAGGACTGCACTTCTGACAACAAAGTGCTCCCTCCACTTGAGCGCCAGCCTCGACTGCGACCTCAAAGTTCCAATGCTTCGAGAGTGCTACAGAGGTGAGAGTGCTACAAACCCGACACACCCCCACAAACAGTCCCCACAATATACATACAAACTTCTCACACACAATAACAGCTTGCAGTTATATAGCACCTTTCACTCAGGATGTCGTCTGAGCATCTCAGAACAACGCTCAACATACATAACTCCGCATCCCACCCCCACCTGCAGCGCTCAGGGACAAACACCCGTGAATCCCTACAGTGAGTTATTGAGAACGTTTGATTACCGGGGGGCTAATGCCCGTGAGGAATCGGCCAGTCACAAAGCCCCCGGATTTTGGTGTGAAGTCAAAGGGCTGGAAACAAGGCAAGGATTTTCCGGAGGGCATCAGCGGAGGCCGTCGACCCTCCAGCTCAATCTGACCGAGAAGGCAGGAAATCTGAAACCAAAGAACCAATCAACCAATATCTCTGCGGATTCTCTGGCAGCAGTTTGAATTAGTCACGCAATGAAGACAGTGACAAGCCTCTGCACTGCTCCTGTTTCTGCTCAGCTCTACGTGCAGTTTTTTTTCTGAGTTGCTGCCGGCACCATGCATCCCGCCCTACAATGGAAATGACGCCTGATTGTGGCGGTTATAGCGACCGGGTCACAGGGCCGCAGCGAATGGTACTTTCACAGCAACAACAACATTTATATAGCGCCCTTCATATGCAGCATCTCAAAGCGCTTAAACACAGAGAGCTCACTCAGTCATCACTGGTGAAAACTCATTGAGTTCAGAAATCCCACACACCTATTTATCACAGCTTTGCACACATAACATGCAGAAACATACCCATGTACACAGACCAATAAACAATCACACGTGCACATAAAAGTAAACATACAGTTGGACAATCATACATGGACAAGCACACACAATTAAACATAAAAATGAACAAATATAGCTGTACACATATACAAACATGCCCACGTTACAAATAAGCATACACATGCATGAAAGACATATGCATCAAACGAACACACACATGCACCCGCAAAAGCTTTCAAACAATGTACGAATGCATGCACACACCAGCTCAAAAAGCGCACAAGCACTCAACAGCACACACTCATCGCTTTGAAGTCCAGGGCTCCAGTACCTGCATGGTATTGACGGCGGAGCCCTTCGCACCAGACTGCACCATCAGCTGGAGGTTGTTTTCAGGAAACTGCCTATGAAGCCCCAGGGGCATACACACCTGTTGGAGGAAGCAGACCGCAAACAGACACATCAGACACATTACAAATGCTGTGGCTTACATCCACACCGGCGCAATTGCTATCTTCACCGGAGAAGAGTGGCGTCCGGAGAAGCTTGCACAGCGTAGAGCAGCCCTGCCCCCACCCCTCTCACCCCAGGGAAGCCAGGTGTGTGATTCCGGCAGAGGCTGTGCCGAGTGAATGAGTCACATTCAGAGGCTCCCACCCTCGTAGAGGCCGGAGCCCGCCCCATGTCCTGCTCGGACCAGGAAAATAAAGGGCATGTCTCAAGATCCTACTCTTCAAGCTTGCCTTCGCTTACCCTCCTACAACAACACAACTTGTACTTATATAGCGCCCTCCACACAGGGTAGCGTCTCAGAGTGCTTAACAGTGGCGGAGCCTGACTCCGAGCTGGGGGTAGGGGGGAAGAGGTGGCCTCTCCCTCCCCACCCCCCAGCGATCAAAGCGGAAGGTTATCAGGCAGGACTTGAAAAAAGGAGCTAGGGGGCAAGGTGGAGGGATTGAGGGAGTGTGTTCCAGTTTCGGGGCGTAGTGACTGAAAGCGTGACCTCCGATGGTGGGGCACAGGGTGCGAGGGACAAGCAGGTGGTCAGTGCCAGTTGAGCAGAGATACCGGATGGTGGATTGGGGAGTGAAGAGGTCAGAGAGGTAGGGAGGTGCCAGGGAGTGAATGGATTTAAACACAAGTGTGAGGAGCCAGTGGAGCGTGGCCAGAACTGGTGAGATGTGTGTAGGGAGTATGCGGGCAGCAGAGTTCTTAATGAGCTGCATCTTGTGAATGGTGGAGCTGGGGAGACTGGCGAAGAGTACATTGGAGTAATCCAAGCGGGAGATGACAAACGCACGCACAAGGGTTTTGGCTGCATTTGGAGTGAGGTACGGTCGGAGGCAGGCAATATGGTGGAGGTGGAAGAAGGCGATCCTGGTCAAGGACCGGATATGGGGGAGGAAGGAGAGCTGGGGGTCGAACCGGACGCCTAGATTGCGCATTGGTTCAGTGAGTCTGAGGGAGAGCCCAGGGAGGTTGATGAGTTTAAATTGGCAGGATTGAAGACGTTGACGGGAGCCAAGGAGTATGGCTTCTGTCATGTCCACATTCAGCTGCAGGAAGTTTACACTCATCCAGGCCTTGATGTCTGCCAGACAAGCTGATAGAACATCGGTGGACCCAGAGTTGGTACTGGAGGAGACAAAGTAGATTTGTGTGTCATCCGCAAACATGTGGAAGTTTACCCTGTGTCTGCAGATGACATCACCCAGAGGGAGCATATAGATAATAGAAAAAAGAGGGTCAAGGATGGAGCCCTGGGGTACCCTGCAGGTGACGTGGGGGTCGGGAGGAGAAACCCTTTGCTGAGATGATAGAGGCTATTGGTTAAGTAGGACTCAAACCATGCAAATGCGGGCCCACTAAGGTTGATGAAGGAGGAGAGCCGATGGAGGAGGATGGTGTGGTCGAATGTGTCGAACGCAGCAGAGAGATCCAGGAGGACGAGGAGGCAGAGGGAGCCCTGGTCACAGATAGAGAGAATGTCGCTTGTGACTTTGACAAGCGCTGTCTCTGTGCTGTGAGCAGGTGAAAACCAGACTGCAGGGGCTCGAGGAGGGAGACGTGTAAACAAAGTTAACTTGCAACAATGCGTTCCAGGACTTTGGCAAGGAAGGGTAGGTTGGAGATGGGACGGTAGTGTGAGAGATTAGAGGGATTGAGAGTGGTTTTTTGAGGAGGGGTGTGATGACAGCGGTTTTCAGGGGGAGTGGAACACAGCCTGAGGAGAGAGACTGGTTGACCGTGTCGGCCAGCAGGGGGGAAAACAGGAGGAGTTGAGTGACCAGCAGCTGGGTGGGGAGGGGTTTAAGATAGCAGGTGGTGAACTTCATGGGGGTGATTGTGATTAAGAGGGAGTAGGGAGAAATGGGGGTAAAGGAGTGTAAGGAGGGGGGAATGGCAGGAGCCATGGCGAAGGGAGAAGGCGGTTTAGTTAGTCTTGGTGGGGTGGGAGGGGACATGGAGGTGGGGGAGGACAATGCAGCCAAGCGGATGTTTTGAATTTTTGAGGTGATGAAGACTAGGATCTCTTCGCGCTTGGCATTTAACGTGAGGATAGAGTGGGCTTGAGGCGGTGCACGGAGGAGATGATGGACAGTGGAAACAGTGTCTTTGGGTTGTTTTTGGTCTCTGGGATGATTTTGGAGTAAAAGTCAGTTTTGGCCTGTGAAAGGGAGAGGCAGTGGGTGAGGAGGTGCTCGAGCCACAGCTGGCGGTGAATCCTGAGGCTGGATTTGTTATTTGCGCTCAAGCATTTGGGTTTGTGTTTTGAGTGAATGGAGGTGACTGTTGTACCAGGGGGACCGGGTAGGCTTGGAAACAACCCTGGATTTCAGGGGAGCCAGGGAATTGAAGGTTATGGAGAGACAGTCATTCAACAGCTTAACAGCTGCATCAAGATCGCTGCGGGTGGAGGGCCAGGGGGAGAGGAGATCCGAGGAAGAGAGGACATTTGTGAGGAACCTACCCCTGCCTTCCCTGCCTTCCAAATCCTGATCCCAACCCTCAGCTCGTGTCCAAATCCTTGATTGTCCAGCACCTAAGATCCTCCCGCCGTATAAGGCACTATACACGTAATTTGTACACATGGGTATATAATAACAATTCCTCACACACGCTGCTCCTATGTGTAGGGAGGACAGGAGGACAGCCCACAGAATAAGACAATGGTCATCCAATGTGCCAGTTGTTAACCTCAATTGGGGGGTGGGGGGGTGCAGAATGTGTTAATCCATCACCATGCTTAAGAGTATCTAAGCGAGAGTGCGAGTTCTATTTAAAAAACTCATTGTCAAAATCAATTATCTTCCTGAATGCACGCTGATCTGACCAAGTGCCTCTTTTGTGTGACCACAAAGATAATCATGTTATCTGAGGATTTGTTTTGGCGCATACCCCAGTTCCAGGTTATTTGCTACAGATCCCAACTGGAAAGATGTGGTTGGACATCCCTGTCAGCAGAACCACGAGGGGTCCCAATCACTCGCAACATGACCCTTGGGGTAGATTTTAAAATCCAGAGAATAATAATAATAATAATCCTTGCATTTGATATAGCTCTTTTCACGTCTTCTAGACGTCTCAAAGTGCTTCACAGAATATCCGATAAAGTGAGTCGACTGTATATTTTTGGGCAAAATGCGGCAGCCAAATGTGCACAGCAGTGTCCCACAAACATACCAGAATACCATTCTATAACCAAATAAATAAATAATTTCTGTAAAACAAATGATTATTTTTGATAATGAGTTTTTTTTTAAAATAGGACTCGCACTCTGGGTTAGATACTCCTACAACAGCAACAAAAACAACAGCAAAATTACATTTGCATTACATTTGGATGTCCCAAGGTGCTGGACAGTTTCGGACTCGAGCTGGGGGTCAGGGTCAGGGAGGGTGGAGGGCAATGGGGGAAGCAGGGAGATCGAAAGCACAGTCGAAGAGGAGGGTCTTGAGATGGATGAAATTCCAGAGGGTGGGGGCAGAAGGCCCGTCTGCCAATAATGGGACGAGCGAGGCGGGGGACGTGAAGCAGGCCGGAGCCCGCTGATCAGAGGGAGCAGAACAGATGGTGGGGGTTAGGAGGTCGCAGAGGTAGGGGGGAGCAAGACCATGGAGGGCTTTGAAGGTGAGGACCAGGATCTTGAACTGTATCCTCTGTGAGATGGGAAGCCAGTGGAGTCAGGTGAGGATGGGGGTGATAGGGTCACAGAGCCTAGTGCGGGAGAGGATATTAATATTAAGAATACCAGAAGACAGGAGCAGGAGGCCAATAAGCCCATCGAGCAGATTCCACTAGTTTATTAGATCGTGGCAGATCTTTTAACCCCAATGTCCTACCCTTTCATAGGAACAGGAGTAGGTCATTCATCCCCTTAAACATGTTCTGCCATTCTATTAGATCGTGGCTGATCTGTAACTCAACTCCAATTACCCATCTTTACTGCACATGCCTTGATACCCTGATCTTATACAGATCTATCCACTTCTGTCTTGAATTTTGAATGGATCCAGCATTCACAGCCTTTTGAGGGAGAGAGTTCCAGAGTCCACTACCCTTTGTGCTTCCTGATTTCACTCCTAATTGGCCTGGCTCTAATTGTAAAACTATATCAGTTTGTTCTGGATTCCCCAACAGAGGGAATAGTTTATCTGTGGCTACCCAATCAAATCCCTTTAACAATTTAAACACCTCATTGAGATCACCCATCAACCTTCTGAATTAAAGGATGTTCTTCACAACCCTTTATACTTCCACTATCTAAGTCTTTGTGTGTCTCTCTTTTAATCAACCCCATTGATTTTGCCTGTACCTCTTTCTGGGTCAGGTAGTTCCACATCTTAACTGAGTTATAATTTTTATTTATTTTTATGTATTATCAATAATAACAAAACTTGCATTTGATTAGGGTCTTATCTGGTGGAAATGCAAATCTTTAGACATGTGACTCATCTTCCCTCTGGTAGTGGGATCCAGTAACAAGTGGGAGTGGGTGAAGCTTTAAAATCGGAATTAGCTGAAGGTGATAAGAACTGAAGTCGAAAATCGTTTCTTCACACAGAAAGCTGTTTAAGATGTTTTTCTCCAAACTCCTTAATAATAATAATCCTTGCATTTGATATAACGCCTCATCACATCATCAAGATGTCTCAACTAAACTGGCACTTGTATCACAGGACATATTGTCAAGTCTACCTATTCTTTAGCATGGTGATGGGTTTTCTGCACGTATCAGATACGTCCTGATGGCTGTGCAGTGCATCTCATCGTCCACTGACCCCACTGCTGCATACAAAGGTTTTCCGAGCTATGAGCCGTGAACCTTTACCTTGTTGATCTGGTTATTGTACTGATTCACTTCCTCCTTGAACTTGAGGTCCACCATGCTGACGTCGCGGGGGTCCTTGCTGAGGTGGGCATCCTGCCACTTGTCCCGGGCTTCGTCACAGGTGGCAGACTCTGGCAGGTTAAACGCATTGCGGACAGCCTGGAAATGAGGAAGTGTGGTGGGGGAAAGAAAAGCCAGACTCCAAGTTAATAATTTCATATCAGAATAATTCTTGCCTTTAATATAGCGCCTTATCATATCACTATTGAATCAATTAAAATTTTCAAGACTGAGGTTGATGAGAGGTTTGTTAGGTCAGGGTATCAAGGGATCTGGAGCAAAGGCGAGTAAATGGAGTTGAGGTACAGATCATCCTTGATTTAATAGAATAGCGGAATAGGCTCAACGGGCATATGTTCCTATCACATCGTTGAGACGTTTCAAAGCACTTCACATGATATACGGTAAAGTGGATTGACCATATATTTTTTTTTGCAAAACGAAGCAGCCAATTTGTGCACAGCAATCTCCCACAAACAGCCATGGAGTGAGTGACCAAATTTATTTGGGAGATCGTTGGCCAGGACACTGGGAGAGAGAACTCCTTTCTCTTTTCGAATAGTGCCGCGGGATCTTTTACGTCCACCAGAACAGGCAGACAAGGTCTCGATTTGACGTCTCATCCGAAGGACGTACTATTAACATATGGGGATGTGGGAGGGATGGGGAGGAAGAGCAAACCCCTACCCATTCTAAATAAGGGGGACAATAGCCAGTGTATCAAATTCAATGATTATTATTGTTGTTAATGTGGATGCGTATGGATATTCGGTAATGCAGATAGACTCAAAACCTGCCCGCTGATGATGGGATGAGGGAAATACAGCAGGAGTCTTTCAACTAAACTCAAACGGTAGACAGACACTGTCAACAATTATAGGTGTTAAACCCACAGAGGGTTGCAAAGTGAAAGATGCTCACCCTGGCTCCACATAACGTGGACCTCGCGATGATCTTCCGCCGCTTGGCATTCGCTCGGGGCTTCACCAGGATGTCTTCCACACCTAGTAGTCAGGAAATACAGGGAGCTAGTGTGACAGTACACTCGGGGGGAGCGAGCGAGAGAGAAAAAGGGAGAACAAGAGGTAGAGGGAGAGAGAGAAAGGGAGAGCGAGAGAGAGAAAGGGAGAGCGAGAGAGAGAAAGGGAGAGCGAGAGAGAGAAAGGGAGAGCGAGAGAGAGAAAGGGAGAGCGAGAGAGAAAGGGAGAGCAAGAGGGAGAGTGGAGGACAGGGAGAGGTCTGACATAAACTAACCAACATATCAACAGTTTTTTTCTACATCTTTTCGTTGGAATTTCCTGCCTAGGAGCTGTTAGAACAGCAACAACTTACACTAACATTATACCATTATCGTAGGACATCGTAGGACATTTCGGAGAGCTTCACAGTGATGGGGTCAGACGCCGAGTGAGGAGAGAGGGAGAATGTGGGGTGGAGTTGGGGGAGAGAAAGGAGACCACGGGTGTAGTTGAAGAGGTACGTTTTAGGGCAGGGTTTAAAACAGGAAGCGAGACGGAGGGAGCTCCAGAGGCGAGGAGCAGAGTAACTCTCCTTTTGGCTCGGCCTCTGATAATGGTGAAACTGTTAAAAAGTGTAAAGAGTAAAAATGGCCATTTATCAAACAAACAATGTTGCAAAAAAGAGGAGCCCTTACCCAACGTGAATCCCTTGTAGAGCTGAAGGTAAGCAGTGAAGAGGCGAGCAAGACAGGTCAATAGCTTGCCACTGGTCTCACCACCATACAACTCCTGACAGCAGTGCACCAGGCCGTAAGCTGAGCTCCCATAGTGTGCTTTGTCCAGAACACCACACAGCAGCTCCCCCTCCCGAATAATAACCTGCCGTCCACACAGAAAACAAGTTGGTGGGGGAGAAAACCATGTGAGCATTCCATACCTCAATGTGTTTTTACTTCTGTGACATTAAACTGTTTTGCAGTGTTAAAACACCCATATCACAGATCACAATGATAATAATCCTTGCATTTGATATGGCGCCTTATCACGTTGTTGAGGTGTCTCAAAGCGCTTCTAGAGTATATTGTGAAGTGAATTAACTATGCATACTCACCCGTAAATATACAGTCAATTCACTTTACAGTGAATTCTGTGAAGCGCTTTAAGACGTCTCGAAGGAGTTAAAAGCGCTATATCAAATTCAAAGATTATGATTTATTATTATTTTGTGGGTGAAACACAGCAGCTAATTGCGTATAGAGGTGTCCCACAAACAGTCGTTGATTGAATGACCACAATTTTTATTGTTTTTTTTGTAAGGAATATTACCCTCGGAAAGGTGATTCTTCAATCAACTAACCACCAGGTTCCCACTTACTGCTAGGTAAACAGAGGCGTGTGGAGTATGGAAATTAGGAGACGACCACACAAACCACTATGCTACAGGACTCCACAGCACATTTTGAAATCGATCCGTTTTGCAATAGACAGCCAGTGGAGCTCTCCCCCACTACAGCAGTTTCTCAAATGAGTCTTGGCGTACTGGTATATGCCCGTTGCAGGCACACATGATGTCCATTGTGCAACAGACATGTACCCATCCACACAACAATAACAACTTGTACTTATATAGCACCCTCCACTCAGGGTGGCGTCCCAGAGCGCTTAACAATAGTGGAGCCTGATGCCGAGCCAGGGGGAGGGGGAAGGTAACCATAGACACGGTCGAAGAGGAAGGTTTTCAGGTGCAACCTGAAAATGGGGAAAGAGGGGGCAAGGTGAAGGGATTGAGGGAGGGAGTTCCATAGCTTCACTGCGTAGTGGCTGAAGGCATGGCCGCCCATGGTGGAGTGGAGGATTCGAGGGACAAGGAGGAGGCCAGAGCCAGGAGAGCGGAGGCAGTGGGTAGTGCTGCGAGGAGAGAGAAGGTTGGAGAGATAAGGGGGTGCCAAGGCGTGGAGGGATTTAAACACCAGAGTGAGGATCCTGAAGTCGATCCTCTCTGTGACAGTGACCCATGGAGTTTGGCAAGGACCGGGGTAATCGGGGTGTGGAGTTTAATGCGGGTGAGAATGTAGGCGGCAGAGTTTAGGATGAGTTGAATTTTATGAATAGTGGAGGAGGGGAGACCGGCGAGGAGGGCTTCTGAGTAGTCCAGCCAACAGGTGACAAAGGCGTGGACAAGGATTTCGGCAGCTTGCAGAGTGAGATATTGTCGAAGATGGGCAATGTGGCGGAGGTGGAGGAAAGAGGCCCTGGTCAAGGACCAGATGTGGGGGAGGAAGGATAACTGGGGATCGAACCTGACATCTATGTTGCACATGGGTTCAGAGAGTCTTAAGGACAGGTCAGATAGGTTGAGGACGTCGGAACCGCAGGACAGAAGACGTCGACAAGAGTCAAAGAGTATGGCTTCCGTCTTGTTGACTTTCAACTGCAAGAAATTTGCGCTCATCCAGGCCTTGATTTCTGTCAGACAAGCTGACAGAATATCAGAGGACTGGGGGTCACATCTGGAGGAGGAGAAGTAGAGTTGAGAGTCATCCACATACATGTGGGTAAGTGTCTGCGGATGACATCACCGAGAGGGTGATAGATGAGGAAGAGAAGGGGGCCAAGGATGGAACCTTGGGGTACCCCGCAGGTGACTGGGTGGGGCGAGAAGAAAAAACATTTGCAGAAATATAGTGCTGGCGGTTTGTAAGGTAGGTCTCGAACCATGCGAGTGCGGTCCCACTGGGGTGGATGATGGAGGAGAGGCGATGGAGGAGGATGGCGTGATCGACTGTGTTGAACGTGATGGAGAGGTCCAGAAAGACAAGGAGACAGAGACAGCCCTAGTCACAGATAGAGAGGACATTGTTTGTAATTTTCACTGTCTCTGTTCCAATGGCCGGGTGGAAACCAGACTGGAGGGGTTGAGTAGGGAGTGGAGGGAGAGGTGTGTGCGATGTCGGTTGGCAACAACACGTTACAAAGCTTTGGCTAGGAAGGACAGGTTTGAGGGTAGATTTTTTAAGGGGATTGATGACGGCAGTTTTGAGGAGGAGTGGGAATAATCCTGAGGAGAGGGACTGATTAATGGTGTCTGCCAGCAGTGGGCAGAGGAGGGGGAGCTGGGGAATCAGAAACTGGGTGGGGAGGGGATCGAGGCAGCAGGTGGTAGGTTTCATTAGGGTGATGGAGGATGAGAGGAAGGAAGGAGCGGGGTAAAGGAATGTAGGATGGGGGCCGCGGTAGGAGCTGAGGGGTGTGGGTGAAGAATATGTCATTCTTGTAAAGTACAGACTAAACCAAAATGTACAATAACAACTTTCATTTGTATAGCGCCCTTCGCATAAGATAATGACTCTAAGCACTTGACACTGGTGGGGCTGAATGTCAAGGAAGGAGGAGGTGAAAAGAGTTTTGTAGATCAGTGGTTAGAGCACTCGCCTTGCAAGCGAGAGGACCTGGGTTCGATTCCTGGACAGGGTAAAACCTTAGGCAAGTTTCTGGAGTCCTGTAGCTCAGTGGTTAGAGCACTCGCTTTGCAAGTGAGAGACCTGAGTTCAATTCCAGGCAGGGCGAAACCTTGGGCAAGTTTCCTTACTCCACACGCCTAATAATAATCCCTCCAAAAAACCAAAAAACAATAATTAAATTGGTCATTTTTCAATCTACGACTGTTTGTGGGACATTGCTGTGCGCAATTGGCTGCCGCGTTCGCCCACAAATATACAGTCAATTCACTTTACAGTGTGTTCTGTGAAGCGCTTTGGGACGTCCTCCCGACGTGAAAAGCGCTATATCAAATGCAAGGATTATTATTATTATTATTATTAGGCAAGTTTCCTTACTCCACACTGTGAAGTGCTGAAACGTCTCAAAAATGTGATAAGGCACTATATCAAATGCAAGGATTATTATTATATCACAGGTTGAAGAGGTAGGTTTTTAAGGTACGAGTTGAACTTAGATAGAGGGGATGAGACAGAGAGACAGAGGCAGAGTTCCAGAGGTTGAAGGTGTTATGACTGAATGGCTCAGTCAATGAGCGTAGAGGCAGTTGGGGATGCCGAGGGAGCAGATCTATCAGTCGGTGGAGGGAGCAGGCAGAAGAGTGGGGTATGAGCAAGTCAGAAAGGTATTAGAGCATGAAGGGATTTATAGGTTAGGGGGAGGACCATGAAGTGGATCCATTTGGAGAATTTGGAGACAGGGAGCCAGCCAGTGGAGCCTGCGAGTATTGGGGTGACATGTGTGCAGAGTTTTGGTCGGCTGAGGATATGGGCAGCAGAGTTTGGGATAAGCTGGACTTTGTGGATGGTGGGACTGGGAGAGAGCTTGAAGAGTTGAGGTGGTAGGTGACAAAGACACTGATGAGAGTTTCAGCGGCACTTAGTGTGGGGGCCGGGTGAAGGGAAGCAGTCTTGGTCAACATAGAGAGACACACAGAGAAAGAGAGAGATGTTAAATTTTCCGTCCTTGAAGGCCGCAAATGTGCTAAAAACACAAACCTACCAGAGACTCCGACATCTGCTCCGGGTCGAATCCTGGCACTTCCCGCGGAGGTGCTTTTCTCCAGGCTTTCCCAGCAATTTTAGCTTTCCCGTTCAGATTCAGTGGGGTCTGATTCTCCGGAATGATGTTGATCAGTAATGTGGAAACAACCTTTGGGGAGAGAGAACAGGGGTTAAAACCACCAAGATCAGTGGGGGGGAGGGGGGAAAAAAACACTGAATCATTGTTGAACCTGAACAATCATAAAGTCTGAATTTGTGACAGATGATTATCATTGAAGATAATTATCACATCACACACACACACTGCAGATTGCAATGCAGATTGTCCCCGTCTAGTTTTCCACTCTTTATCCAATTCCTTGTTCTCTCTCACATGCACACAGAGGTTGGGATATAGAATGATCTGCCAGGAGCAAAGGTTGGAGGCAAAACCCAAATTAGGTCTCAGAAGAGAACTAGATAAATATCTAAAAAAGGTATGGGGAAAAGGGAGGTAAATGGGACTGACAGAATTGCTGTTGAAAGAGCCAACAAAGACATGACAACTTTTTCTGTGCTATAAATTTCTATGGCTCTAAATGTTACTATTTGGTTTGGATACTCCTAAGCATGGTGATGGATTTCCGTTCGTGTCAGACACCTGGCTTTTTATGGATATTCAATTTATACCCTCTTGTTACAGATAGTACAAATAGTATCTTTTTTTTAAAAAACCTATAAAATCAAGTATAATTTGCTGATGAGTCTGTAACCAGGAGACACGAATATGAGGGAGCGACTTGGGGGATCTAAAAGAGAATTTAGGAGGACCCACTTCAGACAGAGGGAAGTGAGAATGTGGAACTCATTGCCCAAAGCGTTGATTGAATCAGATGATAAAGATGCATTTAAGAGGAAGCTAGACCTCACAGAGGGAGAGGGGAATGGAAGGGTATGAGAGGAAGGAGCAATAATCCTTGCATTTGATATAGCGTCTTATATTGTTAAGATGTCTCAAAGCACTTCACAGGATATACTGTAAAGTGGTTTTGAGTGTATTTTGTGGGTGAAATGCAACAGCCAGCAATGCCCCACAAACAGCTATGGATTGAGTGACCAATTTTATTTGGGGATTGTTGGCCAGGTCACCGGGACAAACTCCCTTCTCTTTTCAAATAATGTCATGAGATCTTTAACATCCACCTGAACAGATAGACAGGGCCTCGGTTAAACAACTTATCTGAAAGACGGCACCTCTGACAATGAAGCATTCCCCGAGCACAGCACTGGAGTGTCAGCTTAGACTATGTGATTCCAAGTCCCAACATGAGGAAGGAGTAGATAGCAATTCATGTGGAGTATAAACACTAGCAGAGATTGGTTGGGCCGAATGGCCTGCTTCTATGCTGTCAGTCTATGAACAAAACGTGCACATGTCGCTGTTGCCATCCTTGCCCTGGGGGTGGGAGGGGAAGGAATCAGAATTACCTGCTTTCCGGTCCAGAGTGGGTACGGCTTGATCACTGCCGGACAGAGAATCTTGATGCGTCCCTTGCCGTCAGTCAGGCCCCGGTACACCAGAGCCATGTACTGCTCCCGGTTAAAGAAGCAGCTTCGCACAGTCATGCCGGTGCCCGACACCATGTGGTCCTGGATTAACCCGGCCAGAGGTTTGCCATCCTGTCCAGGGGGAGGGGGAGAAAAACAAATAAGGCAGGGGATTAAAGTATAAGCCACAATGGCAGGTCTCACCCACCTCACTGTCTCTGGGAAGCCAGGCCTGAGTAAAGGCCACTTATTCTCTCGCTATAGGAAGTCAAGCTTGTGGAAAATGGAACTGAATGGACAGCTCTGTCAGAGAGCCGGCACAGGTCCAGCAAGCTCTCCTCTCCGTCTACAGTTCGCTCGCGATCAGGCACTTACTTTGGGGACTAGGTACTGTTGGTCGGTGCTGGCGATGATGTACGCTTCAGCCCGGCCCAGCTCGTTCTGGGGAAAATGGGCGTTCATCTCGTCCCCATCAAAGTCAGCGTTGTAGGCCTTGCAGTTGGCATAGTGAAGCCGCAGGACCTTCTCCCCCGGCAGGATGCGTGCCCTGTGAGCCTGGATAGAAGGCCTGTGCAGGGTCGGCTGCCGGTTCAGCAACAGAACGTCTCCATTCTTGATGTGTCGGCAGACCTGAATGCAGAAATAATAATAATTTCATCATTCATTCATATAGCGCCTTTTATGTCTTTGAGACGTCTCAAAGCTCTTCACATATACTTTAAAGTGGATTGACTGTGTATTTTGTGGGCGAAGCGTGGCAGCCAATTGCGCACAATAGTGTCCCACAAAAAATCGTGGATTGAGTGACCGCTTTTATTTTTGAGAGATTATTACACCCTGAAAGCGATCAGCCAATCGACTAACAACCAGGTTCCTATTTACTGCTAGGTAAACGGAGGCACTTGGAGTAAGGAAACTTGCCTAAGATTTCGCCCTGCCGGGGAATCAAACGGGTCCTCTTGCGTATGAGGTGAGCGCAATAACCACTAAGTTACGAGACTCCACAGGCAAAAGGACAGTCAGGGATGTCTATGTGGCTAGTGTGTGATAACACAACATCGCACTGGATAAATACAGCTTGTCACAGAGCACTGTCAGACGAGCTTTCCCGCGACTTCACTAGCCCACCCGTTAGGAAATTTGGCTTGCAGGGTTAGCAGGAGCAGAGGAAGAATCCCTGCCCCCAGGGAGAGATCGGAGTATCCCTCCAAGTCCTGTCAATCAGCCAACCTGTGCTGTCATCAGCAGTGCCCTGGAGTTCTATAGACCCGTCTGGCTCAAGAACAGGACTAACAAGACTTCCACAGAGGGTGGGCTCGTTTCAGATGTTCCATTGCCAAGCACATCACGTTGGAGCCAGTTGCTGCTAACTACTGCCTCCGCCCCCATCCCCCCACCGACCAGCCCAAGGAGGATTGGTTTCCTTAGTAATACAATCTGATTCTATGAACTTCAAACGTGGCTACACTGAACGTCAGCCAGAAATGCTTACAGTTTTCATCTCTGTCCTCTGCACCCCTGTGCTGGGCGTCAGCAGCTGCTTGGCGATGGCCTCCCTCTGGGTGGGGTTGGCTGCGCTCAGCACTGTGCGCGAGCCGTCCTCATTGATGATCATGGTGGCCCCAGGGTGAATGTTTGGGCCGTTCACTACCGCCTGCCTCAGCTCCTGCACGTTCCACGGCGTCACCGGCTGAGGGTAAGTCAGCTTTGTGGCAAACACCTGATTTTAACAAAAAAAAATGGTGTATATATAGCACCCTTCATGCAGGGGTAACAGCTGGGAGCGCTTAACAATGGTAAAGCCTGATGCTGAGCCACGGGTGGGGGTGGCTGTAAGAGGCCGAAGAGGAAGGTCTTCAGGCGTGATCTAAACGAGGAAGAGAGAGGCAAGGCAGAGTGATTGAGGGAGTGTTACAAAGCTTCGGGGTGTTGTGGCTGAAAGCCCTGCCGTCGATGGTGGAGCGGAGGGGCCGAGGGACAAGCAGGAGGCTGAAGCCAGCCGAGTGGAGGTGGTGAGTGGCGGAGTGGGGAGTAAGCAGGTCAGAAGAGGTAGAGAGATGTGAGGGCGAGAAGGAATTTATAGACAAGTGTGAGGATCTTGAAGTCAAAAGGAGCCAGTGAAGTCTGGCAAGGACTAGTGTGATGGGGGTGCGGAGTTTAGTGTGGATAATTATCCTTCCATTTGATAGAAACAGAAATCTACTTCACAGGATGGCACCATTCAGCTTTGTGGTCTGCACCGGTTCACAGAGAAAGAGGGCAGAGCTGAAGCTTTGGGATCCTCACACTTGTAGTTTAAGGTTGAAATGGTGCAGTACTAGAATTACACCACCAGAGGGTCACAGAGCGTACATCTCAACTTGGGTATCCTCTAGTGGTCGGAAAGGAGTACTGCATTATTTCAAATTAGCAATCATTACTTAAAATGCCTACTCTTCTTATTATATCATCGAAACATCTCAAAGTCCCTCACAGGATTTACTGCAAAGTGTAGTGCCTGTGTATGTTGTAGATGAATGCACCCTTCATGGCAACCCATTCCCACTGTCGGTGCAGGACTGTAGAATAACAGCCCCTGCTTTATTGATAGGATATCCAAAATAGACATTTTACCATTGGAATACCAATCTCATTGGTGTTGATGTACATGTCGGGGCAGATAACCGAGCGGGCTGCGTAGTCCACACGCTTTCCCATCATGTGCTTCCGGAAGAGGCCGTCCTTCTTCTCTAGAATCTGAGTAAAACACATGTGGTCTTTAAAGGCATCTCTGTACACAGTGCACACGCGCAAATATTTTAAAAGCGCACAACTACTGTTGAGAACAATAGGAAAAAGAAAAAAATAGCAAATCTCTGCACTTCATTAACTTATAGCTTAAGAGCACCACAGTACGCAATGCACCATTTAACCCTTAGAATGCTGGTGGATACAGCAAACTTTCAGTCTCCCCAGAACAGTCAGTTTATCATGTTTGCAGCTCATGCACTTTAGACACTGAAACAAATAATAACAAACTTTTGCACTTGATAAACAGAGAACACTCTCGTGAGCCGTTCACAGGATTTAATAATAATAACAATAATAATCCTCGATAGACTTTCTCTCCCCTTCCTCCCCGGAAGACTCAACTCGTCAACCATCACTCGTGCCTCCAGCTCACCTGCCGAATACCAGGGTACTTATCAGTTATCAGTTTGTCCATATCGCTGTCAAAGACTATATTGACGTGACTCTGCATGTAGATCCAGGAGTTGTAGAGTTTGTCAGTCAGTGTAGTCCCGGGAATAAGTGTCAGGAAGGCTCGGTCTGTGTTGTCATGCAGGTCTTCCGCCTGCAAATGCAGCCACACACAGACACACAGAGCATTACAGTCAAGTCCATAAGGGTTGCCTTTAGTACAAGCAGAACATTGTACAGGAGGGTGAAGGGGAGTGGGAAGAAGATGGTATCTAAAACAAAGGGAGATTTAGAAAAACAACAACAAATTGCATTTATATAGTTCCTTTCGCATCGGGAGGACATCTAAAAACGCTGAACAGTCAAGAGTTTGTGCCTGAGCTCTTGCCTGGAGTCAAGAGGGGTGGAAGGCAAGGGTAGTGGTGGGAAGATGACCAAAGGCGTGGTCGAAGAGGAAGGTCTTGAGACGGGTCTTGAATGAGGCAAGGGGCATGGTGGAGGGGCTCTGGGATGAAGATCCAGAGGGTTGGTGCAGAAAGACTAAAGGCCTGATCTGCAATGGTGGGGTGTGGAGTTAGCCAGTACCGGCCAAGATGTATAGAAAAATTTATAACAATTAATACTCACATTTTATATAACGGCTTCCACATTGTGTAGTCTCAAAGCACTTTGCAGGATATATAGTAAACAACAACAAATTGCATTTATAGAGTGCCTTTCACATCAGGAGAACGTCCCAAGCCATTTTTGCGCCAAAGTGCAGTGACTGCGTGGGTTTTGTGGGTAAAATGGCATTCAACTCAATGTAAATTTGTATTGTAACCCTCGTGACCAGCTGGTGATACGTAGCTTCAATTTACTTGAGTCTTTCAGTCTTACCGTCTCTTCAACCCCATTTGCAGGCCTCCCCTGCTCGAATGCGATCAATGCCAGGAGTTTCTGGATGACTTGGGCATCTTTCATGACAGCCTGAAGGTTGACAGTCTGTCCGTTGGTCAACATTTTGTCTCCAACACGATTGATTGGACGAAATCTGTGCAACAGAGAGGGCAAGAGCGAGACATCAACCCTTAGCAGGCGTGTTGCTCCCTGCGTCTGGACAGTGTGAGGCAGGAACACTGAGGCAAATAATATTTTTAAAACTTACTTTTTACCAAGAAATTTACAGCGCAGAAGAAGGCTTTTGGCCCATCGAGTCTGCACTGACTCAGAGCGAAGTGTTCATTCAAAATCACTGCCCTGTCCTCATATCCCTTCAAGCTTCTATCCTTTACATATCTGTTTACTTCCCTCTTGAAACCCATAATAGCGTCTGCCTCCACCACCTTGCTTGTTAGGATTTCCCAAGCCCTTAACACGCTCTGTGTAAAAAAAATTCACCCAAACTCTACTTTCGTGATTATCTAATACCCATCTTCTCTTGCACTGATTCTTCCATGAAATTCGGACACTCTTAAGCGTGGCGATAGGTTTCTGCATGACACCCACTGACCAACAAAAAAGAAACAGTCTCTCGAAGTCCTACTTTCTAGCTCTCAACCCCATCACATACAAATAGTGGACATTTTCAAATCTGAAATAAAACCAGAAATCCACAGGGCTCTACTGCAAAATCAGTTGAGTTCAGATCCCTAGCAGCTATACCCAAGCTATATAGCGTTCTGGTCAGGCTGTACCTGGAGTGCTCTGTACAACAATAACAACTTGCATTTATATAGCGTACAGTTCTGGTTTCAATGGCATCAACCAAGCCATAGAGAACAACAAATTGCTTGGGGTGGATGGGAAGATGGCCAAGCGGAAGGTCTTGAAGGGGGCAAGGTAGATGAAAAGCAGTGAGAAAGAGAGCAAAAAGGATGATCCCCAGTGTTAGTGGAATAAGCTTTGAGGTATAAATAGATAAGCTAGGGCATTTGGGCATTGAAAAGAGATGCCACATAGAGGCCGTTTAATCTAAAGTACCTCTGACAGGGTAGTGAGTCCTCTGGCACTGCATTGGTGTGTCACCCTGGACTGCGAGTTCAAAGTCCTGCATTGAGGCTTCAACCCATTTCTGGCTCAGATGCGAGACTGCTACTAACTAAGCCAGGCTGTATTGAATATGATTCATCTTCCTGTAGTACAATGCATGGCATCAGGGCAACTCAACCTGCCCCAAAATTCCCTTCCCCATAAGCATCAAATTATTCAACAAAAACAACTTGTATCCTACAGAATAGTACAGGCAACGTTTCTTCATAACTTTTGCCGTCAGCATGTGAGCACATTTCTCTAGAGTCCAATGACAACATCAGCTGTTCTTTTTTTAGTCAGCCAGTGTAACATATGTAGAAACCCATTAATGTGCGAAAGAGCACCCCAAGTACACATTAATTTTTCCCATGTATTGGAATGGAATGCACACTCTCTCCTTGTAAGGATACATCCTGCTTACCCAGTTCCAGAGAGAATTAGGCACAGGTTGGCAAAAGCCATGGCTTGGCGACCCCAGAGTGTGAGTTGTGGTACTACTGGAGTCTAACCAGCTAAAACCGCAGAGCTTGGCATTGAGTGCACTGTCTGGCAAGCTTTGTTGCTGCTTGTCCAGCTAGGACCACCCTCACTTTAGGGCTTTGGCTTGCAGGGTTAACAGGAGGTGAATGGGAAAAATCCCTGACCCTAGTGACTTGAAATCGCAAGGCTAAAAATGTACTTACTAACATTAGCTTGGGACATTTCCACTCTATTGGGACATTGGAAGAATTCAATTTTTGACCAAGTTGTCTTACCGGGATGGTGGTACCACAACGAGATCCAGGAAAAACATGTCGAGGTTCCAGCCAGTCTTCGCATTGGCGGTTAATTCCAAGCCAGGAAAGAGATATTTCAGGAAGAAGCCTAAGAAACAGTATATATTGGTGGTAGTCTAAACTCAGTAAGTAACTAAGTTAATAAGTAACTAAGTCAATCAGTCAACAAATAATCACTGCATTTGAAACAGCCGTTCATGTCAGGAGGACATGTCAAAGCACTTCAGTAATTATTGTCGAGTGTAATGACCGGGATTCGAAAGTCTTGAGACGGGCCTCAGTGTATAAGCTATGCAGACCTTAGAGGTCTCGGGTTGAGTCCAGGATGAACTCAAGACAGGGTCTCTGCTCCTGGTGCCTACAGGTGAGGATGTGTATGGCAGCCGTGTGGGGAGAAGTCAGGCCCGGGGCTGTGGCCTGCTGACACTCACTGGAGGGATGGGGTGGGAGGGTACCAGAGGGCAGCCAGTATCCGTGGAACTGCACCTCGCTCAGCAAGAGGAGGCTAGAGACCAGGAGCAGAGAGGCATATGCCAGTGGGGAGAAAATAATTGGCCACACTAAAATTTGAATATCAAATAGAATTCTCCTCGAAAACTGGACACAAGCCACTCACCATCATTGTTCCACAGCTCCAGCATGTGCTCCTTAGCCGTGCTGGGGGTAAGAAATCCTCGCTTTCCCCACGGGTTCTCATCAAGACCTGTCAGACAAGCATACATTTACTCACAAACGAGTGACAGAAGAAATAACAATAATAGATGACAGCAAAATTAATATAAAGGGAAGAAAACAAACAATAATCATAATACTTCCATTTGATATAGCACCTTTCACATCGGGATGATGTCTAAAGGCACTAATTTGTAGGCAGCCAATTTGTGCGCAGCAACGTCCCCATAAACAGCCATGGAACTGCACCTCGCTCAGCAAGAGGAGGCTAGAGACCAGGAGCAGAGAGGCATATGCCAGTGGGGAGAAAATAAATAAACGCTCCCCCAAAACTCTGTATTGGAGTGTCAACATAGACTATGAGGTCCCAACATTGGGATTGAACAGGCTGCCGCGTTTCGCTCACAAAATACAGTCAATCCACTTTGCAGAATATCCTGTGAAGCACTTTTAGACGTCTCAACGATGTGAAAAGCGCTATATCAGATGCAAGGAATATTATTACATTATACTACCTCAAGGAAAGAGTACTACCAATCGAGTCAGGCTGACAAAACATGTGGAAAGTATAGAGGTAACTTTATACCAGCCTCACCTGCAATCGTTTGCGTAGTGTCTTGCTCCACAGCCTTTTTCTCCAAGGTCTTCTTTGGCTTGGTTAACCGTATGGTCGAAGGATACGTCACTATTATCTTGCTGTTATGCTCCTTCCTCACAACAGCCTTTCCCATTCTATATAGAAACATACGAGAGGTTGAATTCAAAAATAAATCCTTTACCTCCTTCCAATACTATTTATAATAATCCTTCTATGTGACATAGTGCCTTTCACATAATTGAGATGTCTCAAAGCTATTCACAGTATTTTACTGTGTGGACCAATATGGCTGCTAATTTGCACACAGCAGTGTCCCAAAAAATAGTCGTGAAGTGAATGACCAATGCTATTAATTATTATTATTAACTGTTCAGTCTCACTCAGGTAGTACTCTCGCCTTTAAGTCAGAAGGGTGTGGATCAAGCCCTCAGCGGGACTTGGAGCTCATATGGTCTAAGATGACACTCCAGTGCAGCGCTGAGGTTGTGCTGCATTGTCAGAAGTGCCATCCTTCAGATAACATGTTAAACCAAGGTCCTGTCTACCTATTCAGTTGGAACTTAAAGATCCCGTGGCACTATTTGAAAAGAGACGGGCGTCTCTCCCGTATCCTGACCTACAATCCCCCAAAATAAAATTGGTCATTCATTTCATGGCTGTTTGTGGGACATTGCTGTCTGAAAAATGGCTGCCTCGTTCACCCACAAAACACACAGTCACTACAGTTCACAGTCTTTCCAGTGAAGCGCTTTAAGACGTCCTCCTGACGTGAAAGGTAATGTAACAAATATTATAGCACGCAGCAGCCCAATCTGTACAATACAACAACAACAATGTTCCAAGGTGCTGGACAGTTGAGGGTTTGTACTCGAATTGGGATGCTGGGGGGAAAATCAAGTGAGGGTTGGGTGGCCAAGGAGGAGGGGGGAAATCAAGAGAGAGTGGGGATGATGGGGGAAAGATGAGCAAAGATGCAGTTAGAGGAGGGTCTTGAGATAGAGCTTGAAGGAGGTGAGGAAAGGGCAAGGGCGAGGTGAAGGGTCTGTGGGATGGAGTTCCAGATGGTGGCGGCAGAAGGGCTGAAGGCCTGACCGCTGATGGTGAGGCGGGCAAGGTGAGGGACGTGAAGCAGGTGAGTGTCTGCCAAGCAGAGGGAGCAAGCAGGTTGATAGTTTAAGAAAGTCACAGAGGTAGGGTGGGGTAAAACTATGGAGGGATTAAAGTGAGGACGAGGATCTTGGACTAGATCCTCTGGGGAACGTGGATGTGACAATGCGGCAAGTTGTCAGAAAATGTTGAATATAAGACTTGGATATAGGTGTTGAGACAGGTTTCACCCGGGATGATTTTCAAGCGCCAGCTACTGACAGAAACAATTCTCCAATGTGATGATGTGTCTCTCCAATAACTAGTGCAAAATGGTTCCAAAAAAAAAGGAGAAAAGAATTTGTGTTCTGGGTTTCCGCTGACTCAGAAACAGGCAATAACTGAGCTAAGCACAGACAGTGTTTGCACAGTAAAATCACTCACTTGCAGTATGGACACCTTTTTGACTGCATGTGGCTTTTCCAAAAGTTTCCTACTAACTTACTCCTGAGGTCACTCAAGCTTTTCACCTTGAAAGAGAAAGCAACATATGATAAACAGATTATTTCCACCTCAATGTGCTCAAATATTGACTGTATAAACAGGAGGAGGCCAATCAGCACCTAGAGCCTGTTCCACTAGTGCCTTTCACTAGTTGAACTCAAGTCTTTCACTGGTTGAACTCAAGTCTTGGCTGATTCTCTAATGCAGAGGCTCTAGCAGATTTGGATGAAATGTTAAACAGAGGTAACTGCGTGCCTGTTCAGGGGAACGTCAAAGAACCTATGACTCTATTCAAAATGAGAAAAGTATTTTCCAGGTGCCCTGGCCATCAATCCCCCAAATAAAATTGGTCAATCACTCCATGATTGCTTGAGGGACATTGCTGTCCGCAAATTGGCTGCTGGTTTCGCATACAGAATACGCAGTCACTATACTTTATAGCAATATCCTGTGAAGCGCTTTGAAACTTCCTCCCAACATGAAAAGCATTATATCAAACGAGAAAATTATTATTATTGTATCTGACCCAGTTATAACACAGTGGTTCATGACTATGATATGGTACCCGGGTGATAACAGGTCACGTCATAGCGTTTCTGCGCTGAACTGGACGGAGAATTAGTGCCGATGCATCTCACGAGCATTCCCAGCAATGCCTTTGTTGCTGGGAGGCAACCTGCACTGGCATGTCACGATCAAGAAGCCGTCTAATTAGTGCCAGAAGTGCAATAATAATAATCCTTACATTTGACAGTGCTTTGTTACATCATCGAGTATACAGAATATACTAGTAAAGTGAATTGACTGTGTATTTTGTGGGTGAAACACGGCAGACAATTGCGCACAGCAGTGTCCCACAAACAGTCATGGATTGAGTGACCAAATGTTTATTATTTACCTTTTTTTTAAAGAGTTTATTACCCCCCGGAAAGCAATCAGACAATCAACTAACAATCGGATTCCTATTTACTGCTAGGTAAACAGGCGTGTGGGATAAGGAAACTTGCCAAAGGTTTCACCCTGCCCGGGAATCAAACCCAGGACCTCTTGCTTGCGAGGGATCTAACCAATATGCTACAGGACTGCAACACACTTCTGGCACATGGTGGGTTACGCGCACCCACTTTGCCACTCAGGATAACTGAATAATCGACTGCATTATAATAAATAAAAACGAAAGATCCCTTGGATCTTACAGGAATTGGGAAGGGTATGAAGAGAGTCTTGGGAATATTCTGACCTCACTTCTGACCATATTAGATCCAATTTTATTATTATTATAGTATTTTAATCTTATTTTGGACCTCGACTACAGTCACCCACTGTAAACCTCTGAATTCCCCTCTTCATTTTTTAAACACTTCAGTCTTATCATTAAGGTAACACACATTGGTACGTTTTTCATTTACCACACTGAAAAACTCTCTTTGACTGTACCTCTATCTCCCACCCCATTCAGGATCCCATCACATTTCCTTTTTCCTCATCCAAAGAAAAAGCAGAGTAAAAATTTTAACCTCCCACTGCACAAGACCTTTGTCTGAATCACACAACAGTAAACCCTAACTCCACCAAGTGATTGGCAAGGCAAGGCTCATCACGAACGGTTTTCGTGCTTACTTGTGCAGTTTTGCATCCTCCTCGACTGTTGAGTGTAGCTTGAGTATGTTCATTCAACACTTCTCGGATTTCATCTGCCGAAGAGTTTGAATTTTTCTCCAGGACCTATAGACAGAACAGAATTAAAATGATGATAATCCTTGCATTTCGTACAGTGCCTTTCACATTGAGACGTCTCAAAGCACTTCATGGGATAGAATAATAAATAATAATCCTTGCATTTGATACAGCGACTGATCACATCGTCTCAAAGTGCTTCATGAGATATACCGTGATATGACAACTTTTGGAGGTGAATTATTCAAACCACAGCAAGTTGAAATGTGTCCATCATTTGGTCTCCCACCTCTGCTTCCCCCATTGTTCCAAGACATGCAGCAGGCCTGAGTTGGACGAGTGGAGGGGGCAAGCAAAAGAGCAAAAGAGTGGGGTGGGAGAAGATCAAAGAGATAGGGAGTTCAAGGGCGTCAAGAGTGAGGGCTCAAAATCGCTCAAAGTTGAGAGACAGTGAAACTTGTCAAGGACAGGGGTGAAGGACACACAGAGTTTGGTGCGGTTGAGGCAGTTTTGGATCGGCTTGGTCTTGTGGATTACGGAGCTGGGGAAACCAATTAGGAGTGCATTGGAAAAGTCAAGGCGGGTGGTGACAAAAGCATAGATAAAGGTTCCGGTGGCATTTGGTTTGAGATGAGGGTTTCACTTTGGTGTGAATTCACTGAAAGGGTCCTTTTCCACCAGCATGATGAGTTGGACGGACATAAATTAAGGACTCGAGTAAAGAAAGAGGGGGGTTGGGGGGTGGAATGAATAGCCCCAAGCAACCTGTTTGAATCACATTGCACAGAAGTGATGATGAAAACAAAACAATGCAAAGAGAAAACAAATATAAATAAGTCTTATTTTTTTACCCCATTCAGCACTTCTTCCAGGTTATAGACAACATCAATAGCTCCAACTTCCAACACTTGTAGCTGACTCAGCAACAGGTATAATATGGCACGGGAGCAGGTTAGCATGTGGCAGTTGAAACAGGAACCTCGTATCATCAGATACAATTTCTGCAGGGAAAACATTTCATGGAAAGAAAAAGCAAAAAAAAAATCAGCACAAGATTATAGGAACAACAAAAACAACTTGTGCTTATACCCTTCATTTAGGGTGGCGTCTTGGAGCGCTTAGCAGGTGGAGTTTGATTCTGAGTTGGGGGAGAGAGGGTGACTGTAGGCACGGTCAAAGAGGAAAGTCTTCAGGTGCAATTTGAAGACGGGCAAGGAGAAGACAAGGTAGAAGGATTGAGGTAGAAAGTTCCAGATGTAACAATAAATAACAAATCAATTATTTATAAGAAATTAATCAATACTTACATCAAAAAATACTGGATTATAGACGGTTAGCGGGAGTTCTATATGACCTAGGTGTCCAGGGCAATTATTGTAATCCTGTGCACAGGTGCCACACACTTCCTTGGAATCGCCAGGTCCTAACGCAAGGTCATACAGGCCATTCAATGATGGGTTACCCATGGTATCCAGATACTTGGGATTAGAGATCACCTTTACACTCAGCTTCCTTAAACACAAAGTGAAAATAATTATTCACAAAAATCTTAGTTATTAAATTAATAATAATCCTTGCATTTGAAATAGAGCCTTATCATGTCATCAGAAGATCTCAAAGCACTTCACTGTATTATACTGTAAAGTGCAGTGACTTTTTTTTTGTAAGCAAATACAACGGCCAAATTGCACACAACAATGCCCACAAACAACCATGAAGTGAATGACTAATTTTATCCGGGAGATTGTTGGCCAGGATCTTCCAGGCAATTACTGTTCATCACCTAAACATTCTGCTAAAGGCATAAACATTCTACCTTAATTTGGCTTCTTAATCTACAAGCATTGGCAGAAAAAGACTCCAAGGGATCCCTGACCGTGACTACATGCTGTATGTCCGAAGCATATTTCATCAGCACGCATTTGTCCTGCTGAACCACCCCACGTTCCCCAAACAGCGGTGAGATGAATGAGCATATTGTTTTCCAAGAGCAAACCAATGTCGTAAAGATGAAAATGCTACTGAGAAAGCCCATCTGGCCCCACCATCAGTGGGCTGACCGATTCCAACACTCAATTACCAACTCCACTTTACCTTGGAGCCAGCTCAGGCCCAAGGAGATTCCACTTAACTCCCTCCTATCTCCCCATCTCCCTCTCCGCTGCCTTAAGAGTTTTGCTCACAAAATATACAGTCAATTCACTTTACAGTATATTCTGTGAAGTGCTTTGAGACGTCTCAAAGACATGATAAGGCACTATATCAAATGCAAGGATTATTATTATTACCTGAACTCCTACCCACTGGGCTTCCTCCATAACTCCCTCTCCACCACTCTTGATGCCCTTGGCCCCCTCACTTCCCCAACTTCTCCCACACATGGAAGTCACCCGGGTACAACAGCCACCTCCATTCCCTTAAAGCTCAGGTGTGTGCCACTGAATGCACCTGGCTCAAATCCAACCTAACAGTCCATCGGCAGATCTGGCTGGACTTTATCAAATCTTACCACTCCACCCTCGCATCTGCTAAACCGTCCTTGGACTCCAAGACAATCTTGAAGGTCAAGGACAACCCCAGGCCCCTCTTCTCCATCACCAACCGGTTCCTCCATCCACCCTCTCATGCCTCGCCCATCTTCTCCTCCAACGCCAACTGCGAGGAGATACTGGACTTCCTCAAAACCAAAATCAAGGGGATCAGCTGCCTTTGCCTTTCCAATCACTACTGCCTCCCCATCCCTCCCACCTTCGAACCTGTCTCCCCTCCTCTCTCATCACCAACTATAACCCACATGAAACCAACCACTTGCTCTCTCGACCCCATCCCTACCCCTCTCCTTACCTCCCAGTTTCACCTTCTTGCCCCCCCTACTCACAGACATCATAAACCTCTACCTGTCCACTGGCTTCGTTCCCACCCCTTTAAAAACAGTCATCATGACTCCTATCCTTAAAAAACCCTCCCTGGACCCATCAGACATCAAGTCCTGGATGAGAGCTAACTTTCTACAGTTGAACATCAACAAGACTGAAGCTCTCCTGATTGGTTCCTGTCAGCGCCTCCACACCTCAGGCACTGACAACATCACCATCCAAGGATGCACACTCCACCTTACTAAGCCAGTCTGAAACCTTGGCATCTTGTTTGACCCTCAGCTATCCTTCCTACCCCACATCCGTGCCATGTCCTGCTCTGCCACCCCCCACCTCCACAACATTGCCCGGCTCCATCACTATCTGATACCGTAGGCCGCCGATTCCCTCATATACGCATAACATAACATCCAGGCTCGACTACGCAAACTCCCTGCTTGACGACCTCCCCAACTCCTCCTTCCGTAGGCTGCAGATCATCCAGAACTCTGCAGCCCGTGTCCTCTCCCGCCCCAAGCTCTGCGACCCTATCACCCCCATCCTCACTCGACTCCACTGGCTTCCCATCATACAGAGCACACTGTTCAAGATCCTGGTCCTCACCTTCAAAGCCCTCCATGGCCTCGCTCCCCCCCCTACCACCGCGACCTCCTAACCCCCTACCAATATGCCCGCTCCCTCCTCTCAGCGATCTCCGTGCTGCTTCGTGTCCCCCGACCTGCCCGTTCCACCACTGGCAGGCGAGCCTTCTGCCACTCTGTCCCCATCCTCTGGGACTTCACCCGCAGTCCCTCCCCCTCATCTGGATAATTATTATTATTAATACTGAGAATTACTATTATCCCTTCCCTCGCTTCTTTCAAGACCCGTCTCAAGACCCTCCTCTTCGACCGTGCCTTGGGTCACCCCTCCTTCCCCGCCGGCCCTCCCCGCTCCCGGATCCCGAGCTCAGGTCCGAAACGCCAACGGTCCCGGCGCCTTGGGGACACCCTCCCGACGTGAAAGGCGCGATGCAAATGCAACGCCGTTGCTGTTCCTACCCGGAAGGATAGCCCCGGGCGCCAGTTGCTTATTTGGTCAAGCAACAAGGGACCAGGTGGAGGGAGGGACAGGTACCAAGAGCTTCCTGGGGAGCAGCACGACTCGCTCAGCATGAAATACACAAGAGCATATATATATATATATGTATATATATATGGCTGTCCCACCCTCCGGCCCTCTGCCCACAGATGGATCACCAGTTGGCACAGATGTGGAGCGAAACCCGGGAGGGACCCTCGGGAGACGAGTGCCTGGGGGGGGGGGGCAGTCGGGGGGCCGCACGGCTCACGTTTCCCGCTCTCTTTTCTTTTCTTTTTTGTTTACCTGATTTCTTCCGCCGAATAAATGTTGAAAGAGACGCCATCCAACCGCCGCCACGGGGTCTCGCTGCCGATTAACATTTTTGCGTAACGGTCATGAACCAGAGAGTGTGGAGGGCCCTGTCCGGGGGGGGACAGAGAGGGGCCGGGGCCCGGCACAGTGAGTGATGGCCGGGCTGGGGCCGGGCGGTGGGGCCGGGGCTGGGGCCGGGCAGAGTGAGTGATGGCCGGGCGGTGGGGCCGGGCTCGGGCCGGGCAGAGTGAGTGATGGCCGGGCGGTGATGGCCGGTGGGGCCGGGCAGAGTGAGTGATGGCCGGGCAGAGTGAGTGATGGCCGGGCGGTGATGGCCGGTGGTGGGCGGTGATGGCCGGTGGTGGGGCCGGGGCCGGGGCTGGGGCCGGGCACAGTGAGTGATGGCCGGGCGGTGATGGCCGGTGGTGGGCGGTGATGGCCGGTGGTGGGCGGTTGATGGCCGGTGGGGCCGAGGCAGCGGCACGTGGTCGGCGGACTGTGCGACTCTCAGCCACACGGAGGGGGGGGAGGAGGAGAATCAAAGCCTCCGCGTGGATCGTACACCAATCACATAGATCCGGTTTCCCTTTCTCACTGGTTTGCTGAGTGGGCGCTGTGTGTGTGTGTGTGTGGGCTGTGCTGTGCCTGGGAGCTGTGTGTGTGTGGGGGCTGTGCTGTGCCTGGGAGCTGTGTGTGTGTGTGTGGGGGGGCTGTGCTGTGCTGTGCCTGGGAGCTGTGTGTGTGTGTGGGGGCTGTGCTGTGCCTGGGAGCTGTGTGTGTGTGTGTATCTCCGCTGTCGGTGTCGGTGATGGCGGCGGTGCCCTGCGCTCGGGCCTGGCGGCAGTTCGCTCGCTGCAACGGCTGCGGCGGCCTGAGGAGGGTGGGCCTGGCACCCCGGTGAGTGCTGCGGAGATGGAGCCGTGCCGGGGGGGGCGCGGGCCTTTCGACAGGGAGAGGCGGGCGGGCGGGCGGGAGAGAAGGCGATCTTGGGCGGGCGGGCGTGAGCGAGGGCGGGCGGCCGCGTGGGTGACGGTCTGACCTCGCGCGGCTCTCAACGGTCGCAGCGCGAGGCCCGGGGGTGGCAGTTGGTAGTGATTTCAAACCCCACGTCAGGACGTGGCGCCACACGGTCTAAACTGACACCAGTGCAGTGCACTGCACTGTATCGTCTGAGGTGTTGGTCCTTCGTGTGAGATGTTAAGCCGAGGTCCCCCCTCCCTCCCTCTCTCTCTCTCTCTCCCTCTCTGCCTCTGTCCAGGTGGATGTTAAAGATCTCATGGCGCTATTCAAAAAGTGTAGAGTCTCTCTCTCTCTCTCTGTCTCCCTCTGTGACTTGGCCAACAATCCCCGCACATCAACATGGGGTCGCTCACCCACCCCACCCCACCGCTGTTTGCGAGGCGTTGCTGCCGCGCAAAACGATTGCCGCGGTTTCGCCCCATAAATACGGTCGCTGCACTTCACGGTACGTCCCGTGCAGCACCTTGGGATGCCCTCCCGATGTGAACGGCGCGGCGCGGCGCCAAGTGTCGGGACAGTTATTACTGTGTCAAGGCAGCTGACTGCATGTGGGGAGAAACCGCCTGTTGCAGCCCTTGTTATGCAGCAGTTTGGGAGTGTATGGATCCGAACCACCGTGTTATTTATTACAGGGCCTCCGAAAGCTTAATAGTCTTGTCGATAACCGATTGCTTTGGGTTGATTGGAGACGAAGTGTCGTTGATTACACCCCAAAGCGCTTTGCTTTTCATCGTTTTCAGATGGACGTCCTTACTCGAGGTCGACGTTTCAAGGGGGAGAATTGAAAGTCTTGTCAATCGGTTTTGAAAAAAGGGACTCGGTTGCTTTACAAGGAATATTAAGGGTTACAGCGAGCGAGCAAACTCCGTTAGAGCAGTTAACTTGTGGGGAAAAAAGCACCATCCGTACACACAGAAGGGACATTCACGTTTTCTTTCCAGTCAGAACCATCTCCAAATAGTTTTTGGAGACAGCAAAGATGAATTCAATTTTGGTTTCTCACCTGCACAGAATCAAAGCTCATCACAACAGAGTGTCTTCACGTTCTTTTAAAGAAACATGCCTTAATTAATTATAGATTTGAGAATCTGAGATAGAAAAGATTGAAATATGATTTTTAGTAAAATTATATTTCCCATTTTTGCATACTGTATTGTAATATTCATGTGTGGTCATAATTGAAATTATTCTAGCATGATTTTAAATTGCAGTTCTTTCATTTTAACAAGATTGTTGCTAGAGCATATAAGCTTTAAATATTCCTTGTTAAGTCATTTGAGCTGACACCTACCCATTTCAGAGGTGACTGTTGTATTATAATTCCCGAAAGCAGGAATTACGTGGAGTCCTGGAGCACAGTGGTTAGAGCAGTCGCTTTGCAAGCGAGAGTTCTGAGTTCAATTCCAGGCAGAGGGCGAAACCTTGGGCAAGTTTCCTTACTCCACACAGAGCCTAATAATAATCCCTCCAAAACCCACAACAATAATAAATTGGTCATTTTCAATCTACGACTGTTTGTGGGACATTGCTGTGCGCAATTGGCTGCCGCGTTCGCCCACAAATATACAGTCAATTCACTTTACAGTGTGTTCTGTGAAGTGATTTAGGACGTTCTCTCGACGTGAAAAGCGGTATATCAAATGCAAGGATTATTATTATTATTATTTTCTGTGGGGTAGATTCTATGATTCTATTATATAATTATTTGATTTTTGCTTTAATTCTTTGACAGAAGTTATTCCTCCAGCCGTCTTCTATGTCAGCAAATTGCACCCAGCCAAACAGGTAATTTTTTACTGGTTCTCAATCAGTTCTATTGTAATTTCTGTTAAGTGTGGGTGCAAGTGAGTTACATTTGCAGTTGTACCACAACTTTGGTGGTTTCATTATTCAATGTTTTGAACTTTTAAGGTTCTGCAGAAGAGATCGTTATTCCAAGAAAGAAAACCTGGTAAGTATTGTCTATTTTTCTAAATCTTCTAATTTGTTTCTGAATATCATTTTAATCCTTTCAAAAAAAACTAATAATTTAGAAACTTAATCCATGATTGTTTGTGGGGCACTGCTTTGTGCAATTGGCTGCTGTGTTTCGCCCACAAAATATACAGTCAATTCACCTTACAGTATATGCTGTGAAGCGCTTTGAGACGTCTCGAAGACTTGATAAGGTGCTATATCAGATGCATGGATTAAACATGGATAAAAGTAGTGCAGTTGATGTAGTTTATATGGACTTTCAAAAGGTATTTGACAAAGTGCCACATGAAAGACTTGTAAGAAAGATAGAAGCCCATGGTATAAAAGGGACAGTGGCAGCATGGACCCAGAACTGGCTGGGAGACAGAAAGCAGAGAGTTGTGGTGAACGGCTGCTTTTCTGACTGGAGGGAAGTGTACAGTGGTATCCCCCAGGGATCGGTATTAGGACCACTGCTCTTCTTAATATACATAAATGATCTGGACTTGGGTATAGCAAGTACCATTTCCAAGTTTGTGGACAACACAAAGTTAGGTAGGGTGGTAAACAGTGAGAAGGATAGCAGCCAACTGCAGGAAGACATAGACAGAATGGTAAAATGGGCAGACACATGGCAGATGAATTTCAATGTAGATAAATGCGCGATAATGCATTTTGGTAGAAAGAATGAGGGGAGGCAATACAGGCTGGTAATACAATCTTAAGGCGGGGGTGAAAGAACAGAGAGACCTGGGGGTTCAGGTAAATGAATCCTTGAAGGTGGCAGGACAGGTAGATAAGGCTGTAAAAAGGGCAGATGGGATACTAGGCTTTATAAATAGGGGCATAGAGTACAAGAGTCAGGAGGTTATGATTAACCTATATAAAACACTGGTTAGGCCTCAGTTAGAATATTGCGGTCCAGTTCTGGGCACCAGACTATAGGAAGGATGTTAAGGCATTGGGAAGGGTGCAGAGGAGATTTACAAGGATGGTACCAGGAATGAGATGCCTTGATTATGAGGAAAGACTATAGAGGCTGGGATTATTCTCATTGGAGCAGAGAAGGTTACGAGGAGACCTAATAGAGGTCTTCAAAATCATGAGGGGATTTGATAGGTTAGAAAGGGAAAAACTGTTTCCACTGGTGGGTATGTTGGTGACTCGAGGTCACAGATTCAAAGTAGTATCTAAAAAGCAGAGGGGAGGTGAGAAGAAATGTTTTCACGCAGCGAGTTGTTCGAATCTGGAACGCATTGCCTGAAAGGGTGGTCGAAGCCGATTCGATAACTACTTTTTAAAACGCAGTGGACGGGTATTTGAGGAGGACGGATCTGCAGGGTTATTGGGGAAAGGGCTGAGGAGTGGGATTGACATTACATTGCTCTTTTCAAAGAGCCGGCACAAACTCGATGGTCCGAATGGTCTCTTTTTGTGCTGTACGATTCTATGATTATATGATTATTATTGCACAACCCAATTCTTGAAATGGGAAAAGTCACAATAGTTCAGAGGCATGAACTTTTGTAGCACCGTTTACGTGGGGTGAACATGTCAGACTTGCTTCAAAGAGCGAAGTCGAAAGAGTGGAGTTGGAACTTGTAACTTGTAAGATAGCGGCAATTTAATCCTGTTTTGAGTTAATAATAGTTATTTGCTTCCTAGGGACAAGTTAGCAGTCCTTCAAGCCCTTGCCTCGACAGTGAACAGAGTGAGTAATTTTCTCATTAAATCAGTTCTATTTCTGGTCGAGGCATATGTTTTGCGATGTCTAGAAGTGCTCAACCTCTTGTTGCTCCATCTCACAGGACCCCACTGCTGCACACTACCGCTTTCAGGATGACTCGTACCTCATTCCAAAGACATCACCTGAATTTGTAAGTATAGCCAAGTGCTGCAGAATCGCTGTCTTAATGCGTTGTTGGAGGAACCATAAATCCTAACCGACCATGCATCGAGCCAGCACTCCGCAAAATGTTGTCATTGATCATTCCTGCACTACAAAATGACCGACTACTATGTCGGCAGGTCCGACCTCAACATCACTTCTTGTGCATTGGCCTCCCAATCTAATATGATGCTCCAATGCAATACTGGAGGAATGCTGTACTGTCGGAAGCAAAAAGGTACCGGCTTTTCAATACACAGCCTAAGGTCCTAGTGTGCACATAGGCTAGGTTGTACGTTGTCGTGTGTGCAACAAACCTAATACCAAGAATGGGTTAGGTTGTACATTGTCACTTCCTGCGTAGTTTACTACTTTTACCTAACAGTCCTGTTGTTTACTACTTTTAAGCTAAAATGGCCAACTTCGAGGTTGTTCACTCACAGCTGAAGTCACTTCCTGCTTTGTGCGCACCCAGGAAGGAAGCAAATTGGTTGTGTGCATACGTAGAATAAATACAATTTGTTATAACCAAGTTTTCGCTATAAAGAAGCAACAACAACAACAACTTGCATTATATAGCAGTTTTCACAGGGGAGCGCTTGACAGTGGCGGAGTCGGGCATGAGCTGAGGGGAGAGGTGACCGTAAGGACGATCAGAAAGGAAGCTCTTTAGGCGGGATTTGAAAGTGGGGAGGCAGGGGCAAGGCAGAGGGATTGAGGGAGAGAGTTCTAGAGTTTCAGGACATAGTGGCTGAAGGCACGGCCACTTATGGTGGAGGGGATGAGGTCAAACAGGAGGCCGGAGTCAGCCGAGTGGAGACAGCGGGTAGTGGAGTGGGGAGTAAGCAGATAGGTAGGGAGGTGTGAGGGCATGAAGAGATTTGAAAACAAGTGAGAGGATCTTGAAATTAATCCGTTTGGTAATTGGGAGCCAGTGGAGCCTGGCAAGGGCTGGTGTGATGGGGGAACGGAGTTTTGTGCAGGTGAACATCTGGACGGCGGAGTTTTTAATTAATTGGATTTTGTGTATGGTGGAACTGGGGAACCAGAGAGGAGGGTATTGGAATAGTCCAACTGGGAAGTGACGAAGGTGTGGGTGAGGGAGAGTCCAGGGAAGTTAAGGAGTTTAGACCCGCAGGAGAGAAGAGTATGGTTTCCATCTTGTCGACATTCAGCTGGGGGCAAAGGAGTAGGGTGAGGGCCATAGTAGGAGGAGAAGGTGATGAATATAATCCTTGCATTTGAAGGAGTCATGAGAGGGAAGAGGAGGAGGCAGGCAGATGTTATCTTTACATTGATTGTTGTGGACCAGGGGCCAACTCTTCCCCCCCCCCCCCCCACTGTCCCTTGTCCAACACATGCTGCACCTGGGATCCCTGAACACAATACTCCCTTCATCTCCTCGACCCTCTTCACCCCCCCCCCACACCTCTCTCCCCCTCCCCCCTCTCTCCCTCTCCCCCCTCCCCCCTCTCTCTCCCTCCCTCTCCTTCCTCTCTCTCCCCCCCACCCCCATAATGAGGCCACACTGCCCTTTAAAACATTTCTACCATAAAAAAGTTTGCAAGTTCGGATTTCATTAACTAATTTTTTTTTTCTCTCTCTCGTAGAGACTCTATTCCCTTTCACAGGAATCCGGACGTACTGCTGCCAAATACATTTTCAGCAATTATCCAAATTTTTTCCAGAGAGACTTTGCTGAACCTTCTATACCTGTGAGTTGTGCCCATTGATTGTACTGTTTTGGATCCTCGGTATCCAATGCTATCTTCATTGTGTTGATCCAATCTCCATTATTTAAGATTAGCACCAGCTTCCTAAAATGTACCAGTGTGAGGTAGTCTACTCACCCAGTGATGGAGCACTAAATGCCTGAAGATAAACAGGAATGCTAGAATTATGTAAGTATAGAATTTTACAACACTGAAGTAAGCCAGTTGGCTTATCAAGTCTGTGAAATACAGTCTCTTTGGAAGAACTACCTATTGAGTCCCATTGCCCTAACTGCCTTTTCCCCATTCCTGTGCAAATTACTCTTTGTTCCTGGCCAACAATATCGTAAGTAATATTTGTTACTCACTCCATGGCTGTCTGTAGGATACTGCTGTGCACAAATTGGCTGCTGTGTTCGCAAATCGCATACACAAATCTAATATGGATCCGGTCCTTAACCACCGTTCCCCTGGGGTATTCTCATCCTAACAACGCATTCCTCCTAATCTTACCCCTTTTTATTTTTGCTCCTTTGAGAGCTATCTGAAATTGTCACTGAACTCACCAACTAGTGGAAATATGTTTATACTCTATTAAAGTCATCTATCAGATCTCCCTTCAATCTTCTCTGTTCCAGTTAAAATGGGCTCAAATTCCTGTAGTCTATGTTCAGGCCAAATCACTCATCTTTCCTGTCTAGCTGTTCACTTAAAAATGACATTATACTATTCAAAAGGAGAATTTTAACGACCTCTATCAAGTCTTGCCTCGAGCTTCTTTGTCCCAATGAAAATAGGCCCAGTTTCTGGAGTCTCAGGGTTGTGCCGACCAACAATCCTAGATAAGTTGGTCATTCACCCCAAGGAATTTTGTGAAACTTTGCTGCTGGTATTATATTCACTACACTTCACAGTATTTACCTGTGAATCGCTTTTAACATGACACTTTGGGAAGTTTAATTTTATTAATGGTGGTGGGGTGGGTGCATAAACACGGGTTGAGGATTGTATGAAAGCTTCAAAGCAAAAGGATGAATTTTATGCGTTTATTTTTCCGTTTAGTGTTTAATGCCTCAGCAGCTGGAGCCACTGATAGAAGAGATCAGCGAGGCTGCCTTGAAGGAACGGATTCAACTGCGGAAAGTGAAGGACTCGGTCAGTCTGTACGATCAACTTGTACAAGCAGGTTAGGCTTCACCTGTATTTGTGTAAACTGTATATGCGGATTTACTTTTATATAATGCCTTTCAGGTCAGGAGGATCTCCCAGGGTATTTAATAATAATGGCTTGGAACCCAAGGTAGGATTGGGAGCCAAGAGGGAGAGGGGAAAGGTGACCAAAAGTGTGGTCAAGGAGGTAGGGCTTGAGACGGAACTTTGAAAGAGGTGAGGAAGGGACCAAGTCAACACAGTCTGGTATGGGGGCAGATAGACTGAAAACCCAACCGCAGATTGTGTGGTGGCTGGAATGGGAGGCATAAAGCAGGTGGTATAATTAGCCATAAGATGGTAACTGCTCACACAGGAGGCTCAGGAGATATCAACAGCCTGATTCTGTTATTTCTAGACACCCACACACACCCATGTCAAGAAGAGGGATCACTGGATAGTGATCAGCCACAGGCCCCCTGCCTCATTTATCCCTGTAGAGCCCATGGTTGTTAGGTCTAAGCTGGGACAGAAATTGAAGCTACAGTTTGCTTTGGTTCACTGGACTGGGGCTCCGATGTAACATGAAATTCTGTTGGAATTGAAGGACGCTCCAAGCGTAAGAAGCCATCAGACTTTGATATTTGTATTTTCCTCTACAGGGACTCCTCTGTCTCTTGGGACCACAAATGGCTTGTTGGATCTACTTTGTGTTTATGGAGACCAAGAGCCGCCCAGTGATGATCAGATAGAGCTCGGAGAGGGTGAAAGTCTGGTAATGAAAAGTCTGCTCCTTTGATGAACAATAATAATGCTAGCATTAAATATAGCAACAGGCTTTACGATAGTAACTAGTGACTGCGTATTTGTAGGCAAACACAGCAGACAGTGTACGCGCTGCAGTGTCCCACAAACAGCCATGAAGTAAATGACCAATTTAATTTGGATGTTCATTGGTCAGAACAATGGGAGAAACTCCCTTCTCTGTTCGAATAATACCATGAGATCTTTAATGTCTGTCCAATGGACAGGGCCTCTGACAGTGCAGCACTCAGCACTCAATCGAGTTCTTTTTTCAGTGCTGTTTGTGGGCTTGGCCTCAACAGCCTTTTGTAGTAAAACAGTCTGTACCCTGAGGTATTGTTTTTAGGTGATCAGTGATTACTTTTTGCTATAAGGTGTCTCTGTAGCTGAATATGTATCTGTCCTGTAACTGAATATGAACAAGACGGAAGCCATATTCCTTGGCTCCTGTCAACATCTTCACTCTAAATTCCTCAACCTCCCTGGGCTCAGACTCACCGAACCATTACACAATCTAGGTATCCAGTTCGAACCCCAGCCGTCCTTCCTCCCCCAAATCTGGTCACTGACCAGGACCGCCTTCTTCCACCTCCGCCACATTGCCCGAGTCCCACGTTTACCCTAAATGCAGTCGAAATACTCGTGCATGTTTTTGTCACCTCCCGCTTGGATTACTCCAATGCACACCTCGCTGGTCTCCCCAGCTCTGCAATTTAAAAAATCCAGCTCATTCAGCACTCTGTCGCCCGCATACTGACCCAGACCAAACTCTGTACATCCCATCAGTTCTGGCCAGGTTCCACTGGCTCCCCATCACCGAATGGATCAACTTCAAGATCCTCACACTCATGTTCAAATCCATTCACTCTCTGGAATCTTCCTAACTCCAACCTCCTCACTCCACAATCCACCACCTGGTGCTTCCACTCGACTGGCACCGGCCTCCTGCTCGTCCCTCGCACCCTCCGCCCCACCATTGGAGGTCGCGCTTTCAGCCACTACGCCCCGAAACTCTGGAACACTCTCCCTCAATCCCAGTGCCCTGCCCCCCTCACCTTTTCCTGCCTGAAAACTTTCCTCTTCGACCCTACTTACGGCCGCCACCTCCCTCCCCCGGCTCGGAGTCAGGCTCCGCCACTGTTAAGCGCTCTGAGATGCTACCCTACGTAAGTGCAAGTTGTTGTTGTATGTGCTAACCTCCAGCTGTATTCCCCCCCCCCACTGGAAGCCAGCAGCCATGAACACACAGAAGCGGAGAGGGCGCCTACGTAAAGCTTCAGAGCTGCTTACCATCACCTGGAGGTAAGAGCACCTGGTAATGGAGCCCCTGTCACTAGAATCCTAGTGCAGGGGGAAATCACTGAGTCAAGTAGAGAGGGAGAATCACAGACCAGCAGGGATACACACTTCATACATATATTATACATACTTTATTACTAATAGTCTTATTTGTTTAATCGCCTCTCTCCTGTACGAAGCTGGTGCCTTTGCCAGTTGCATTTCAAAAAGTCTTGTATTTGGAAAAAAAATTAATTAATTCACAAAAAAGTGCTATCTTAACAACTTGGATTTTGGTAGTTATCACATGTGTTGCAATTAAACACTGCAGAAATCTTTTTGGTGATGGAGGAGGGAAGAGCGAGTTACAGGTTCTGAAAAGACTTAACTAGCTGAAAATATGAGCATACAACAACTCATTTACATTTGTATCAAGCCTTTCACATATGGAGGACATTCAAGGAGCTTAATAATAGCTTGGCACCTGAGCTGGAATGTATTGTTCACTTTTTTAATGTTTCTTTTTTCTTCTTCCCTCCATTCAGAGACAACAACAATGCTGAAAGGATATTTAACCTGATGCCCGAAAGGAACGAACACTCATTTTGCACACTGATTAGAGGAATGGTTAAGGTACTGTTCTTCAAACTCTCTGCCGGGTGTTTTTGTTGACCGTTATCGTACCGTCGCTTGAGGAGTGTGTCTTATCTTGTTCCCGTTTGTCTCCTCAGTTTGGAGCCTACACAAAGGCGATCAACATGTACACAGATTTGCTGAACAACCGAATGAAAGGTGAGAGTTTGAAAAGACTCTTGACCCATAAGAACTCCTAGAATTGCAACCAGCATTTCTCTCTGTGTACACGGCTGCAGGGGTAGTCTTAATAATAAGTAATCCTTGCATTTAACCTAGCGACTTATCATGTCGTTGAAACGTCTCAAATTATACTGTAAAGTATATTTGTGGGTGAAACAAGCCCCTTTCACTTTAACACAGTGTCTCAAAGTGCTTCATAGGATTTACTGTAAAGTTTAGTGACTGTTCATTCGGTAGGTACATGCCTACAAGGAGAAAAAACTTGGACACATTGATGAAAAGAGTAACCCTAGCTGGGTGAAGCTTGCCGGACAGTGTTCACAATGGCATGCTTTAGCCGGTTAAACTCCAGCAGAGCCCCAATACACTCCCTGGGATCTGCAAGCTTCAGCTCTTGTCAACCTGCTCTTAATATTTTCTGGACTTATGGAAGCAGAGTGGGTCCTTCCAGATAGACAGTTCACATTCCATTCAAGACATAGGCAAATTTATCCTACATCTGTGGAACTCTCAGTCTGATTTGGATAATATTAAACATGGCAATGGGTTTCCTCATGTGTCATACACGAGGAAAACCATTTCAGTCATGGGGTCATGTGGCGACTGACCCCCCCCCAAAACACTCACCTGGTCATGTAGAGCGAGACATTGCACCCTGACACTTGTCTCCGATTTCATATTGCTGAGAGATATTCACTATTATTCATTCACGACATTATGCATGTGACCCAAAAATCACTGGGTCTCCCAAGGAACTGTTGGCAGATATTAATTGGAATATAATTCTTTTTAAGGAACCCAATTTGTTTACCAGCAAGTGTTGTGTGTTTTTTGTTTTACAGCTGATGTTCACACCTTCAATGCACTGATAGCAGCAGCCCCTGAGCTGAAGGAGAAGTACAATGAGAAATTGGATTTTATTGTGGTGAGCGTAAAAATAATACTTGCATTTGATATAACACTTTAACACGTCATTGAGCCACCTAGAAGGGTTTCACAGGATATACTGTAAAGTGGACTGACTGCATATTTTGTGGGTGAGCATTGGAAGTTAAAGTTGGAAATATGCAATGATTACCTGGACAGTAAACTTAGCAAGTGGATTTCATGTGTTTATGGTGTTCTGTGGTTTGAATGGGTATGTGCTGACCTGTGAGCCTTCCTGTTTTGAGTCATTTAACTTTTGTGTAACAGGACTTGTTGAAGCAAATGGCAGAGCAGGAGGTGCGGCCAAACCTGTTGACCTTTAACTCTGTGTTGAAGAGTTTTCGTAGGTGCGGGGCATACGCTAAAGGACCCTCCTTGCAAGTGGTGAATGAAATGAAAGCACTTGGCATCGGTATGTTACTGTGTACAGTGTGTTAAGACTTAACTTCATAGTCATTTGCGCAGAGTGTGACGATAATAATTTGATATAGTGCTTTTCACGTCCGAAGAACATCCAAAAGCAATTCACAAGATTTTACTGTGAGTGGAGTGACTTGTGCATTTATATAGTGCCCCTCACTCAGGAACGCTACACTGCATGAGAGGTGCTATATAAATGCCAGTTGTTGTAGACAAGCGATAGAATTAACTGAATAACACTGTGTCCAAGGTATGATAAAATTGACTCTAGCTTTGGGTACAGGTTGTGATATTATTTAGCATTGTGTTGAGTACAGTGAGTATACTTCAGTCACTTTGTGTGTTCAGTAACATTGGTGTATTTTAAAGTGATATCTCTGATCCCAGTGTGATGAAAGCTGAGCCATTCTGTGTACCTTGTGTTCCTGGCAATGATGATTGGCGCAGGGGTACTTACCTCAGCTGGATAATGGGAGCTGAGTGCTTGCGTCTTCTGCTCAGCCTACGTGTGGTGGGCTGTTCAAGGAGCGTCTGCACGAGAAAAACGCCTAAATCTGAGCCAGGGCTGCTGAGAGACAGAGTGAGATTTGTTTGAAGGGAAATGCAGGATTAACAGGAGCTGAGTGGAGGAATCCCTGCTGCCAGTCTGCATCTCCAGTCCTGCCGATGAGCCAGGGTAGTGGTGCTGATGCTGTTCGCACGATTCTTACTGAACTGCTTCCCCAGTTCTCCTTCCTGGTTCCAAGCTTCTGTGCGTGCAGCAGAACGTTTTCTTCAGCACATTTGCAAAGACCTGGTACCTGCCATCCATGTAGCGAGGTTCAAACCTGCATTTGTTGGAGGTAATGACTACCTCTAATGAGGTAAATGGGGTCTCCTTGGAGTTGAACTGGCTCCAAGGTGACATGCCTGGCAGTGGAATGTTGGAATCGAGCCAGGCCTCTGTGGTGGTCTCGGTAGTCCGATTCCTGAGCCAGACGGGTGCGCATTGTTCCAGGGCACTGCTGATGACAGCACAGCCAGTCTGGCTCATTGGCACTGTCACTGGGAGTAAAGAGTTATCCCACTCAGCTCCTGTTAACGCTGCAAGCCAAAGCCCTAACGGGTAGGGTAGTCCTAGCGGGAAAAGCAGCAGGAAAGCTTGCCAGATGGCAATATCAATGTCAAGCTATGTGGATTTAACTGGTTAGACTCAAGCAGTACCCCAACACAAACTCTGGGGTCCCCAAGCCACGGTTCTTGCCAGATTGATCTTCAGTTATGGGAATATTGATTCTGTGTGTGTGTGTGGAGCGGGTCAATTTACAGGAACATTGGGAATAAAATTACGTAAATTTCCCATTGTTTAAAAAAAAGCTTGATTCCAGTCTCATAACCATTTGTTCCAACTAAGGCATGAATGTTAACGTGTCCTTCAATTTCTTTAATTCCCGTTTTAGAGCCATGTTTGGCCACCTTTGATCACCTTCTTGCCATATTCTCAAAATCTGGTAAGTTGTTTTTTTTTAGTTGAATGCAACCCAAGAGCCAGGTTTCTTGAGTTTAATGAAGTTCAATATCTAATATAATTGGATGAGATTTTTTTTTGCTTCTGTTTTGTTCTACAATGTTTCCAGGTTCACAAGGTATTTCCTGTTCAGTCGCTCGCTTCCGATTCTCTAGACCTGTTAAGTTCCATTGGTCTATAATGGGCGTGAAAGACATTGACTTCAGTGGGTGTGGTGTGTGTGTGATACATATACATTGACAGTGCAGGGGTAGGGGCTCAGGGGTACAGACCTCAGCTGGATAATGGGAGCTGAGTGCAGATGTTATCTGTTCAGCCTGGGTGTGGTGGGTTGTTCCAAGAAGCATCTGCATGAGAAAAAACGCCTGTATCTGAGCCTCTGGAACAAGTCCCTCGTAAAGCCAAACAGTGGTGAAATCTGAGTGGTGTCAAAGACTGAAAGTTAGGGTATATCTTTATGTATTCATATGCCTGTTTTACATTGATTCAACGCCTTGGGACGTCCTCCCGACGTGAATGGCGCTATACAAATGTAATCTTGTTGTTGTTGATACACAATCTCCACTGTAAATCGGAATAATTGAATACCATATTAGAGCTATCTAGGCAATTCGACAGTTCATCTGCCCTGGGAAAAAGGACATGTGTTCCTCGGTATAGTTGTTGTTCAGGTTACCACCCACTCGCCCCCCCCCACCGTTTGAAATTCCAGTTTGCCTTGATCTTCTTTTCTTTTCCTCCACCCCAAATCCCCTCTACCTTGAATAGCCTGTTATCAGCCTGGCTCAAAATGTTTTAGGTTCAACTACCACATTGTGGTTGAAGTTGAGCTCTTATAGTCTAGACTGACACTCCAATGCTGTTAGGGGAGCATTCTCAGAGGTTCTGTCCTGTGGATCAGACTTTTAAACCAACTAATGTTCAGACAATTAATCAATGTAATGTGGATATTAAAGATCTCATAACATTATTCAAAAAAGGAGGTACTATAAGGTGTCCTGGCCAACAGTCCTCCAGAAAATAATTGGTTATTCACTTTGAAGCTGTTTATGGGACATTGTTGTGCACAAATAGGCTGCCGCGATTGCCTGCAAATATACGGTCACTTCACTTTTTACTGTAATTCTTGTGAAGAGCTTTGAGACGTTTCAGCAATGTGGTGGTATATCACATGCAAATATTAATATTGTGTAGGCTGGCATCCAGGGCTTCACAAAATAATAATCATTTGAAATGATTCAAAACATCTCCAATTACTGTCGTGTTGTGACACGTTAATGTAGACAAATGTGGCAGCCATTTTGCCCATAGCAATGACCCACAAACAACCATGAAGTGAATGATCAATTTTATCTGGGGTGTTGGTCATGGGGGAGAAACTCCCCCTTTTGATTTGTGTTGTTGATTTGTTTAACATAACAGTAAAAAAATGATTCTTGCATTTGTTTTACCACCTTTCACTTTAGGAGAGTGCCTCAAAGTGTTTCACAGGAGTCTCTTGTAAAGTGTAGTGACTTTCACTGACAAAAGAACAGCCAGATTTAGCATCTGAGGCAGCAACTCAACAACTTCCCCAGTCCTTGCAATCAATTCAATTCCCCCAGTCAATGGCTAAGTTGCTAAAGATTAAAGTTTTGTGTATTGACCTATCAAGTACTATACATCTCTCACTCTCTCTCTATCTGTCTGTGTCTGTGGGCTTGGGTGATAACGCACATCATTACCTGCAGTACTGTAACATTTTTCTCTTTATCCTCAGTCATAGCTGGTCGGTCACAGGCAGACATTATCTTTAAGATCTTTGATGAAATGGAACAGAAGTATTTTGTTCCCCAGGATCCTGATGATGGTAGGTGTTATACAATTCCTACTGGGCTAATGTGAGATTAGCTTTACAATCAGCCTCTCCTTTGTCTTTAATTATTTAAGGGCAGATGGTTGAAGCCAGGACACTGGACTTATTTAATAAACCAATTAAATTCTGTAATGGGAAGATTGCAGGGTTAATATACTGATGGGTTGAGACCAAGTGGGCCAAACGCACTTAAGGTGATTCAGAAAGCTGTAGTGGTGGAATGGATTGACATGTTTACAAGAGAGATGGACAGAAAAGGGGGTAGAGGCTTTATTAATGGGTATGACTAAAAAGAGTGGGCACTGAGATTAAAAGATATGATGAGGTCTAATATTGCTTTGCACATTGTAAAATGGGATGAAGGAAGCCCTTTGGGTCATTTGATCCCAGTGAAAAATATTTCAAGATTTTCTTCAGTAATTTTGATCTGTTTCCTTTCTTCACAGTATACTTCTTTACCAATGCTATAAAAGTGGTGAGTATTACCTTTGACTTGTATGAGTAAGGATGATGATTTTTTTGAGTGTTTGAAGTTGATTGATGAGTTGTCTAAAGTGCTATCTATTGAATGAGATGCTGAATGAGGTCCTCTTACAGGGGAATATTAAAGATTTATTCTATTTTCTTAGCATTTCAGAGCATCCAGAATTCTGCAAATTCTTAAATACAGCTTTTCACTCACAAAACATACAGTCAATGCGCTTGCACTTTACAATATATTCCATGCTCCCTCTTGGCGATGTCATCCATAGACATGGGGTAAACTCCCATATGTATACAGATGACACACAAATCTACTTTGCCTCCTCCAGCTGCAATTCCAGGTTCGCCGATGTTCTATCAGCTTGTCTGGCAGACATCAGGGCCTGGATGAGTTCAAACTTCCTGCAGCTGAATGTGGACTGTAACAACTTTCATAGCTTTAAAGTTGGAGGCAGTTGTGTGAGTGTTCTGGAAGGATGAATTCAATGGGCCAAAGGGTCATCTTTATCTGAACTGCTCTTGTGGTGGTGTGAAAATATTCATGTCTTTGTTTTCTTCCTTGCAGTGTCTGAACTTGAAAGACCTTGAGCTGTCTTACAGAGTACAGAAGATAGTTGAAACTGGAGACAACAGGAAATTATTGGGGGACCCTTACCAGCAAAGCATTTACTAGTAAGAGCAATTGATTCTTTAGTTGATGAACTTCAGCCTGCGTTCAAGTTCATAGGGTTTTAACACCGCCCACAAATATACGATCAATTCACTTTACAGTCTATTCTGTGAAGCCCTTTGAGACGTCGCGAAGACATAAAAAGCGCTATATCAAATGCACGGATTATTATTATTATATAACCTATTTAAAACGTGCAGCGGGAATGAGCATTTTGACGTTGAGCTTAACATCAGGTGTGGATTAAAATGTCAGTGACAGGAGATGGGCAAGTTTATGTCGAGTTGATAATGAGGATTGATTTCTCTGAAGAATTTTCATTCTAAAGGGCAAAGGTTCTTAATCCCATTTTATTGTGTTGTCTTCACTCTCACACTCTTATTCATGGGCACATAAATTCCAGCTCTCACACTCGCTCTTGCACATACTCATACACACAAACATGCACATTTCCTCTCACATACACACTCATTCACTCGTGTGTGTAGGTATCACTAGATAGTGATGGGGAGAGGGAACACTGACCACTGACTGACTGTTCTGTCTTTATTCCCAGCGGGAGGCTCTTTACCATGGTCTGCATGATGGAGAATATAGACATGGTTCTCAAGTGGTACAAGGAACTCATTCCGTCGGTAAGCTTATGTTTTAACCTGGGCGTGTGGCGATTTACATTTATATAGTGTTTCACATAGAAGAAATTTCTTAAAGTCCCTTTACACACTGGTAGTTAAAACCCTGGTCATTTTCATGTAAACATTGATGTTATGCAAACTTGTCCACAGTTGTACTATCCGAACACCCAGGGTATGAAGGAATTACTGCAGGCCCTGGACACAGAGAACCGATTAGAGCTGATCCCGAGAATTTGGAAAGGTTTGTGACCCTGTCTCAGGGTTTGTTTATACACATGTGTGTAAACACTGATGAATACTTGTGTGTGTGTACGTGAAAGCACCAATGGATGTCAGCGTGTGTAAACTGATGTATGTCTGGAAATGGCCGTGATTCATTTTGGTGTGGTCTAGTTTCTCAGTTCAATGAGGGTTGAGGTCTCTTTTCTATCGCCCATAGACATTAAGCAACTTGGTCACTCGAACAAGCAGGATCTTGTGGAGGAGGTGCTTGAATTGATGGCCCGGGAGAAGCACAGTCCGCAGGTAAATGAGATTTCCCGGCTGTAAGTGAGGTCTCCTTGGAACTGAACTGTCTCTTAAGATGACAAGCTTGGCAAAGCAATATCGGTATCAAGTCAACCCTCGGTAGCTGTCTTGCTGGTCTGGTTCCTAAGCTAGGCGGATCTGCAGTATTCCAGGGCACTGCTGATGACAGTACAGCCAGCCTAAAACTGGGTTGCTTATGTGCGCCCTGTACTTGAATGTGTGCCTTATAGTTCAATGTTTGCATGGTATTGAAGTTTTCAACTGTTTGGGTCTTGCAAAGAGTTCAGATATTATGATTCTTTTTCTTTCCAAAGTTACAAGTTGAGTTTGCTGACTGTGCGCTTGATGTGAAGACTGTGTATAATAATCTGAATCATAATTCCAAACTGGAGTGGACCTCTGGCTCCTTGGGGAACATCACCACTCTGCTCTTGAGAGGAGGCAGAACTGATGATGCTTGGTAAGAATTTGTGAGATTGTTGTTACAACTTTCACGATGATGTAGCCTGCCGGCCCTGCATAATTAACAAGGTTCATGCCTGCAGATTTGGCCACAATCTGGATTAAGAACTGTCTCTTTACAGTGATCAAGCTCTCACCCATTCTGTCCCCTTCATCCTACCTTTAAATTCCACCTTAGAACCTTTTTGTCCCTGCCTTTTGTCACCTTTACTCCCACACCCCCTTACTACACTATTTGGAGTCCTATAGCTCAGTGGTTAGAGCATTCACTTTGCAAGTGAGACACCTGAGTTCAATTCCAGGCAAAAACCTTGGGCAAATTTCCTTACTCCACACGCCTAATAATAATAATAATCCCTCCAAACCCAAAAAAAATTGGTCATTTTCAATCCACGACTGTGGGGCACTGCTGTGTGCATTTGGCTGCCGCATTTCGCCCACAAATATACAGTTAATTCACTTTACAGCATATTCTGTGAAGCGCTTTGAGATGTCGAGAAGATGTGAAAAGCGCTATATCAAATGCAAGGATTATTATTATTTCCAGCTCCCAATCAGCCCTCTGAAGCACTTTGAGGCATCCTCCCCACGTGAAAGGCGCTACATAAATGTAAGGATTGTTATTAAAGGGGACCTTCATTTTTCAGATGAAGCTATTGTATGACGAACATAAACAGCACAGTGCTGACCAATTTCACTTCACTATAACAGGTCTGACTGTAACTTGTCTGCACTCTAGTAGCTTCCCCAACACCTCTCCCACGAAAGCCATCTGCTCTTTCCCCATTCTGTTTTTATTGTTCAAGGGTTTAGTACCAGTCCCTATACCTAGCAAATGATAGAAACCATTATTTTAAATTAATTTTCTTGCACTGAATCTAGACCTATGTTGAATGCCATTTGTCAGCTGGTTGTGTAACTGAAAAACACTGATTTGTGTGTGTGATACATTGGCAGTGATGATCGGCGCAGGGGTACAGACCTCAGCTGGATAATGGGAGCTGAGTGCAGACATTATCTGTTCATCCTGCGTGTGGTGGGGTGTTCCAAGAAGTGCTTGCATGAGAAAAACTGCCTGTATCTGAGCCTCTACGACAAACCAAACCAAACAGTGTTGGGATCCAGAATTATGCAAGTGATATGCAAAAGCTGTGAATAACACTATCTGGTGTATATTACTATGTTGATTTCTTGTATATCTAGAAATGTTGAGTACCATGGGTGCACTGTTCAGCCAACACTGTAATCACTAGCCACCCAACTTATTTTTAGTAATCTCACTTTCCAGCTCTTTTCCCAAATCCCTTAAGATTTTTTTTATTGCTCAGGTGCTTACCTAGTTCCCCTCCTGAACAAACCCAAACAAGCCTCTGAAGTGAAGATATTTCTTCAGATCTTTCTTCCTTATATAATAAATAATAATCCTTGCATTTGATATAGTGCTTTTCACGTCTTCTAGACAACAGCAACAACAAGATTACATTTGTATAGCGCCTTTCACGTCGGGAGGACGTCTCAAAGCGCTTCACAGAATACACTGTAAAGTGAATTGACTATATTTATGGGAGAAGTGTGGCAGCCAATTGCACACAGCAGTGCAAACAGTCATGGATTGAGTGACCAAATTGTTATTTTATTTATTTCCTTGAGGTATTATCAGGTATGTGGTGTAAGGAAACTTGCTCAAGGTTTCGCCCTACCTGGAATCGAACTTGGGTCTCTCACTTGCGAGGCGAGTGCTCTAACCACTGAGCTACAGGACTTCTTCTGCTTGCAGTCCTGAGACTGTTTCCCGTTGTTACCAATTTTCCGAAATGACCATTTGTGTTTTTGTTTAAATAAAGATATATATATATATATAACTTGTCTTGCTTATTTCCAGGGCAATGCTTCAACTATTCAAAGCTAACAACAGAATCCCTGGGTAAGTTGGTTGTGAAATAAATTGGCACACTAATAATGTAGAATCTTTTTGCAAAGTGCAAGCATTGTCCCAGTCGGTCATTGCAGATATGACCGATAAGTGGGGTCTCCTTGAAGCTGAACTGGCTCCAAAGTGACATGCTTGGCAACGGAATGTCGGGATTGAGCCAGACCTCTGTGGCGGTTTTGATAATCCAGTTCCTGAGCCAAGCGGGTCCGTAGTATTCCAGGGCACTGCTAATGACAGCACAGCCCGGCCTGGCTCGTCAGCAGGACCTGGAAAGGCAGAGCAGTCAGTCTGGGGCAGGGAGTCATTCCACTCAGCTACTGTTAACCCTGCAAGCCAAATCCCTAATGAGTAGGTTAGGGTGGTCCTAGCTGAACAAGCTAGCCAAACAGCAATATCAATGGCAAGCTATTTGGATTTAATTGGTTAGATCCCAGCAGTACTCCAATGCACACTCGAGTTCCCAAGCCTTGGCTCTTGCCAACCTGTGCCTAATACTTTCTGGATTAGGTAAACAGGATGTGTCCCTCCAGGGAGAGAGTTCACATTCCATTCCAACAATCCATCTCTGGGATTTCCATGTGTAGGTGGATGCCTGGAAACCTCAGTTTAGTTTGGATACTCTAAGTATAGTGATGGGTTTCCGCATGTGTCAGACACCTGGCTGACCGAAAAAAGATTGCACCTTGCGAAATTCCATGGGAATGTATGAAAATGTCTTGTTTCACACCTTTGGATTATGTATTGCATTCAACTAGATAGATATCTAAAAAGGAATAACATGCAGATCTCCTGGGGTCAAGCAACACTGGAAACATTCCTGAGAACACCTGCCAGCTTCCTACCTGCTATGATCAGGCATTGACATCGGCAGGACTGGGAAGTGCTGACTAGCAGCCTGTTTTTATAGTGTTCCCTGTATAATACTGGGGCTTATCTTGTGCCTCCCAACTCCCTACGATGCAGTAGGGCCGGCCTGCATCTTCTAAAGATTATTTTTTTTTCAGTGAATATTTGCTGGATGAGTTCTTGGACAGTGCGAAGGAGAGCAAGAACAATGCTCTGGCTTGGATGTGGTGAAGCTGGCCACTGCTTTCAGTTTACCTGCTGCACCAAAGCTGGCCACCAGGGTGACCACTGAATTTCAACTGACCAACGAAGACAGGTAAGGCTTTTGCAATAGTCTTTTAACATAAAACTCGTGAGAAATTTTTGAGAAATGATGGCACCATTTCTAAGGGAAACTGGAGGCATGTCAATTTGATTGACAGTGGTTAATGGTCTTTAATACTGGGTGCATTTATTTAAAAAAGTGAACTTTTTATTGTAAATTTTAAAACTTTCTGTTTTCTTTCAAACAGAATTGATCTGGATGAGCTGAATGCCACCAGCAGCGACAGCAGCGACAGCAGTGACAGTGATAAAGAATAATTGATCTCTGGAATCATAAAATGCTGCTTTTTATTTTAAAAGATCCTATTAATCATTGAAATCTACGTATTTGAGGACCTGGTGTATTTATTTTGAGTACATAACACACTTGTGTAGTGGACTTGCAGAGTATTCAAATGCAATGTAGGAAGATGGATGAACGATCGTAACTGGTGTAAGTTGAAATATAGCTGATAAAATTTCATTATTTAAATCACTATTATTTAAGTCACTTCTGTGGTTTATCAAAAAAAAATTACACTTGCCAGGTACTTCAGAAACCAATGCTTCTGCTTTTGAGTGTTGAGTTAAACACACTTCATTTTGGAGATTAACTGGTAAAATGTCAAATTCTGGTAATTTTACTACACCTAGAGAACTCTGGTCTGTCAGAGGGCAATTACATTGATAGCTGGGAATAATAATAATCTTTACATTTGGTATGGCATCTTTCATGTCATGAAAATGCCCAAAGCCCTTCACAGGATGTACTGTAAAATGTACTGACTATGTTGTGAGCAAATGCAGCAGCCAATTTGCACACTGCAATGTCCCACATCCAGCCACGGAGTGGGGAATTGTTGGAAATCACCGACTGGAGAAGAAACTTTGCAAATTGGGAATTTTTACATTAGAGCCAAGGGGTTAATTCAATGATGGTATAAATTAGATTAACCTGTAGTTCTCTATTCATTGTCAGACTCCACTACATGGAGCTTTCAGATGCGGTACCCTAAGGCAATGCAAACTACACTGCCTCATCCTCAAATAACTTGCTAATGTGGTCTACCCAGGCACATAGGATTCATTGCTGCTACGTATGGAGCTGTACTTCAGCATGAAGGGAGGGAGAGATGGGCAAAAATTGCCACCTGATATTTTCTCCACTCCTAAATCCAGGGCCAACTGCAGCCACATTATTACTCCAGAATGCGTTATTTCTTGAGGATTCCAACACCGAAGATTATAGGGGAGATTTGTGGTCTCAGCAATATTTTTTTAATCCTGGGCTAAAGGTCTGGTTAAGAGTGAGGTCCCTACTGCCCAGTGGACCTTATTTAGGATTTAACTTCCTTTGAGATCAATAAATCAGTTCAGGTAAAGACTGGCAATGTATAACAGCAAAATTACATTTATAGAGTGCCTTTCACGTCAGGAGGACGTCCCAAAGCGCTGAAATAGACAAGTGTTGTAGACACTGGAAGATGGTCCTGCTTAATCCAGGAGAACAGCAGATGAGATGGGAGCTTCAGGTCTGGAAGATTTAGAAAAATGACCAGGACAAATAAAACAGCAGTAAGGAGGTGTGTCATTCCAGTACAACTGCAAAGTGATATGGGGGAATAAAATAAGGTGAAATGGGACATTGAAAAAGACAACTAAAGGTTGAAGGCAGTGTTCGTGCTTTTGTGGACTGATTGGTGCCTGAGAAAAAGGTGGAACCTGCAACTTGGTTGGGATAAATGCAAGTGGATCAGAGTACAAGGAGTGAGAGGTAAGTGTAGATCAATAAGGTCAAAGTGCAAATGGGAGGCACCATAAATGTAGGTCAGCCAAACCAGGTCAGATGGGAAGCTGAATTGGCAAGCCATAATGTCATGTGCACAACAGTTTATATTAATACAGCAACTTTCATGTACAGAACATGTCTCAAAAGTGGTTCATGGTTGCAGTAAGGGGAAGATTGAAAGTGCATTATCCACTGTATTGGCTTTGTTCAAAAATTAAATAATAGTATACATATTTTCACTTATTGATCTTAAATTCCAGACCAATCACAAGAACAGGGAACCACCTGAAAGAAGTAGCTCATCATTTCTACACCCTTCCCAAAATGTGGCAGTTAATTGCACACAATAGTGTCCCATAAACAGTTGTGGATTGAGTGACTTAAATTATTATTTTTATTAATTTATTTTTTTGAAGGGATTTTACCCCCGGAAAAGCGATCCATATTATTACTTATAATGATCCTTGCGTTTGATTTAACGCTTTTTCACATCAGTCTTAAAGCACTTCACAGGATTTACTGTAAAGTGCAGTGACATTTTGTAAGTAAATGCTGCAACCAATTTACATGCAATAATGTCCACATATACAGAGCCTATGCCATTAATCATGTTTCCTGTGTTGGGAATTCTCATTATGAGGTTAATGAGGAAGTCAGTCTGATCTTAGGTGATGAGTAGATAATAACAATCCTTGCCTTTGATATAGCGCCTTATCACATCTTCGAGACGTCCTATAGCACGTCACAGAATGTACAGTAAAGTGAATCAACTGTATTTTGTGGGCAAAATGTGGCAGTTAATTGCGCATAGTACTGTCCCATAAACAGTCGTGGATTGAGTGACTATTTTTTTGAAGGGATTTTTACCCCCTGAAAAGCGATCCACCCATTGACTTAACAACCGGGTTCCTACTTACTGCTAGGTAAACAGATGATTTAGCTTGCTGCTTTGCACTCAACTATCGGTAAAACCTTAGACCTGTGAATGTGTGACAAACATTTGAGACCTTTTTCACTTGCAAATAATTTTGTTTACTTTATTATTACATTAATATAAATTTTAGTATATTAATGTTTCAATTTGGTTTTATTGATATGCATGTGAGGAGGAAGAAAAAAATCAACATACAGTGGCTCAAAATGATTTGGTTCAATTACAAAGCCCAATCCATGAAACTAACATTATAGCAAGCTATACACACGCACATTTCCACATTTTACTGCACCAGCCAACAAAGTTCACTGAAAACCTGTGAAATCATCAGCCCTCGTGCTTACAGAACAGTGCTTAGGGAGGATTTGAATCATTGTTCTGACGTGATAAGGACGGTGTTCGGTTGAATCATTCCACTTGCGTAGTGCCTAAACCAACTGCGTTTGCATAAGCCGAAAGGACATCTACTATCTGTTTTGTTTCTAGGGTCAGACGAGCCTCTGTCAGCCAGTCCCGGGCCACTCTCCTCGGCTCTCCTCGGAGTTGGTTTATAAATTTCGCTGCCAGCTCCAGGTCTCCGTGTTCGATGCTAAACGTGGCATATGATAATAGTTTAAATGTGTCCAGGTCTTCGGGGTTCAGTTCCTCAGGGGGCTTAGTGATCTGGGGCTCTCTTAATATGACGGACTGCAGGTAGGAGAGGAAGTATTGATACAGGCTGTTTCGCGTCTCGTCAATCATGGCCACACGGCGTGCTATTTTTCGTACTGCATAGAACCGTTGACGTAATGCCTCTTCACTATACACACCACGGGAGAGAGACTCTTCAGGGAGGGCTCCAGATAAAGCCCGTGTGAATGGGTTGTCTCCGCAGCTGTTTGAAATAGACTGTACTGCGTTCTTTAGAGGTTCTGTTGGGGTGTCACCAGAGGCCGTCTTTAGTGTGAACTTGAGAGCTTCTATGGACAGCCACAGCTGATGCGCCTTTCTGGCCTCCTCCTCGGCAATGGCATGGCCTGAAAGCATCACACAAGCTGATTAAAACAACATTATCCTTTCAACAAGGTTCATATGTAAATAAATATTGGTATAAAACAACCATTAAAGCTTTGTGAGCCACAGATGAACTCACTCCAATTCCCCCACACCTTCCCAATGGGGACATATTTATCCTTCACTCTCCTGCAAATTAAACCTCTCACCAAGTGACTTTTAAATTTGAAATTAAAACAAGTGTGGGGAGGGGGGAGGCATCACTAGAAAACCTTTTTGTTTTCCACTTTAATTCATTACAACAAAATTAAATTTATATAACGTTTCTCACATCAGAAAGATGTCCCAAGGCACTGAACAATTAAGGGTTTGCACACCAGCTGATGGTTGGAATCAAGAGGAATGGAAAGTAGGAGAGGTAGGAGAGTGGCCAAAAGCACAATCAAAGTTTTTTTATTCAATACACTACTTAACCGTCAGTCACCTTGTCTGCTTTGCAGCTCTTAGTCCAGTATGATACATCTGCTTAAGCCAGTACCATTCCAGAGGTCATTCAGCCCATTAAGCCTGTTCTACCAGTTTATCATGACAGATCTTTCAATCCCATTTTCCTGCCTTTTCCACAATTTCCTGAAGTTCACAAGTTTATAGGTTTAATGCCACTAAAACAAGGGCAACAACCAAAAAGATCTTTGTTCGACCCACCACTCTCCATTTCCTGCTGACAGATTCATATTTGATTGAACCTTGCTTTTAAATTTAAGTTTACAGCGATTCACACAAAAACTCTGATGGCAGGAATGTTAAGTTAAGGCAAAACCCAACCATAATTCATTTGACCCGGCACCAAAATGTTGACTGTTGCCAGACACGACAGGGAAGGAAAAAGATCACCAAAAATTCCAGCATTTCTAAATAATTCCAAGAGTTAAAAAGAAAATATTTCCTTGAAGTAATAATCCTTGCATTTAATATAGTGCCTTATCACATCATTGACACATCTCAAAGTGCTTCACAGAATATACTGTAAAGTGGAGTGACTTTTGTGGATGGAAAAGTGGCAGCCAATTACGCACAGTAATGTCCCACAAACAGTTGTGGATTGAGTGATCAAATCAGTATTTTGAATTTTTATTCATTTTTGAAGTATTATTACCCCTCGGAAGGCGGTCCGCTAATCAACTAACATCCAGGTTCCTACTTCCTACTTGGTAAATAGAAGCGTGTGGAGTAAGAAAATATACCAAACTTTCGCCCTGCCCGTGAATCGAACCCAGGTGTGTGTGTCTGTCTCCTATCCCCTGCCTTTCCCCGTTTGTATCTATGTGCACATCTTTCCCCCCACCTCTGCAATAATATTCATAAACTTCCCCTCCGACAATGAGTGCTCAATATCTCAGTGGTCCCTTGGAGCACTTTGCACAGGGGAGGACAAAGTGCGTCACTCAACCAGTCAGTTGCTTTATACACCCATGAGGGCTGGTCATCTTAATTGACTACAAGATTAAATAATCACTTACTCTCCACTGCTTTTTCGATTCCCTTCAACCTGGCATGAGCTGCATTTATATCCAGTGTAAAAGTGTCCATCTGTTCCTGATTCAAGCGTTTATAATACATTTCATATTCATGTCTCTTTTGTTCCACCTCCTGCAAATTAAAAAAATATATCAATTGACCATTTGTGTTAAAACAAAGCACCAAACCACCTATGAGACAACATTATAAAAAGGGATTAAAAGAGAAACTGGGTAAATTGCTGGAAATTAAAAAGATTCAGAATTATTAGATGTATTGAATAAATCTTTTGGAAGTTATAATAATAATTGTTGCATTTGATATTGTGCCTTGGTACAATACAACAAAATGGTGAGTTTACTTTTTTGTTTTAAAAAAACGCTATAGTGAACAGAAACAAAAATCAGTATACTTGACAAAATGAAACAAAAGTATTGCAAATAAATCTACCTTGATGTTTCTGAACATATAAATCCATTGGTCGAAATATGCATCATAGGTTGTGGACCTTGTGGATTCAGAAGCGGTTTGCTCACCAAATGCAGCTTGATTTATTACTATCAATAATCATCCTGGAATTTGATATGATGCCTTCACACAGCTCATTGTTGGCCAGGGGACACCAAGATAAAGTCCCTTCTCTTTACGAACAAGCGATAGGATATTCAACAGCCAAGTGGGACTGGGCAGTTGGGACCTAGGTTTAATATCTATTCTGAAGGATGGCACCTCCAACAATGCAACACACCCTAGACTGAGTTCAAAGTCCCAATGTGGGGCTTGCAAATCACTTACATCCTGATAGACGGCTTTGAATTCTTGCTCCTGAACCTTCAGCACTTCTCTCAGGTGATCAGTGTGAGCAGCCGCCTGCCTGCGGAGCTGGGTTCTCATCTCAGCTTCCATTACTTCCCGGATTTCTTGTGCCTAAAAATAAAACACAAAACAATTTACATTTACATAGCGCCTTTCACATTGGGAGAATGTTTCAAATCACTTATAAATGCAGGACGGGGACCCGAGCTGGAGGTGGGGGTCAAGGGGGTGGGGAAGGAAAGGATGAAGAAAATCGTGGTCAGAGATAGGTTTTGAGATATAAATAATAATGCTTGTATTCAATATAGCTCCTTATATCGTTGAGATGTCTCAAAAGTGCTTCAAAGAATATATTGTTAAGTGAATTGACTGCATAATTTGTGGGTGAAAAGCAGCAGCCAATTGCGCACAGCAGTCTCACAAACAGTCGTGGATTGAGTGAACCAATTTTTTTTTTTTTTTTTTGCTTTGATATGCCTTGAAGGACGGAATAGAGGGAGCGATCATAATTCAATTAATTTCACCTCACCACAATGTAAAATGCAGACAACGCAAGATTGACAGGTCAGTAATTATGTTTGAAGTCAACATGTTAAACCCTTCAGCTGACAATATACAATAAGGTAAAGCACTCCTAGTAATTTTTCAAAGAATCATCAAAATAAAATCTTAGATGTAACCAGGGGGGAGAGGATAGGACTGTAACAGATCTTCAGTGCAGATACTTGCGCTCTGGGATTCCTTCTTTAAACAAGGCTCTCTGATTATACCAACGAGTGCAGCAGCAAGGTTTCACTCCCAGTCTTAGCTAAATTTAGTGATCTCACTATCTAAGCTCAGATATGAAGAGGCAACAACAACCACAACTTGCATTTATATAACGCCTTTCACTCAGGGCAACATCCCGGAGCCCTTGAGAGGCAGCAGGATACCACAAACCCTCACCTTTTTGTCCTGTTCTAGGTGTGTTTCTGACTGGTAATGCTCCAAGGCTTTTGCCACGGCGGTTTCCAAAGCTTTCTGGTTTTCCATCTTCTGGTGCTCGAGAGCCACTTTGATGTGTTGTTGTTCTCGCACGCGCTGCTCTGCCAGCTCCCGGTTCAACTGGTCGATGCGTCGATGACCATGTGCGATCAGGGAGTTCAGGTCATCGGTGCTCAGCTGCCCGGCTGCAGGTTAGAGGGATAATTAGAACTGCAACCAGGGATACAACACAGGATAGCACAGGGCACTCTCGGCTTCAAACAGGCAGACTGAGTGCATCTTCTAACAGGTCATTCAGGCTTAAAAAAAATTATAAAAGCTTGTGATGCAAACAATTAACAGTAAATTAAATAACAGCCTAATGCTGTCAACACACTGTTTATACATTTAATGGTGACTGGGCCTCATAACTCACAAAGAACCAAAGTCAAGAATTCCGAAAATCAGCCATTTACTTTTGTGCAATATTCAACAGGCGATTCATATCCATCCCATCTGTACTGGAAGTGTAACTTTTTTTCCACCAAATCACTTTTTATGTGAATGTGCAGCATTTTCTTGTGCTGCTGTGTTACATCAAGAGCTTTGAGACATCTCAACAACGTGATAAGACGCATATCAAATGCAAGGATTATTATTACTTTTTAAAATGAATGCACCACTCAAAAACTTAAGGACCTCCCGACGTGAAAGGCGCTATACAAATGTAATTTTTGTTGCTGTTGTTAACATGATCTCCTGCTGGAGTGAAGCCCTGTTTACGGAATACGATTCTGCCTGGAAAACTACAAGCAGCAATTTAAAAAATGCTGCCCCTGGCACTTTGGGCCTTTGACTGATTTCTGCTTTCCGCTACCCCCAACATCAGTGTCAAGTTGTGTACCTGGGCAAAGGACACGATGAGCTATATACTTGACTCAACTGTTCTTAAAAACTAACAAACACTTATGCACATATTCCTGAAAGCTATTTTAAGAAAACATTATTATCCTTGGATTATTATCTATAAATACTGCAAAACTCACTTACAAGTTTTTAAGATGAAAAATAGTTGATCTACAAGATGTTAATGCATACCTATATACATGCAAAATATCAAGACTTCATGCGGAATTAACTTTGTGAAAGCATTATGCAAAACCGCACGTGAAACTACATTTTCTACCCAAATAAAACCACGACAAGATTACTATAAAGTTATGGTGCAGCCTTTTTCAATTGCGGCGTGTCTTAAGAATCTTTAAAACGGAAGATCAAACAAGTATTATTTGCTAAAATTGCACAGACAAGCCGTTCACAAAGAATTTCTTTCATCCACTGCCTACAGTTCTCGACGACTTTGGTCAAAATATACTCGGGCACAAAGATGAAAGTCTTTGTTTGCAAGTTGTTTATTAAAACAAACTTGACATATGTACACACAAAAGAACACAGATTCAGAACAAGTGCAGTAACACAACCATGTTGCATTGCTGCTGTGTTACTTTCCTGCACACAAAAGTAAAAATATTGAATTGAAATATCAAACAAAACTTAGAGGGTCCTACAAATTTAAGAAAGAACTTGCAGGACAATGAGTTTAAGAGCAGGGGAGTGGGACTAGTTGGTAGCTCTTTTAAAGAGCCGGCACAGTCACGAAGGGCAGAACGGCCACCGTCTTTCTGTGCTGTAAAATTTAAACAATGTATATCCAGGGTTGTAATATATAAAATCTCAGAATTCTAATTCTTAATCTGTTGCGTTAACAGATCACTATAAAACCCCTTCATTTTATAATGTGCTGTGGGTCATTAGACTGAATGTTTGGTGTGCTGAGGAAAGTAACATTCTTCGGGGTGCAGTTACAAAATAGAAAACAACACACATCACTGCAACTCTGTATGAAGAATATCCAGCCCAGTAATTAAACCAGCATTAAGTACTACAACAGAGCAGAGATTTGTACTGTAACTTTTTTGATGTGCTATGTAATTCTGTGCTATGAAAAGGAAGACTTATCCGGGGCGCTTTTGAAACTTACTTGTTAATGGCAGGATCGAGCATTCAATTATAGCTCAGAACAGTTCAGTAAAGAGCTGATCGGGTATAATGTTCCCCAAATCACAGCAACAATTTGCACAGGCCTCCAGTTCTGAAGAGCTTCTTATAATACAAGTTTTAAATTCTCCAAACTGCCCATCCTTAAAGCCAACTGAAGTTACTATTATATATAAACACAGAAGTCGCTGGGAGCATGCAACAGGTCAGGCAGCATCTATGGAGAGAGGCAAATGAGTTAACATTTCAGGTCTCTGACCTTTCGTTAGAACCTGAAACATTAACTCATTTTCCTCTCTCCATAAATGCTGCCTGACGTGCTGCAGGATCCCAGTGACTTCTGCGTTTATACCAATTTCCAGCATCTGCAGCACTTTGCCTTTTGAAGTTATTAATATTATTGTAATAAGTTGGACTTGTAGCTATGCATTTTTCTCTACTAAATCAAGAATTGTCAAACTTGGTATCTAGGGAGAAAGCTTTCATCTGATTTGTCTATATTGATTCAAACCTGGATTTTAAATGATGCACTTAATTTAGTAAAGAGCAGTTTCATTAAGAATTACAACTGCAACTATATAATTTTTTTAAAAAAGCATTTAAATATAATATATATTTAGGATTAAATAAGTGCTGCTTTCGACCAGATATAGTCCAAAATTCTTGAATGCTGTCTAGACTCTTGGTTGGTTTTTCAACACTATATTTTCTGGAAGTGTTTTGCATTTATTTGCACGTCTCTAATTTATCTTCTAATTAATCGAAGCGCTCCAGGACACTACACTGTGTGAAAGGCGCTATATAAATGCAAGTTATTGTAGTAGTAATTTAGTCACATGGCGGCTGGGGATAAATGGGGAAATAATCATTCCAGAATTACAGTGACAGACGTTTAAAAATGTTTTTCCCCTTGTATTGCCCAGAAACTTCTTAATAGGTATAAATCTCACAGTTGAATGAAGGTGGTTAAAATGGTAGCCTCACAATAGTACAAAGCAAAACTGTACAGACTCACCTAAGTCAGACACCTCTGTAACGAAAAGGAAGGGTTGGAAGAGTTACTGCAAATTGACAAAAGCACAACTAAACAACTCATCCACCCTGTGATGTCACTCGGGCAAGTTGTATAAATGAAGACACGTACACACAGCACATTTTAGAAAGAGAAGCTCTTTCCTTCATTTTCCCTGAGAACATTCAGAACTTCTAAATTAAAAATAAAAACTAGAGAAATTAGTAAAAGCACGAATACTACAATGCAAGCAAAAGCCAGTCAGCCTATAGACGATTTTATTCACTTACACCAGTAATAAACAACAGATTTACCGATGTGCTACAATATTTTGTACCTTGATAAGACTTTAAACATCAGCTAACCTCATGATAACATCTATACGCCACCAGGTCCAAAAAACAGTAAGGTCTCAGGGCAGTGCACAAACTACACTATCAAGTGCAGCAAAGGGCAATTTACACCTAAAAATCCACAATTCACCCACCTCTAAATTTGATGCCCAAAGGCATAACTAAAATTGCTCAGTTTGTGAAGTAACTGTATAATGCACAGTTTTTTTATTACGTTAAGAAAGAGCAAATCCTCTGAAAAACAAAAAAAGGGCTCAGAGCTTCTAAGTTTGTTTAAATTTAGAACATGCGATTATTTTTTCTAATTTTGTCACCTGTTGGCATACGCCTCTTTGATACTGGTCCCTAACCCCCGCACACCACACCAAGATATGGTTCCAGGGGTGCTGGTTGTCATCCCATACATTGCCCAAGTGGCCATTATGCACATCTGAAGCTTGACAGTGAGTGTCAGCAGGTTACTTAACCATAGAGGCCTTCAAAATTATGACCTCTCCTCAACCAACACAGACACACAACCAGATGCTGAACAGAAACAAGGAGCAGGAACCCAGCTATAAAGATCAGAAAGTTACAACTTTGATTCTGTCCTGAATCTGTTGATCTCAGCTATTACGATGCTACAATTTATCTCAGTAGCCAGTGCTCCTACTCTTAGTTGCTTCCTACAACCACTGTGGTAGATGCCCGTGTGTGAACGATGCAAAGGGCAACATCTTAGCTGCAATATTCCCCACGGTTGCAAAACTCACTGACAAGGCTCACAACATAAATGAAGTCCACAGGGCAAAATACCAGAGAGAGATGGGCACCTGTGAAATTGTACTCCACCTGATACTAGTCAAAGACTTTCAGGAGGGGGAGGAGGAAGAGTTACCAGGGCTGGGCCAAGCGAAGGCTGAGCCCTCACCATAGGAAAAAGAATGCAAAGTATGTGTGTGTGTGTGTGTCTGTTTGTGTGGTGATGGGGGGGAGGGGGGCGGAAAGAGAGGATTTAACCTGGATGTTTAGTATGATTGATTGAGAGTGGTATCAGTAAAGGCCTTGGAGGAAATCAACTGTCTGTCCTCTGGCAGCAAAAGAGCAAAATTAAAAGAGCAAAGTACGACTAATTTTTATAATCTGCAATTTACATTCAATATATTGATACAGGCTGACATCGGTATAACCATCCCTGGTTATTACAATTCCTCTGGTTATAACAAACTCCATTTTTTCCGATTGATTCTTATCCCTGATATAACAATCTGCAATCAAGTCAAAATGGCGGGGATGCTCTCGGCAGTCAATTACAGATTTCCTGTGAACCTCATAGCAAACACCCGGATATAACAATCCCACCCCACCCATCCCCCCCGGGCATTTGTTATTACCAAAGGCAGCCTGGATCAATTTTTAGAAACTACAAAATCTGAAGCTGTATCTCTGGTTTTCACCTTTTGGTCGCACTTGCTTAATAAAGAAGCTATTTAAGAATTTCAAACATGCATTTTTATTCACGTTAAACCTAAAAACATACAATGTAAAAGTATTGTAAAATGTCTCTGTACAGGAAAAAACAGATTGCCCATTATTTTATTTGCATTAAACAAACGTGACGCACATAAAACAAAAAATGGTAATTTGCTTCATTACTGTCTGTGGGACATTGCTGTGGGCAAGTTCATCCACGGAACACAATCACTGTACTTTACAGTATATACAGTTTAATTCAAGGCTTTGGTTTAACATCTCATCTGAAGGATAACACCTTCAGATGATCTCCCGACGTAAATGCAATTTATTGTTGTCCTGTGAAGTGCTTTGGGACAACCTCCTGACGTAAAAGACACTATATCAAATGTAAGGATGATTATTATTATCAAGCAGCTGAGATCCCGGGAACCCTGTAGGTGTAGAAACCTCAACTGTTGTCCTGCATGAGCTCAGCGAATTCAGGACAGAAACCAAACTTAGTTATTCCATCCTATACTGTTCAATTCCATGCAACACATTTGCCTGAATCATCAGGAGAAACTCCACAATTTACAAACTCTGGGTACAATCTCATTTTCAGGAATTACATCTGAAGAGAACAATTCCTATGGGTAAGAGGCAAGAACCAAATCGACTTGCCAATCCTGCAGTAACTGTTGCATGTTGAATAGGCCCAGGTAGAATTTACGGGCACACATCTTATTTTACAAATTTATTCCAGAGCATAACAAAAAATAATTTTAAGAGAGATAGGAGACAATTCGCCTTACTGAGAACCGAAATGTGGCATTGCACACAGCAAACAAAGTTAATCCTAACAATAACCACTTTCTTTCCCCTCCCTCCAGTAAGAATCAGAATGAAGGTTAATATCATTGAACAAAATTATTGGGACTATACTGGATTTTGAAAAAAACCTAGAGAAATTTCATGAAATTAGAAGGGATTTGAGATTATTAGGTGATGAGATAGATGTGACTAATAGTCTACTGCTGTTGAACTTTGCTACTGAATATGCCTCTGTGGTGTGGTAATTGGCACAGGATGTTATAATAACTGGAACCTTTAATTTTGGGGTTGAATTTGTTAGAGAATGATGGTGCTGAGCAGTAAAATACTTTCTCATCACAAGGCCACCAATGATGTATCACCAGCCTCTGACAGATGCCTCTCCAGTTTCATCCAATAAGAAGCATTTTTTTGTTGAGAGTCTATTCCCACTATTAGGTGGAGGAAATAAGTCACTTTTATGCTAAAAATATTTTTTGAGGATTCCTAATGTTATGTTTCTGTCCTCCAGTTCAGGCTGGTAAATAACCTGGTTGCATCAATTTCATTCATTCCTCTGAATATTTTAAAACTTGGGCCATCTGCCATTCTCAATCTGTTTTCCAATACAAAACCAAGCAGAGTTACCATTGCGAAAGATTGAAATATTCATTTGCCACAGAGGTAGGATAGAAAAATGTTATAATAGCAGATTTTAAACAGCAAACTGTGCCACAGAAACATATTAATGCCACAAACATTAAAACAAATGCATGAATTTCTAGCTTCTTAATGTAAGAGAAAATTCTATTTCTTCAAGCATTTACAATGTTGCTTTAGCCTTGCTCTGCAAAAATATTTTACAAAGCTGAATCCAGCTGCACTGATATCCGGTGCACTTCCAGATAAAGAGTGTGGCTCACCTTCAAATAAAGACATTTGTTTGATATGTAACATAACCATTTTGTGCTCAATTGAGGTTAAGGAATCCAAAGTCAATATTTCAGTCAATGTGCAATTGAGCTTTGGACTTCCAAGTTGAGCTTCCACTCTCTAAAGCGAGTTAAATTAAAGTGCAGGCATACAATGTAGAACTTACTGAGATTTTTCCAACCAGGTTGTACATCTGGGGTGATGCTGTCCAGTTCTTTGCTGAACTCCTCCCTGGCCACAGATACAAGTTCACTGTATTGTGCAACGATTTTAGCTTCTGACTGAGCCCTCTGCACCTAAAAACAAAAAGTGTATCTGTCAGTACAAAGACAACTTCAGTTGTACAAATAGAGAAGTTGCATTTTTTTTTGAATGAAGACTTCAATAAAACATTGGTAATGGAGGTTAATAAAAAGTCATCTGAATTGTCGGTGGTTGGAAAACTAGCCCTGAACTACTGTTTAAGCTAACCAGGAACTGCATGTTCTGGGCCTGCGAACCTCACATCATAGCAACTGTGCATTTATAGGCAAACAGGGCAGTCACATTGCACAGAGCAACGTCCCTGAAACAAACATGAAGAACGCTGGGACAAGGAGGGGGCAGGATTAGACTCAGTCGCAAATGTTTCCCGTCCACTAGCCTTTCATTGCCCAAGCTCATGCAATAAAAATGATCACTCGGGCAAAGTGCATCTATCACCTGTAGTTGTGATTCACAAACTCCAAGAGAGAACAATTTAATACCACCATATCACATTAAACATCTCAAAGTCCCTCACAAGTAATCATTGTCAAGGATATTTATTGATTGTTCTTGAAGGCAAACACGGTATTGTTTGAGACAGCAAAGTTCCACAACAGCCATATCATGGGAACTTTTAAAATCCACCTGAAGAACATCCCTGGCTACTTGGGTTTCACCCAAAAGATGGCACCTCAACCCTCCGAGTACTACACTGCAGAATCGGCCTCCACCATATCAAGTCCTGCCATGGGCTTCATAAGGAGAGAAAATTGAGCAGTATGTTTTTTTAAAAAATCATTAGTTATTACCTTTCTTACAACATCATCCAGATCCATCTGCATGTGGTGTAGATTCTCCTCTGCGGCCAATACCTGTGGTCTGACAGCAGAGATCTGAGTCTGTTTGGCCTCCTCGATCAGACCCCGGAGCTTCTCCAGTTCATCCCTAAAATTGAACAAATAGAAGAAATTAGAAATAGATCACGGTGACAAAACAAAAGCCACTTGTTCTTTTTCAGTTGGTGAAACTGGAGCATGGGCTGCTCAAATCTCAATAAAACATTTGTAATGGAGGCTAATAAAAAGTCATCTGGTTTGTCACTGTTGGAAACCTAGCCCTGGAACTACTTTTTAACCTAATCAGCAACCAAATGTTATGGGCCTGGGAGCCTCACATCGTCGAGACATCTCAAAGCGCTTCACAGAATTTTACTGTGAAGTATAGCAACTGTGGATTTGTAGGCAAATGAGGCAGCCAAATTGCAGGAGTGGAGGGGGGGTGGAGGATAAGATGAGTATCCATGGGGCTGAGCCTCCTTCAGGGTGACAGGCTTGCCAATGAAATGCTGGAAGCAAGTCAACTCTCTGTGGTGGTCTCAGTAGTCCTGTATCTGAGCCAGGTAGGTCCACAGGAGTCCAGGTCACTGCTGATGACAGACCTGCCAGCCTGGCACATTGACAGGACTTGGATGGGCAGACCAGTCACTGTGAGCAGGGATTCTTCTGACTCGACTGCTGTAGAGTGGACCTACCTGGAAAAGCAGTAGATAAGCTTGTTAGACCGTGCTTACAACGGCAAATCATGCAGTTTTAATAATAATAATCGTTAATAATCTTTGCATTTGATTTCGCCTCATCACGTTGTTGAGACATCTCAAAGTGCTTCACAGAATATACTGTGAAGTGACTTGACTGCGTTTGGTTTCAAGCTGATTAAATTCTAGCAGTTCCCTGACCCACACTCTGGTGTCCCAAAGCCTTGGTCATGCCAAACATGCACCTGATTAGATAAGTAGCTTGCATCCTTCCATAGGATACGCAAATAGCTCCAGACACAGAAATTTCCATGTGTAGCCCAGCTGATCAGAAATAAAATATTCTGACAAGTGACTTCTCTGCTTAACTTTGCTTCCAGGGTTTTTAAGTAGTTACAATTCTAATTTCAATCTTCATCACTTCTTGTTTTGTCTTTGTCTCTTTTACCATGAAGTGAAATGTTACCTGACAGACTGGAGACAGATTGTGTGTCGGCTCACACCCAAGAAACTTGCCAAAATCTATAGAGCACCTTTGAATCTTAGTTAAGCAGCATAATCTTGGTTGACATAATCCTTGCGTTTGTCTTATCACGTCTTCGAGACGTCTTGAAGCGTTTCACAAAATATACTGTAAAATGAATTGACTATTTTTGTGGGTGAAACATGGCAGCCAATTGCACACAGCAGTGTCCCACAAACAGCCGTGGATTGAATGACCCAATTTTTTTAAGGGATTATTACCCCCAGAAAAGCAATTTGCCAATCCACTAACAACCAGGTTCCTATTTACTGGCAAGGCAAGTGCTCTAACCACTAAGCTGGCTGTTGGGAAAGCAGTAGCTAGCCTTCATTTCTAACAGTGATTAATTCAATCTTTTAAAAGCTCTTAAAACAAACCCGAATAGAAAAAGAGACAACTTACTTGGCCTTCAGCAGTGAATTAGCTGCTCCATCTACAACCTTGCTACGGACAGTTAGTGCGTTCTCCAAGGCTCGCCACTGTTCAGACTTCTTATCTATAGTCATCTGACAAAAGAGCAACCTAATAAATTACCGCGAGCAGGAGCTTCACACACATTTTCATAGATTTGTAGACAAGTGAAATCCTCTGAATCATTACTATTGGGTGAAACACCCAAGGGCTCTGAAGCACTCCCTCTGCCTGAAGGGCATTATATAAATGCAAATTGTTGATCTGTGACAACTACATTCATCACAAGCATCCTAGAAATTAGCACCAAACCTGGAACAAGTATATATACAAGTGAAGGCCTAAGTCTCTTTCTTCCCCTTTCTTAATATTCCTTTGGACCTTTACATTCACGTCACCCTCTGGTATTTCACCCAAGCAGCCAGTGTCCAGGCTTGAGCCTCAACTGCATGCATCAGCAGGCGATTTGATCCCGGAGTGACACCCCAAGCTCAATCCGGTCTTTAACCAACATCCACACACATTCAGGTCCATTAAGGTGTCACTTGATAGCAATTAGGAACAGGAACCCCATCTTATTTTTCCTTTCCCTAATGCAGAGTGTTGAGGCTAATTCATAGCACCTTATTGCAGCCCCAGAGATTAGCCAACTCACAGCAAACCATGAATCAAACCTGGGACCTTCGCAATCTGTATGGCTTAGCTATTCACTGGATAAACTCCATTAGCCATGGGGAGTAAGTAGTCTAAAGAATCTTATCTAATAACCTCTAACTTCAAAAAACAGTGGAATCCCCTAAAACAGTTCTTAGGATGGATAAAATCCCAAGCCTCATTATGGCGAGACCCAATTGACGTCACCACTCACCTGACCGGTAATGTAACTGCATATGTGCGCAGAAACCCCAGCCAGCTCCCTTGGTGCATAAGAATGAATGGTATTTGACGCCTGCTTCAAAATGCATCGTTAGGCTTTAGCACTTCAAAATGAATAATCAGTGTGCTTTTCAATGCTACAATGTTGAACGTGATAGAGTATTGCTTTTTGCAACAGGACAAAAATCGCTTTCAATTGGCTTTTCGAGTTGAACGGCACAATGTTGGGATTTTCAAGTCAGGGAGGATAATTTCAGGGTTCCACATTACAATCAAAACTTGCTATAATGAAGTGTGTTATAGCCGGGCTCGTGTAGGTGTTTTTTTGTAAAGATTTTACCTCAGAATTATCCATGGCTTCCTTTAACCTCTGGGCATGAGCATCAATGGCTTGCACTGCTGTGTCCTGAGTTTCAATGGCCTTGAGTGTTAACTGGGCACTTTTACCAAGGGCGTCCTCCAAAGATGATATTATTGCTTTGTGTTAAAAAAAAGACTATTTAAAATACAGCTTTACACACACACACAGTTTATTTTTAAAAAACAATACAAAATGTCCGGGAAAAATAGTCACCAAAATTCACTTGCCATCAATCTTGACTTGCTCCTCTCGATCTTGTTGAGTTAGGCGTTTAGCAACCTCCTCGGGTGGACGTTCCTTTACTGCAGTGGGCTGGTCCTTTAAGGCATCGCAACCACAGCTCTCACCTTTGAACAACAAAAATAATAATAATTTGGTCACACAATCCAACGCTGTTTGTGTGACTCTGCTGTGCGCCACTGGCTGCCAAGTTTCGTCCAAAAAAAGTATATCAAACGCCAGGGTTATTATTATTATTAAAGTATTAATGTCTGAGTTTTCACCTTTCCAAACAGTGTACTCCTAACAACAGCCTAAATCTTCCATTAAAATCTGGACATTTAAACAAGATTGAGTAGTGGAGATTTTAACATGCTCGCTTCAAACCACTAACAATAATAACTTGTATAGCGCCCTTCACATCAAAAAGACATCCCAGAGGGCTGGACAGTCAGGGATTTGATCCAAGTAGGGTGTTGAGATCAGAGGGGTTGGAGGGCATGGAGAGGGTAGAGGTAGGAGGTTAGATGAATGTGCAGTCAAAGAGGAGGGTCTCGAGACGTGCTTTGAAGGAGGCAAGGGAGGGAGCAAAATGAAGGCACTGTGGGATGGAGTTACAAAGGGTGGGAGCAGAGAAACTGAAGGTCCAACCGCTGATGGTGAGGAGGGGTGGGGCGGGGACATGGAGCAGTCCAAGCCTGCTGAGCGGAGGCAGAGGACAGGTTGATATGGGATTAGCAGATCACAGAGGTAGGAAGCAGCAAGGCCTTGGAGGGACTTGAAAGCAAGGATGAGGATTTTGAACTCTATCCACTGGGGGATGGTGAGACAGTAGTATCGGGCGAGAGTGGGAGTAATGGGGTCACGGAGCCTGGTGCAGGAGACGACGCGCTGCAGATTTCTGGATGAGATGAGTTCTGATGTGATGAACCCGTGGATGAGGATTTTGGCGGCCTGAGGGGAGAGGCAGTGACGGAGCCAGGTGATGTTGTGGAGGTGGGGGAGGGCAGAGCGGGTCATGACACTGATGTGGGGTAGAAAGGACAGTCGAGGGTCAAACAAGACGCCAAGGTTCCGGACTGGCTTAGTGGGGTGGAGTATGCATCCATGGATGGTGATGCCTCCAGTGCCGGTGGTGTGGAGGAGTTGATGGGAGCCACTCAAGAGAGCCTCGGTCTCCTATGTTCAATTGTAGAAAGTTCGCTCTCATCCAGGACTTGATGTCTGACAGACATTCTGTCAGGACAGCAGTGGTCCTGAGTCGAGGGTGGAGGCAGAGAGATAGAGTTGAGTGTCATCTGCATACATGTGGAAGTTGACCCCTTGTCTGTGGATGTCGCTAAGAGGAAGCATATACAAGTTGAAGAGGAGAGGACCGAGGACAGAGCCCTGAGGAACACCGCACAAGACGGTGTGGGGGCTGGAGAAGCTGTTGTGGCTTTGGGACTTACTATTTGTACGTGCAACAAGTTTGACTAATTTTTTAATCAAGTGAAATGCTTCAAGTTCAAGTAGAACTTTCCCTCTTCCCTTTGTGGGCAGAAATCATTCCAGATTTTCCCTCTTCAATTTGTTCTCCCACTGGATTATTGCTGACATCAATATAATATCCATTGCTCCTTTTCTCCTCTGTGGTCAGGTCAGGTCTATAGCTGACAGGTACAGATATTTCCTCTCTCTGTTGCTACGTTTACTGCAGGTTGATACATGCACAGTCCTGCTCTGTTGCTGGGGCTACTGCTGTCCGGATAATACAGCCATGTTCATTTTGTTTCTATGATGACTACCGGCAGGAGGATTCTGCTGCTGGGACCACTGCTGCCAGGATGATACAGGCACACTCTGTGTTGCTCTCAGTCTCTTTCTCTCTGTGTCTTTCGCTGACTCTTGATGACAAAATTGAACTGGCTGACTATCTTCTGGTCTGCGTCTGAATTTTTAAACCACAGCCCATCTTCTCTGTTGACAGTTCCACACATAAAAGTAGAATTGAACTGCAGGGGCCAATGGAAGAGGCTTTAGAGAAGCAACATTACGAAGCAGCAAATTTCCGACTGAATAAAGCATGGTCCTTTGAGGTGTTTTACAGCTATTTGTTTGATTTTAATTTCTGGACATGAAGGTCTTGATCTATAAAAATGGATTTACATAAATTGCGTTTTGTGTGCTGAGTGAGTGAGTAGAATGAGCAGAGAGAGAAGAAATGGAGGCTTGGTTTGTAAATACGTATACTGTACTTACCAGGCACTGCACTTGGAAGAGGTTTGTGTTCCATTTGATGCTCAGACTTGGATTCTGAGCTGTGCTGATGGACAGGGGGACTGGATTTATCTTGGAGAGCAGAGGCGGGCACAGACGGAACATCGCCAATGGCAGAAATGATTGCAGCGGCATCTTTGGGTGCACCTGAAAACAGGGTGGAGTTTAGGGTAGGCAGGGGAGAGGCGTTACACAGCTTCAAATACAGGAGCTTTAGGGAAAACTGTTCAGACAAAAGGCCCTCCTTATTTCACACCTCTATGTTCCCTAAAGAAAATCGAGGGAAATGTGTAAAATCCTTTTGGAAACCTTCTTCATATACGCACATTTTTCACAACTCTTCCTTTTATGCCTTTCTCTCCTTATATAATTAGCTCCTTCCTTTTATGCCTAGCTATTTCAAACTTATTTTCTACATCTCCTTTCTTTGTCCTCACCATTTGCTTTTCAATTTCTCAACTTTTGCAATTTTCGTTCATTAAACCTAGTCCATTCCTTCACTCTTTCTTACATTTTGTTCTTGCTCGTCTCTCTTTTTGGGCCTCCATTTCTTCTTTTCACTTCTTTGATTTATTTTTCTGTGCTCTTTGTTCTCTCGTTTTCCCTACCACCTTGTTACTGCTTCCGCCTCCTCCTCTGCTAGTCCCAAAAATCCATGATATCCAATAAAGTCATATTTGAAAGTCACAAAGGCATACATTTGATCCAAAGCCTATCCTAATACCCTCCGGCTTACCAGACGGACTCCAGGTATCCGAAACTCAAGCCTAGCTTATTTGCTATATTCTGCTCTCGGGATTCAAGCAATAACAATGCCACGACCTAGCTGGGGTTTAAGGGTATTGGTGAAAGATGGTAGGTTCTTCTTTCAATTCCTCCTTTCCACAAGAAAAAGAGGTAGAAAGGCAGGCAGGCACAGGCAGACAGGCAGGCACAGGCAGACAGGCAGGTACAGGCAGACAGGCACAGACACACTTGGACAGACAGAACAGAATACAGGCTGACAGGTAAACAAAAGACCCCAAAAATTTGCACTTATAAAGTTCCCTTCTGGAGGCAGAAAATTCCAACATTACTCGCACAATTTTTCTCCCAGCCCCAATGAATCTGAACGCTTGGGGCTAAATGCATTACCATGCACAAATATACTCAAAACAAAAAATATCACAGCAGTGCAGCATTTCTGCCTATCATCACTTGCACTTCCACTCCATACAAGTGGAGCATTAATTTACTGGAAGGCTCATCTCTACTGCATCACACATATTTTTCTTCAGCGATTGCAATGAACTAATTTAAAATAAAAGCAGAAAAACGAGGGAAACGCACTGCAAATCAAGCAGCATGAGAAACAGCAAGATAGTCTACTGTTTCACCTTAATGTCAATCAACCAGCTGTGTTATTTCCAGCATGTGCTTAAAAATTCAGATTTCTAGAACACATATTTTCATTTTTTTATAAATAATTAATGTGCGCGGTGTAATATTTTATATAAGACTTAGAATTACTTTCTTCCCCAGTCTCTTCTTTAGCTGGCTCGCTCCTCTCCCGACTGAACATGGATTTGGGTTGTTTGGAATCTTTAATCGCCTCGCTATGAGTTGGGATTTTCAACGGACCCTGCGCCTCCTTGTAAGAACAAAAACACAAAGTAATTAAGTTAAGCCACGAATTGCTGTTTAAAATCTTCCAAATGTGACTAATAAATACAGAAAATGCTTGGCCCGGTCAGATTTCCAAAAAGTCACTACAATTTCCAGTATATCATGTGAGACGTACTCCCACAGTGAAAGGCACTATATCAAATTCAAGGATTATTATTTCTCCCGAGATCCAATTTTGTATCACAAACCCAACCCACACTATGACAAGGTTTAGTTTCATTCAGCACAATGGATTCTAGCTTTAATAAGTAAAGGTTTTTCTACCAGTTAGAAATTCTCACATGAAAAATGCAAAATGGCAATTAATTGACTGAGAAACCAGATTTAAAAAGTGCACTATAAGCGCCCCGAAATGCCGTCCGGCATGAAGGGCGTTATATAAATGCAAGTTGTTGTTGTTGTTGGTGCCTGGGCTGGATTTGAAGTTGTGGGAGAGGAGGGGCAACATATAAAATAGGAAAACAAGAGAAGAAAAACAATATAATCAATCCCAGCCCACAGGCCTGAAATCCCTTAGCTTCATGATCATTGTCTTAACTGACAACCTAGAAGTCACCATCTTTACCTTCTTCCTAAGAACATTAGTTGTAGGATAATGGACCCAAATAACTGTGTTTATAGGGGATTTGACCTGCATCTTCAAACTCCCCTTTCTTTGGTAACAACAACTTGTACTTAAATAGCACCCTTCACCCAGGGCAGTCTCTGAGAGCGCTTAACAATGGCGGGGCCTGACTCCGAGCTGGGGTAGTGTGGGGGGGCAGTCGAAAAGAAAGGTTTTAAGGCGGGACTTGATAAAGGGGAGAGAAGTGGCAAGGCAGAGGAAATGAAGGAGAGTGGTCCAAAGTTTTGGGGGATAGTGGCTGAAAGGGAGACCTCCAATGGTAAATCGGAGGGAGCAAGAGACAAGCAGGAGGCCAGTACCAGTCGAACTGAAGCACCGGGTGGTGGATTGGGGAGTGAGGAGGTCAGAGAGGTAGGGAGGTGCCAGGGAGTGAAAAGATTTGAACACGAGTGTGAGGACCTTGAAGTCGATCGGTTTGGTGATGGGGAGCCAGTGGAGCCTGGCCAGAACTGATGAGATGTGGGTACCGAGTTTGGTCCTGGTCAGTATGTGGGCAACAGAGTTCTGAATGAGCTGGATTTGTGAACGGTGGAGCTGGGGAGATCAGCGAGGGGTGCGTTTGAATAATCCAAGCGGGAGGTGACAAACTCATGTACGAGTATTTCGGCTGCATTTGGGATACGGTACGGTTAGAGGCAGGCAATGTGGTGGAGGTGGAAGAAGGGGTCCTGGTCAGGGACCGGATGTAGGGGAAGGAAGGACAGCTGGGGGTCAAACTGGACGCCTAGATTGCACACTGATTCGGTGAGTCTGAGGGAGAGCCCAGGGAGGTTGAGGAGTTTATATCCGCAGGAGTGAAGATATTGACGGGGGCCAACGAGTACGGATTCCGTCTTGTCCACATTCAGCTGCAGGAAGTTTACACTCATCCAGGCCCTGATGTCTGCCAGACAAACTGATAGAACATTGGCGAACCTGGAGTCGATGCTGGAGGAGGCAACGTACATTTGTGTGTCATCTGCATACATGCGGATATTCACCCCATTTCTGCGGATGACAACGCCAAGAGGGAGCATATAGATCAGGAAAAGAAGGGGGCCATGGATGGATTTGGGGTACCCTATAAGTGACAGGGCGGGAGCAGGAGGAGAAACTATTTGTCGAGATAAAATGGAGGCAGTTTGTTGAGGAGGACTCGAACCATTCGAATGTGGTCCCACTAAGGTGGATGAGGGAGGAGAGGCGGTGGAGGAGGGAGAGGGAGCCCTGGTCACAAATAGAGAGGGCGTAGTTTGTGACTTTGACAAGCGCTGTCTCTGTGCTGTGGGCAGGACATAAACCAGACTGCAGGGGCTCAAAGAGGGAGTGGAGGGAGAGGTGTGACCAAAATTGACCTGCAACAATGCGTTCCAGGACTTTGGCAAGGAAGGGCAGGTTGGAGATGGGATGGTAGTTTGCGAGTTTAGAGGGATTGAGGGTGGGTTTTTTGAGGAGGGGTGTGATGGCAGCGGTTTTCAGGGGGAGTGGAATAGAACCTGAGGAGAGAGAGCATTTTTGAGGGACTGAGATGGAAGCTTTTACCAGGGTGGAAAAAAATGGTGGGGGGCTTGCAAGAGGGGAGGGGTATGTGGGAGGAGACGGAGATGAGGAAGTGGTCCGAGAAGGCCTTGTCTGGGATGCACAGGTCGGAAATGTCACGGCCATGTGTGATGATGAGGTCGAGGGGGTGGCCACGGTTGTGGGTCGGCGAGTTGTTGTGAAGGGTGAAGTTTAGGGAGAAGAGGGCAATAAAATCCAAGGAGGTGGTGCAAGGGGAGTTTAGATGGAGGTTGAAATCACCCACTATGAGCAGGTATTCAGTGCAGAGGGACAGGGATGAGAGGAGAAAGAAAATATCGGTGAGGAAGGACCCAGGAGGTTTGTGGTGGGGGGCGTTAAACTAGGATGATTTTGAAAAAGAGAAGGGATGGTAGACGGTGAGGTGCTCAAAGGAGGAGAAACAGACAGAGGAATAGGGGGATAGACAAAGGGAAGCTTGGGAGATGAGGGCCACCCCACTGCCATGTTGGTTGGGTTGGGGGCTGTGATGAAAAGTACAGCCAGGAGGGGAGGCTTCAATGAGATGGAGTCACTGGGGGACAGCCAGGTTTTCGTAAGCCCAAGAATATCAATGTGCTCATCAAGGATAAGGTCATGGATAGTAAGGGCTTTATTGGAGAGGGAGCGGACATTTTGAAGGGAAATGCGAATAGATTTGCTGGTGGGGGGGTGGAGGAGAGTGCTATAGAGAGGATTTGAGGTCATGGGGGAGAAATGACCTTGAAGTTTGAGGAGCAGAGAAAGTTGAGGAGGCTATGGATGAGGGAGGGTAAGGGGTGTTTGCCTTTCGGAGGTGATTGGTGCCGAGATAGTGAATGATGGGACAGTTGGGGTGGCTGCTCTGGGACAACCAATATCAGGAAACGCGATGGGCATGGCAGAGGTTGCCCAAGCTGGAGCAGAGGGAGGTAATGGTGGGGTACAGGAGAGAGAGAAGACGAGGAGGGCGGTGGGAGAAAAGGACTGAGTGGGATTAGCGGATTAGCGGAACATTTTCAAGGATAACCCACAAAGTCTTTATAAATCTTTGATATATATTAACCTACATAAAAGACGCAAATAGATAGAAGTTGTTGTTGAAAGTACAGAGTTTCCGATGGCTTTACATACCTGTTTCTTTGGCACAGGCAAACTGTGTGAGGCAGGACCAAGGGCCAGGTTGAAAAGTTTGTCAGTGTAGGGGACAGTCTTCTCTACGTTCTCTCGGAATTTGGGATCCCATTTAGCATATAGCATAGTGCCACCAATGCCTCCTCCAACAAACAGGACTCCTGTTCCTATAATTTTTCCTGCTAAGGAGCTGTGTTATTTTAAACACACAAAAAAATTATGAACAATTTACATTGCAAACACAAATGTATTGATGGATTAAAAACAGCCTTTTAACCAGAAGCACATAACAGTGTCTTGTTCACAAGTGATACAGTACTCCTTTTCCATCCAATAATGTTACACAACACTCGCAAGCTAACATTCGGAGTACGTGAGGATACTCCCAGACACTAAATTAATAACTAGATAAACTTTATCTGATTTTATTCCTCAAGTTTATAAATGCGTGTGGATAATAAAAAACACATGATGATTACAATCATATAAACTCCTTTGTCAAATAATAGTGCTTCACAGCCTTGACAAGCTTTCTTGTACCTTCACAAGCATGATCAGCATTCGCAAAAAGATTTCTTGTAACCTTTCAATTTTTTTTAAAAAAAAGTTTTAAAACTATGATTCCTTAATCCGACCACAAATACAGTGGTATCATGTACCACAAATGATAAAAGGGCAAAAGGAGGGGCAAAACCTGAGCGTAAGTGGGGGTCAGTTCCACATGGCCAAGCATCACACTATAGATCCACCAGCAGACCTAACCCTAACCCTAACCCTGATGACCAGTCACATCTGCCCTTTATGGAACAATGTACCTCTCATCTCAAAGCCGTTTCCCTTTCAGAACGGCCACGTTCTTTTGACTTCTGAGGCCAAGGTTCTGACAACTAATCAAACATATCCATTGAAGCAAGCCTTTAAATAAACAATCGTTTCCAATTCATGGTTTGTCATTTACACAAAGGTTACTTTTTTAAAAAAAAACCCAAAAGCCCATACATACCCCGAGGTGCTTCCAGTAGTGTACCGACGACATTGCTGCAAAGGACGGAGCTGCCATTTACCACAGAGGCACTTCTGGTGTTGGGGGGGGGGGGGGGGGTGGGTTGAATGGAGGCGGAATAAAAACAGAACATGCCTTTAATAAAATCTAGCTATCTAGAAAAATACTTTACAGTCAATTATTTTTGCATTGTGCTGTAGAGAAAACACTGTATGGATGAAAGGCTATCTATTCCCCAGAACTACAAGGCAATTAAATCACAAAAAATAGAGTACATCCATGAATATGTCCTTAAACCATACAGTAATGCTGCCATTATATTTTTGGTATCAAATTAGCATTAAGGAGTTACCTGAACTATTTTGCAGCAATTTTTTCTCCATAAGCAGAACAATTTGGATTGTTACAAACGTAACAAAAAGCTGAATGTAATACAGTGAAACGCATTGTGCAGCTGCATCACTGACTTCAGCTCACCATTCCTTGTTTGCTGTTCAAAGGTAGTAATTACAGAAAATCAAACGCAGTTAGATGCCAAACTTTTTTAGCAGAGGGTGGGTGGAGGAAGTAACGGATCCTGGGACCGAGCCAGGGGGAGGGGGAGGAAGGTGACCAAAGGCGCGGTCGAAGAGAAAGTGTCAACAGGGACCTGAAAACAGGAAGAGAGGGGGCGAGGCGAAGGGCGTGAGGAAGGGAATTCCAGAGCCTCGGGGCATAGTGGCTGAAGGCTCGGCCGCCGAGGCTGGACCAGAGCACTTGGGGGACGAGGAGGAGGCCAGACTGAGAGGAACGAAGGCATCGGGTACTATTTTGAGGAGAGAGCAGGTCAGAGAGGTAGGGGATGCAGAGGAGTGGAGGGATTTGTATACAAGGGTGAGGATCATGAAGTCAATCCTCTGTGGGACAGGCAGCCAGTGCAGTCTGGCAAGGACTGGGGTGACTGGGAGCAGAGTTTGTACTATCAGAGATGTACTATCATCTATACTCATTTTCAATGGAGAATTTGATTACCATCCACACAAACTAACCCAACAATAGAATTTGGTATTTCTGTTCCATATTCATAATTGCAGAAAAATGACAGATCTAAATTATTTGCAGAGCCCACCGTTAACTCTTGTGTCAGGAGAAAACAGAACAGGTTTAATAAATGTAAGAAAGTACGAATTCATGAGCAAACACAAACTGCAGGTTGTACGAGTTAACTCATTGTGCTTTGACGCTGAGCATGTTGATCTCGGTGAACACCAACATAACTGCTGCAGTCTAATCTATCATGATTAGATTGGCTGATGCGTTTTGCCCATAAAATATACAGTCTACAACACATTCCGTGAAACGCTTTCAGGCGTCTCAACCATGTGATAAGGTGCTATATCAAATGCAAGGATTATTATTCGCCTTCTTCAGTTCAAATTTTTTCCTATGTTTTGTATGAAAACCGAGCTTCTGCTTTTGCATTAATGATGAGTGAATCCACATAGTTGATAATGGTTTCTGAGCTCAGGAAGCTGTGAGCAGACAGGGAAATATGGGCTGAGGAGTATCCTAGGCCAGGGTTTGAATATTTTGATGTGTAGTTGATATGTGAGAACCGTATGCCTTTCTCACCTTGAAATAATCCAGTTCCACAAGATTCATTAACTGAAAGCTCTAGAACTGCTGCAGATTGGTCAATTTCCACAAGAAGCGTGACAGAATGACCCAATTTTTAATTATCAAAGTAGTTTCAAGGGGAAAGAAAAGTGACTAATGCATACCCTTCACTCTGTAGATACAGCTAGTTTTTCTTTCTCCTATGCATTCACCAACGTCAAAATCCATCTAATGAACTGACCCGAATTTCTGGAGTCCTGGATATATTATTCACAGTTTTCACCAAATATAATGAATATTTCTCTTCAAATACATTTAGAGGTTTTCGTCACATCCCGATTTGACTTTTGCACCCCTTGCTTGTCTATCTAGCTCCACCATTCATTCACAAGCTGTACCAAACTCATCTAAAACTCCACCACCCGCTCCTAACATGCAGGTCCTCACCCTCACCTACAAGTTCATCCGCACCCTTACCACTCCGATTTCCTCCTACTCTACTCCTCCACTCAGCTAACTTGGGCTCGCTGCACATCCTCTGCCCTCTCAGCACCACCATCGGTGGCTGAGCCTTCAGTTCCTATGCCATTTAACCTCTGGAATTCCTCCCTTCTATTGATTGCCCACGAGATTATTGCCCATGACTCCAGGAGAAATTCCCTACTCTTTTCAAATAGTGCCAAGCCTCCGTTTATCATCTCATCCAAAGGACGGACCCTCCAACAATGCAGCACATCCCCAGCAAATCACTGGAGTATCAGCCTAACAATAATAATAATCCTTGCATTCGATATAGAGTCTTATCTTCGAGACATCTCAAAGCGCTTCACAGGAATATACTGTAAAGTGAATTGACTATATATTTTGTGGGTGAACCGCAGCAACCAATTATGCACAGACTAGTAAGTAAAGCATACACTATTTGTTTCCATTTTAACTGATCTATAAAGATTGGCCAAAACTACTCTACACTGATCAGGTGTAAAACCAACAAGAATAAGGAATACTATATTCGTTGGGTTTTGGTCTGGGTTATCTTAAATGCAGAGGGCACTTTAAATGGAATGTCTCTCTGCAGAACATTTTCTACAGCCACTTGAAAATTACATTAACTCAAATTAAAGTTAGAATGGAAGGGCATGTGACAGCTACCACCGTCAGTAGATCTGGTGTTGGTATCTGTGCACAAAATAAATGATATTTATTCTTGTGTCGTGCATGTCCATTCTAAGCTTGCCAGTTAAGCAGGCTGGAGATAATTTACTTCTGCAGCTGTTATCAAATACAGCTCTGTAAAACGCTTATCTATCAACAAGAGTTAACTCGTGGAGTCCTGTAGCTTAGTGGTTAGAGAACTCGCCTCGCAAGTGAGAGGACTTGGGTTCAATTCCCGGGCAGAGTGAAATGTTGAGTAAGTTTCCTGACTCTATATGCCTCTGTTTACCTAGCAGTAAGTAGGAACCCATTTGTTAGTCGTTTGGGAGATCTCTTTTCCGGGGTAATAATCCCTTCAAAATAATAATAATTTGGTCACTCAAACCACGACTGTTTGTGGGACACTGCTGCGCACAACTGGCTGCTGTGCTTCGCCCACAAAATATACAGTCAATTCACTTTACAGTATATTCTGTGAAGCGCTTTGAGACATCTCAACGACGTGATAAGGCCTCATATCAAAAGCAAGGATTATTATTAATAATGAAAACAAGAACAGTATGCACAACAATAAATGACAAGTCATGTCTGAAACAGCCAGCAGCTATGAGTAGGCAGAACCCATTCCACTGCAGACTAGCACACAATCCCAGGAGTCAAGAGATAAAACAAATGTTAAATAGTGCCCATTGGAAAGCTAGGAATCTAACTGAAGGGTTTAGATAACCAAACAGACCACAACAAGTTTAAAGTTTTTTGTACTTCACAACAATATTCTGAATGCCCAATACTAGATTGATCCCTCGCCATCATTTCCAGTTATTATAAAATATGTACGGTTGATTGCTGTAAACAACAACAACTTGGATTTATACAGCGCCCTCTATGCCGGACGGCGTCTCAGAGAGCTTTACAGTAACGGATCCTGGAACCAAGCGAGAGGGAGGGGGAGGAAGCTGACCAAAGGCGCGGTCAAAAAGAATTTGGGACTTTTTTTTTACACAAAAAGAATGATATAAGTCACCTATTTTGTTGAATAACACCATTGTCGATATCTCAAAGAAACATGGAGATTTCCTCTCTATTATCTGCCTTATATTCCCTCCTCATCCAAACTTACCCTGTATGCAAAATAACAATTCACCATATTTGTGTAGGCTCTCGCTGGCTTTAATTAGCTGCTGGATGACATTCACTTAACTTCTGACTGATTGATTGAATGCACTTTGAGATGATTCTTTTTAAGCAAAAGGAACCACATAAATATCATCTATTTGTTCAAATAAAAATGCAAATGCTCCTACACTAAATACATGCCGGAACAGACTGGCTATTTAGAGACCTAATTCCAAAATGATGGCTTGCATAATGTTAGAACAAGTCAATGAAATTATCTTTTAAAAGAATTCCTGAAATACTGAATGAAGATTCAGAAACTTTTAAGTTGCAGCAGCAAGGCTTTAAGCCCAATATAATATAGGTAACATTACCCTCGGCTGGTCTGTAGTTGCTGACAATAGAATTTATGAATCGTGTAATGATTGTCAGGAAGTCGCTTCAAGTCAGTGTCAAATGATCAATTTGTGACCATCTTCCTGGATGGAGGGGGTGTGGGGGAGGCAGAGGCAAGCAGGGTCTCCTTGGAGCTGAGCTGGCTCCAGGGTGACATACTTGTCAGAAGTGAGTCAATTTTCTGTTGCAGTCGGTTTCTGAATCAGGCAGGTCCGCAGCGTTCCAGGATACTGATGATGACAGACCAGCTATCCTGGCAAGCCAAATCACTGGGAGCAGGGATTCTTCCTATGCAGCTCCTGTTAACCCTGCAAGCCAAAGCTCTAAAAGGTAGAGTGGTCCTAGCTGGACAAGCTGTTGGAAACTTACCAGACAGTGTTCCCAATGGTATTAGTTAAACTCCAGCAGAATCCTAAGCAGGGTGATCCAATCCTTTGTCTGCTGGGGGCCGGATTCCTTATTAGAGAAAGGTCCGCAGGCCGCATAAGCAATATTTTGTGTTTCCTTTCTAGAAACATAGCAACATTTGCACAGCATCTTTTTCATGTTGGAAGGACATCTTAACCGAGCACCTGAGCTGGGGTTGGGAGCCGAGAGAGGTGGGATTGGAGGAGAGAAGATGGCCCAAAGCATGGTCAAAGAGTGAGGTCTTGACGTGTGCCTTGAAAGAAGGGAGGGAGAGAGCGAATCGGAGTGACTCCAGCAATGGTACTCCAGAGAGTGGGGCAAAATGGACATGGCGGGGCAGAGGGTGGGGGGATATGAAACAAGCTGCGTTTGCTCTGCAGAGGGAACGGCCAGGTCAGGAGGTCACAGAGGTGGGCGGAATGAAGAAAGCAGAGAAGTTTTCGACTGGGGAAAGAAGGAGCTTTCTGTGAGGAAACTGCACAGTCTCTGTCCTTAGTCATCGGCCCACCCCCTGCGCGGCAGCCTGACAATGAATCAAGAAATGCTGACGCACTTTTTTCTCTCTCTCTCTGCTCTCTCACTCTTTTTGTTTCTTCTCTCCCCCACTCTCCCTCACGCTCTCTCTCTCATGCACTCTCTCCCTCTCTCTCACACACTCACTCTCTCTCTCTCTCAATTACTCTTTCTCACTCCCCTCTCACACCTCTCAATCGCTCTCTCCTTCCATTTCTTTCTCTCCCCCTCTCCCTCACATAGTCTCTCTCTCCCCCTCGAGGGACTCCATGATGGAATTCCAGAGGGTGGGGGCAGAGTGGCAGAAGGCCCACCCACCAATGGTGGGGCGGGAGAGGCAGAGGATGTTAAACAGGCCAGAGCCCGCTGAGCGGAGGGATTGGGCTGATTGGAAGGGGTTAGAAGATCGCAGAGGTAGGAGGGAGCGAGGCCGTGGAGGCCTTTGAAGGTGAGGACCAGGATCTTGAACTGTATCCTCTGTGTGATGGGAAGCCAGTGGAGCACAGCGAGGATGGGGGTGATAGGGTCATGGAGCCTGGTGCAGGAGAGGACATAGGCTGCAGAGTTCTGGATGATCTGCAGTCTATGGAGGGAGGAGTCGGGGAGGCCGACAAACAGGGAATTGGCATAGTCGAGCCTGGATATTATGAACGCGTGGATGAGGGTCTCGGCGGCCTGCAGTGTAAGACAGTGGCGGAGCTAGGCAATGTTACGGAGGTGGGGGAATGTTTCCGGACTGGCTTAGTAAGGTGGAGTGTGCATCCTTGGATGGTGATGCTGTCAATGCCTGAGGTGTGGAGGCGCTGACAGAAGCCTCGGTCTTGTTGACATTCAACTGTAAAAAGTTCGCTCTCATCCAGGACTTGATGTCTGACAGATATTCTGTCAGGACAGCAGTGGTCCTGGAGTCGAAGGTGGAGGCAGAGAGGTAGAGTTGGGTGTCATCTGCATACATGTGGAAAGTGACCCCATGTCTGTGGATGATGTCACCAAGAGGGAGCATATTGATATGGAAAAGGATACCAAGGGCAGAGCCCTGAGGAACACCGCACAAGATGTTGCGGGAACTAGAGGAGAAGCCATTTGTGGAGATGAAGAGGAGACGGTGTGAGAGGTGTGATCTGAACCAATCAAGGACAAAACCATGAAGGTTGAGTTAAGAGAGGCAGTGAAGGAGTTTAAGAGTGGTCAACGGCACTGAAGGCAGGAGAGAGGTCAAAGAGGACGAGGAGGCAGAGGGAGCCCTGGTCGATGATGGACACTTAGGCAAGTACAGGATCAACTATTATCTCCCCTACATACTGTCAGTGGTGAGCCTAAGTTTAATACCGCTGTTGATTTGTGAAAATCAGTCATCGAAGTTGGAATTAGAATTAATTTAAGTCTAGATACATCAATCTAATTTTGAGAGGGTAAGGGGAACCTTGAGACTGTTTTCGGTGATACAAAAGCAAAGAATATATTTTTAATAAATAAAATCCCTGTAAAATTAGCTGATTAAATTATTGACAGCTAAATGATCTAAACCATTTTTGACAATAGGTACTATGGTGTTTATTAGATGCAAAAACAACTGCTGTCTGTTAATTGGCAACCTGCCACATTAACAAAACTGAATGCAAGGATTAATTTTACTGGACTCATTTCTTCCGGACAGCAGCAAAGGATTGCACATGGTTACAAATACATCTAATGGAAACACAGTGATGAGGGCCAATAATTTGTGCTTTGAAGTCTACTCTAGTTCAAAGCATCTGCGGATTCTGCGGTTAGTGATGGACAAGACTGGGATTTGATTTAAGAATTGGTATTACCTACCCTGAAAAGGGAAAAACACAACACGTTCAAATCGGTTTCTAATCTAACTCATTCTTAAAAATCTGAGCCATACTAATTCCCTGACGTCCAATGTCCTATAATTCTATATATCAGCATATTAAAAGCTGCAAAAGTTGTAAGGGTTTTTTTGCATTAAAAATCAAAAATGGGGGTGACACAGCAAACGTTTTAAAACGACCAACGTTTCAACGGGGAACAAGGTCATGTCCTTTTCCCTGTGTGTGCCGCCTGTCTTTAATGCGAAACCCTTTAAGTTGCACGTGTTCCTCCGAAGAGGAAGACACACATGTGTATGCATCTGACTGGATGGAGAGTGGAAAATCGGATTTCTTTCACCGGGTGCCAAAAAAACAAAACGAAATATGTGCAATCACTTTTTCCCCTTCTGTCTCCCAAAATGACTGGGGAGCCTCCCTTCTGCAACTCCTGTCATTACCGCGCGACTGCTGCTCAACCTACCCTGGGTAGGACCTGAACTCCCGCCCCTCTCCCTCTCTGTACACTGATTGGCTGACGGGCCCCGCCAGTCATACCAACGCGGGGTCCCGTTGGGCGCCACCTGCGTCAATCAGACGCACGCCGGTCACGCCCCGCCCAACAGGTTAGGCTGCATCCGCTTTAACGGCCTGTGCTGAGGGCTGCTCGCGCCCTTTGCCATTAACCCAATCGATTAGAAAAGGTTACGGCACTGCCTTTTTTCAAATAAAATAGTAATATATATCGGAGCGCGCTGCAAACACACAACCATTAGCCCGGGGGGGGAGGGGGGAGAGGAGGAGGGAACCGTTCTTCCTTTCTCACCTTTAATGTCGGCGCCGCTTTGTGAGGAATCCGCAGCATCTTTTGTTTATTTGTTTTGTGTAGCGACCGTTTTTTCTCCCTCCAGTGATCGCGCGGTGAGGCGGGGCCCTGCTCCGGGAGCTGCTAGAACATCGTCTTCCCTTTGGTTAAAATAACAAAACACGAGAGAAAGGGAGAGGGGGGGAGAGAGAGAGAGAGGGGGGGAGAGAGAGGTGGGCGGCTGCTGTTTGAAACGATGGTGTGAATGGGCCCGAGGCGCCTCTCTCTCTCTCTCTCTCTGTCAGTCGGTTTCTCCTCTGTGTGGGAGCGCCGCCGCCGCCCCGCCCCCTCACGCAGTACGTACGCCCCCCCGATGACGCGGCCAGGGCACGCACAGCACGTTGTCGTGGTTGGGCGGTTTCACGCCCAATTTGCCCGCGCGTGAACAAACAAACCGCTTTGGGCGGGTAAGCTGTTTTTTTTTAAAAAAACTGTTGCTTCAACCTGCGAAACGTTTTTTTTCTCTCCTTTGAAGACCTTTTCTTACACAGTTTCAAAAGCAGTACGACCTAAATTGTCCACTTGGCTGCTACCCCCTCCATCGGAGGCAACGCGTGACATTGGGCTACTTTTGGGCTACAAACTGATTTACAGCGGTGACCTTCTCGCGCTGTAAGTGACGGTTGAAGATGGCGGCGGCGGCGGCGCTGCGGACCGCGAGAGGTCAGTCTGTCTGTTTGCAGTGAACACGAACCGGCAGCGGACACTCCGGGGCCACACAGCGAGAGACAGAGAGAGACAGTCTGAAGGGGGAGAGATGGACAATGGTTGACTGAGAGACGAGAGTGTGAGAGACTAACTGTGTGTGAGAGAGGCCCTGTGATGGGGAGAGGGAGAGTGTGAGGAAGTGAGGCTCTGCCTGTGATGGAGAGTCGGTCTGACACGTTGTGGAGAGAGGAAGTGTGCGTTGAAGAGAGGGAGACCGAGGCTCGACTGTGCAAACTCCCTGTCTGTCATCCTCCCCAACCCCTCCCTCCCCAGGCTGCAGGTCATCCAGAGCTCTGCAGCCCGTGTCCTCTCCTGCACCAAACCCCATGACCCTATCACCCCCGTCCTCGCCCGACTCCATTGGCTTCCCATCACACAGAGGGTACAGTCCAAGATCCTGGTCCTCACCTTCAAAGCCCTCCATGGCCTCGCTCCCCCGTACCACTGCGACCTCCTAACCCCCTCCCACCCTGCCCGCTCCCCCCGCTCAGCGGGCTCCGGCCTGCTTCACGTCCCCCGCTTCGCTTGCCCCACCATTGGTGGGCGGGCCTTCTGCCACTCTGCCGCTGCCCTCTGCAACTCCATCCCGCAGTCCCTCTGTCTCGTCTGCTCCCTCGCCACCTTCAAGACCCATCTCGAGACCCTCCTCTTCGACTGTGCTTTCGATCACCCTGCTTCCCCCCCTGCCCTCCAGCCTTCCCAATCCCGCCCCCGCAGCTCGGGTCCAAGACACTGACTGTCCAGCGCCTTGGGACTTCCTCCTGACATGAAAGGCGCTATACAAATGCAATTTTGTTGCTGTTGTCCTGTATGCGATAGACTGTGAGATACTGAGGCATTTTAATAACATGCTTTGGAACAACTTGCATTTTATATAAATATTTTATATTTTTGATATAAACTTGCATTTATATAGCTCCCTTCACGCGGGGTAGCCTCTCAGAGCACTTGACAGTGGTGGGAGTCTGACTCCGAGCCAGGAGAGTGTGCATTTATAAAGCAAATAGCATGTGGACATTTCTCACTGTGTGTGGCCGGCTGGTTCCTATGCTACAAATGGCCAACATCCAGGTCATTAGGTCACTTCCTGTGCACTGTGCGGCATGCAGGAAGTGACATCAGCAAAGACCCGATCACCTGGAAGTCGGCTTTGTTTCCGTGCAAGAACTGGCAGACACGTGGAAACCGAGTCTGACAACCGCACAGTAAAACCAGCTATTAGGTTATAAAGTGGGTTGGGATATATATTTTATAGATCCAATCATTGTTTTGTGGAGGAGGTCAACTGTTTAACCATTAGTTCTTTAATGAAGTTTGTCATAAGGATAATTGTACTTCTCTCCTTTGTGGGCACATCAACACCCTTAAGTGCACCTTTTTCTCCTTCGTACTCCCTGTCATTATGTAAAGTGCTTCCAGCCATTAGTCTTATGTGAAAAGTGCTATACAAGTGCAAGATGCTGTACAATTGCATTGATGGTAAAGGCATCAAGCTTCACCACCGTTAGCACTTCAAGGCACTACCCCATATATTGCTATGTAAATGCAAGTTGTTGTAATAATTGTGGTTTGTAAAAAAAATTATTGTGACAGATGGATTTGGTAGATAAATGATTATAGGCATAACTGGAAGTATTGTGCTCCACATGCGCTCATGCAAAGAAAATGCCTTTTTTTCTTTAGGATCCTTGAGGCACGTCCTTTCTCTGGCACACAGAAATGTCCCAAGAGACCCATGTGTTGCACAGCTCGTCTCCCGGTTTTCCACCTTCAACCTCCGACATATTAAACCACCAGCCGTTTCCACAATAGCCAACCTGACATCTCCTTTGCGGAATAACCTTATCTGTGGGCATGAATCCTTTGTTCTCAAGAGGTGTGTGTTTAACATCAAAGTCTACTATTCTGAGAGAAAAAGATTGTTTCACTTTGGAGGTTCAGGCAATGACTCCCTACCAAAATATTGTGAGCTTATTAAATCATTCAAAACTTTACAGAAGGGGAAGGTATTCAACCCATTATGTCTGTGCTGTTGCTTACTTCCCCATTGGAGCTATCTGCTCTTTCCCTGTACCTGTAGATTTCAGCTTGGCTCAGCCGGTAGCACTCATGTTGTTGAGTCAGAAGGTTGTGGGTTCAAGCACCACGCCAGGACTTGGATCACATAGTCTAAGGTGACACCCTAAAGCGGTGTTGCATTGTCAGAGTTGCCATCCTTTGATGAGACATTCAACCATAACTCTCTGCCTGTTCAGGTGGATGTTAGAGATCCCATAGTGCTACGTGATAAGAGAATGCCATTTCTCCAGGTTGTCCTGGCCAACAATCCCCACAATAAAATTGGTCACTCACTCCATGGCTATTTGTGGGACATTGCTGTGTACAACCGGCAACTCTTGACTGGCACCTTCTAGCCTGTGCCACCTACTGCGCAAAGCTCATGAGGAGGTGCTACTTACCCTTGTTTGAACTGGGGTTAAATAGTGGCGATGTAGTGCTGGAAACAATTTGAGGTTATGATTATCGCTCAGTGTTCCCTTAATAGTTCAGTCTATTTGTCTGGTGTGTAATTGAGCCATATAAACCAGGATGTTCCCAGGGTTAACCCCTGATTTGTACTGAGTTTGCTCATCTCACCCAGGGTGTTTGTAGGGCTTGCAACTGGTTTCAAAATTTCTGTGTTCAGGAGGGAAAAATCAGTGACTTCCACTTAAAAATGCCTGTATATGGGGTGAGGACAAGGATCTGGCACGAGCAACACCACTCACTATGAAGGTTCACAAATGAATAATGACCACTTGTGGGAAAGTGCTAGAGGTGTCCATAACACACTGGGAATCTATTCTTCAACAAAAAGAAACAAATAGGCAACATGTTCAAGAAAGCGAGGGTGCAGTTGGCATGGGGGGAAAATATCACGCTTAAGAATAGTTGCTTGAGTGTGGCTGATTTTTCTCTTCCCTCCTCCACTCCCCATAACTTATTAATTGTATTGCATTACGTAAGCTCAGTGTATAAGTTTTGTACTGTATTAATGTTGACTCCATTTTCTTCTATATACAGTGGATCCCCTCCCATTCCACGTTTCCAGCAATCAGTGAGAACACTCACCTATTTCGGTTTGCGTAGAGGAAAGCGGAAAACCGTCAAAGCTGTTGTGAAGCGGTTCCTGCGACTGCATTGCGGCCTCTGGGTGAGAAGGAAGGTAGGCATTTCCAGTGTTTCATAAGAGAGATTTGGGTGAAACAAAATCTATGGGCTCATTTGTTCTCTTATTTCCAGAATACCAATCCTACCATCTTCCCATTGTAGCCACATGGTGTTCTTTAAATGAGTCCAGTGTTTGAACTCTTCCACCCTTCCCAGTAACGTATTCCATCTGTCAATTACCCATTGTGTAAAGAAATACTTTCTGGTATCAGCCTTAAATTTGACATTCACATCTTTGAACGTGTGACCTCTTGTCCTCTTCTACCCTCAACTCCACGACCACCGATGTCCTGACAGACTGCCTGTCCGACATCGAGTCCTGGACGAGAGAGAACTTTCTTCAGTTCAACGTGCGCAAAACTGAGGCCCTCCTGATTGGCTCACGTCAGCGCCTCCGCACCTCAGGCGCTGACAGCATCAGCATCCAAGGCTGCCCTCTCCACCTCTCAAAGCCATCAGGAACCTTGGGGTTCTGTTCGACCCTGAGCTGTCCTTTCTCCCTCACATCCGCACCACAACTGGCACCGCCTTCCATCACATCCGGAACATCGCCAGACTACAGCACTACCTCACCCCTCACGCCGCTGAAACTCTGGTCCACACCTTTATCACCTCAAGGCTGGACTATGGGAACTCTCTCCTCGCCGGCCTTCCCGCCACCTCCCTCCACAAGCTGCAGGTCATACAGAGCTCTGCAGCCCATGTACTGTCCCGCACCAGACTTCGCGACCACATCACTCCCACCCTCGCTCGCCTCCACTGGCTCCCCATCCCCCAGAGGATCGAATTCAACATCCTCATCCTCACCTACAAGGCCATTCACGGCCTTGCTCCCTCCTACCTCTCCGACCTACTATCCCCTACCTACCTGCCTGTACCCTCCGTTCCTTTGGCTCCGGTCTGCTCCACATCCCCCGCCCTAACTGCCCTACCATCGGTGGCCGGGCCTTCAGCCTCTCAGCCCCGAGGCTCTGGAACTCCATCCCCCAGTGCCTTCGCCGCTTCCTCCCTTTCCTCCTTCAAGGCCGGTCTCAAGACCTTTCTCTTCAACCGTGCCTTCAGCTCCCCTCTCGACTCTCTACCCCCTCCTTGCTCCCTCCCTTCCCTCCCTTCACCATTTTCCCCCCCCTGCTCAGGTCCCGACCCAACTGTCCAGCGTCTTGGGACGTCCTCCCGACGTGAAAGGCTCTCTATAAATGCAATCTTGTTGTTGTTGTTGTCCTACTGTCTTTGTATACCAGAAAGCATGATTCTGGTCTTTGGTTCTCTATCCCATTTGGCATATTTTACACACCAAAAAGGTCCCTCCTTGAGACATCACTTTTCAAGGATGAAGACCCCTTGCTTATATGGTTGTTCTTTGTAGCTTAGTCCCTCTAAGGGATCTCCTCTGCACTGCCTCTATGGCCTGGATAGCTTTATAACATGACGGGGAATGGAATTAGCATTTGAAGTATTACATAATAACGCGAATACAAAAACGTGCATCATTTTACCTTTAGAAGGCCAAACATAATGAAAGATGTCTGAATCTTTGTACTGTTATTTAGGTTCATCTTAAGGAGTTATATGGACAGAATTCCTTGGTACCAAGTCAGTATCCCTTTTCCCCTCCGCTGCAAAGTAGAACGTACGAATTTCTTCCTTTGATTGCTTCTTTGATTGCACCTGATGCAGACGCATTAGATGGCATCCAACTCCTTGAGTTAACATATGAATGAGACATGGTTACTGCATTTATTTTGAGATTAAATTATGAGGATGTGTTTCATAAACTTGGTCTCTATTCACTTGAAGTTAGAAGGTTGAGGGGTGATCTGATTGAGGTTTTTAAGATAATAAAGGGATTTGATAGGGTAGATACAGATAAACTATTTCCTCTGGTGGGGGAATCCAGAACGAGGGGCATCATTTTGAAATTAGAGCTAGGCAATTTAGGAGTGAAATTAGGTGGCAGGTTTTCACCCCAACGGTAGTGGAAATCTGAAACTCTCCCCCAAAAGGCAATGGATGCTGGATCCATTCAAATCTTCAAGACTAAGGTGTATCCACCTTATTTGTTAGGCCAGGGTAACAAGGGATACAGGGCAAGGGCTGGTAAATGGACTTGAGGTACAGATCAGCCATGACCTTATTGAATGGTGGAACAGGCTCGAGGGGCTGAATGGCCTACTCCTGTTTCTATGAGGTCACTACTGTTTCTTCAGAAAGAATTTATTTTACCCTATCATTTTTTCAAAGATATCAGAAGCTTTGATTTAATCCTATTAGTTTCTTACATTATTACTGTCAATTGTTAATATTATTGTTGTTTAGAGCACTCGCCTTGCAAGCGAGACAGAAAACAATGCAAACAAGCAAATTCACCTTCCTGACAAAACCAATTCCAAGTTCAATTCCAGGCAGGGCGAAACCTAAGAATCAGAAGAGCCAGCAAAAGTCTTGCAAAGAGAGTATGATAGGGTAGACTGGTGAATGGCAAATGATGTTCAATATAGATAATTTAAGGTACTGCATGTAGAAAGTAAAAGCAGAAGCCACGTATATTTCCACGTGGAGTCCTGTAGCTCAATGGTTAGAGCACTGGCCTTGCAAGTGAGAGACCTGGGTTCAATTCCAGGCAGAGGGCGAAACCTTGGGCAAGTTTCCTTACTCCACACAGAGCCTAATAATAATCCCTCCAAAACCAAAAACAATAATAAATTGGTCATTTTCAATCTACGACTGTTTGTGGGACATTGCTGTGCGCAATTGGCTGCCGCGTTCCCCCACAAATATATACAGTCAATTCACTTTACAGTGTGTTCTGTGAAGCGCTTTGGGATGTCCTCCCAACGTGAAAAGCGCTATGTCAAATGCAAGGATTATTATTATTAAAACTACAATTTCACAGCAACCAGACCTGGCTGATGGCTTTCACCCAGTTGGTTTCAGATTGCACACCAGAGGCTGCAAAGGGAGGCGGTAACCAGGGGCCCTATTAATATACTGGAATGTTACTGACATACTGCGTGGGGAGAGATAGATATTTCTGCACCAGGGTGCTTATAAATAAAGTGAGTAACTAATTATTTCTATTCCTAGCCTTACACACCTGTCTTGTGAAGGGCCCTCTTCCACCTTAGTTTCTACAGTGTCTAAAATAACAGAGGTTTTTTATTTTATTTCCTAGCTCGATTGAATTTTTTTCTTACAAATTTTGCAGTGTGATTTATCGTGAAGAATTAAGTGTTCCTAATATTCCCAGTTTACCTGTTCCCCCCAGGAATCCCACTGCAGAAGATGCAGAAGAACTTAAAAATATTTCACTTCTGTCATTAAGAAACAAGCAGTGTAAACATTTTGACTGCTCAGGTTAGTGCATTGGTAGCAAAGCCTGCTTTGTGGATCAAGACCCATGTTAGGAATTTTCGAGCTCATAACCTCAGCTGACACTCCAATGCAGTGCTGGTGGAGCTTTGCATTGACAGAGGAACCATCCTTCAGTCGAGACGTTAAACCTATGTCCCATCTGCCTGTTCAGGTAGACATTAAAAGACTCTGTGACACTGTTTGAAAAGAGAAGGGAGTTTCTCGGGGTGTTCTTTCCAAAATGAAAGTAATGGAGGAAGCCATTTTTTAAATAGTTCCAATCTTCTCCAGGTTAAAAACGGTCATTCGCTGGATTTGCCTACAAAATACAGTTACTACACTTGACAGCAATTACCAGTGAAGCATTTTGACATGTTTCAACATTGTAGATGCTATTATTAAATTGAAAGAATTATTATCTTAAAGCTTTAGAGATGTTCCTCCTAAACTGCTAAAAGAAGTAAGAACCCGCTTAAAAACAGCTTTCAAATTGAGACTTAGTTTAAGGAGCTTCCAAAAATTCTGTACTATCTTCAAATTTAAAATCATAAGGCATTTCAGGCTTCTGGTCTGGAAATTTGCCGCCTAGTGAAACCGTTGTCAGTTAGGATGCTGTGACAAAGAGAATTGTTTTTAAAAAGCATTGAAGTCAATCAATCCAATTTAATAAGGGCACAAAGCAATCAATTTCTTTGGGAATCCCTAATCAATAAAAATCTGCGTTAGCAAATAAAGCAATGAATTGTCTCATTTCTCGGCAGTCCTGTCAGTTTACTGGGCACCAGGGATAAAGGCGGCTCTTCCAACCCTAAGTGCTCTTCCATTTTGATTCCAGGCGGGCTACAAGAAAAAACTTTGGAAGAAATCAGCCGACAGGAAGCGACGTCTCCGACAGCACGTCTTCTGTAACAGAACGCAAAGCAAGCTGCTTGATAAGATGACCACAGACTTCTGGAAAAGGCGGAATTGGTACGTCAACGATCCGTACCAGATGTACCACGATCGCACAAACCTGAAGGTTTGAGACCTTGGTTTGTGCGTGGGAGAGGGGCAGATTTTTTAAAAATCATTATTGGACAATCCATTCATCTACGATCAAGAGGGTTGCCTGTCATGAGCCCTCTTTGGACTGTCTTCCCCGGATGGCAGGAATGTATTTATCTGTGGAAGTCAAAACTTTAGGATTATGCACTCGTTGTCTCTTGTCACCCTGATTACATACTTTTAAATCAAGTTTCACTTCTTCAGTGATCGAGAATAAAACTTCCAAAATTTATGACCTTGATTGTTTATTTAAACCAATATAAATCTGCCTGTTCAGATTGACATTAAAGTTACTTTGTCGCTATTGGAAAAAAGACAGTTGAGGCCAACAATCCTCCAAAAAAATTGTCCCTTCACTTCAGTGCTGTTCGTGGGTCATTGCTGACTGCAAAATGTCTGCCTCAATTACCTGTAACTTGCCGTCCTTCAGAGGAAATGTTAAACCAAGTTAAACAATGTTAAACCCTGCCTGTCGAGGAGAACTTTAGAGATCCCATGGCACTATTCAAAAAGAGAAGGGAGTTCTTCCAGTGGCCTGGCCAACAATCTCCCAAATAAAAGTGATCACTCATTCCATGGCTGTTTGGGGACATTGCTGCGTGCAAATTGTCTGCTATAATTCACCCACAAAATACACAGTCACATCAGTTTACAGTGTATCCTGCAAAGTGCTTTGAGATGTTGCCATGATGTGATAAGGTGCTGTATCAAATGTAAGGATTATTATCTTCTCCCACTCCACACCCATTAACCCCCCACCACCCAATTGTTCCCAGTATCCTAACAGATTAACGTCAAGATTTCTTATTGAGATCTTCAAATCCCTCCAGGATCTGGTGTCACCGTGCTTTTCCTACATCCTGCTCAAATCCCCCAATGCTGGTCTACTGCTCAGGCCTCACTCTTTCTCCCCCACCCAACCCCCTCCCCACTTCCAGGTCCACTATCGGTGACCAAGCCTTCATCCATTAGATTGTTCTCTGAAAGATTTGCCCCATGTCTTATATTTCATTTCTATGTAGAAGGTGTTTTAAAAAGTTTATCAAAGTTTAAGGAGTTGTTGATAATGGGGTAAATTTCCACATGTATGCGGATGACACCCAATTCTTATCTTTCTGCCTCCACCCTTGACTCCAGGACCACTGCTGTCCTGACAGAATGTCTGTCAGACATCAAGTCCTGGATGAGAGCGAACTTTCTACAATTGAACATAGGAGACCATTTCTGCAGTAAGCGATGATCTGATCTCAGGGGGAATCACAATTAGCCTCAGCCAATCCTGAGCAAAAGGTGGAGGGAGTAGGAGGGAAATCGGCCAGACAACTAGCTCCTGATTGCTGTCCTGTGACCCTCTTTCCTCCCCATATATCACTGCAGAGTGGTTGGATCAAATGACATGTTTTTCTGTGCTGTGTGACTATGTAAATGGATGTGGGAAAGAGCAAATGATTGGGATTAGAGGGCAGGTACCGGCACAAGGATAGGCTCTAAGAGCTGGATGACCTCTGCAATGTCATTTGTATGAACAGAAGGTGAGTGGAAACCTGCTGAGACCAGCATATGACTGAAACACGAGACGGCAGTTCATCTTTCAAGTCTTTTATTACAATGCCAAGAGTCCCTTGACAAATGTAGAAGACAACAATCCTATAATTCATGCAGCACTCTGTGAACGCGATGCCCAGTGTTTACGGCAACACCAAGTTCCCTATATACAGTTCCCGTCAACACAACACAAAACGCGAATTAATACAACTATAAAGTGCTCTGGCCTGCCAGATTTGCCGTGGCTTTTTTTTGCCGAAAATTTCAAAGGAAACAAAATCTCACATGCATGGCAAAAAAAAATCATTTTTTTATAATATATAATAATTATAATGGAAATTAAGACAATCGCAATCTTCCTCAGTCATTTTGTAAAGGCATGAAACCAGTGCATCATCTCACAAAGAAACCACTTAAATAAATGAGTGAAACCTCACAGAAAATACAACTACAGTCCATTTCACAGATACATCATTCATGTACAGTTACACAAACAGTGTCTTTTTCTAGCACGGTTCTGCATTACAGTCGGACGACAGTAATCATCACACCAAAAAAATCTTTTCGCATTTTGCATTTGTCGTGTGTGTACAGGTAAACAAGCTAGCACAGTGATTTAGTACTGGGAGATAAGGCAGCCCAAGTCAACCCACCTCTCTGACTGCCACAGTGTAAAACAAGTCAACTATAACCATGTTCTCAACAGCTAATATCATTAATATGGTTTGTAACAAATCTACATAATATTTTTCAATTACTGCCTGTTACATTAACCACCATTTCAGGTGGGTGGGATTGAAAATGCCAAACTGGCATTGGGTAATTGGACCCAACAACTGGATTTTGCACGATTTGCTGCCAAATTCAACACCCGAATACCGAAAAAAAAACACCACTTGCTTCCTGATCTTTTACCCTTCATCAGTCCAGAAATGCTCTTCAAAGCAAATTAAAAAATCAATGCCGTCAGCCTCTAAGCAAACACCACACTTTCAACCCAACCAATCCCCCCGCCCCCACCCCCCCCCCCCCCAACTCCAAACCCCTCCATTTTCAGCTACAACAAAAGCTTCCTTTCCAAATCCTACTGAAGCTACAGTTTCCAACATGTAGGATTCTTTCCCACACATGTATTTGTAAATCTTGCCCCAATGCAATAGAAACTGCTGACATTTTGTGGCTGTGACATGCTTTAGTAATGAAAGTGCAGATGTTTCGTTACTTTACCATGTATGAATTCAAGAGCGTTCCAGGGGATTCGAGTGCTCACTAACCTGAGACACTAACCTGAGTGAGGTGTGCTATATAAATGCAAGTCGTTGTTGTTGAAGATGATGCAGTTTGCCAATCAGTATCCTGTGGGTTTTGAAATAATGATAATAATTATCATAATCCTTATGTTGAATGTAAGGACTATGATTATTATTATCATTATTTCAAAGTGTGCAGTATTTGGCAAATTCTGAAACGCAGCCTTAAATTTCAAAGCTGTTTTTTTGTAAGTTTCTTTCTTTGAAATAGCTACCAATTAGTCCCACTCCCCCACTCTTACTTTTAGCCCGAGAAATGTTTCCTTTTCAAGTACCTATCCAATTCCCTTCTGAAAGCTACTATCGAATCTGCTTCCAAGAAAATCTAATTACACTTTCTTTATTTTGGTCTAATCAAAAGCCCACCAAAGTCCTCCAATGTTGTTGTGAGAGCTTCAGGACATTTTTCTCCTAAAATTAACATCTTGGAGTAGAAATTCCATCCGGGTCTTGACTTATTGTATTTTCTTTGCATTGCTGGGTGCGTATTGGCTGCCTTGCACAAACAAAATATCCAGTCACTACACTGTACGGTAAATGCCATGAAGCACTTTAAGACTCCCTCCTGATGTGGAAGGCGCTACATCGAATATAAGGTTTATGATTATTATCATTATTTCAAAGTGTGCAGTAACTGGCAAATTCTGAAACGCAGTCTTCAATTTCAAAGCTATTCTTCTGCAAGTTTCTTTCAAGAACTACGGAAAAACGGCTTCAGGGTTAAGACTTAAAAGTTTTACCTAACAAAATACGTGATCGCTACACTTTGCAGAAAATCCTGTGAAGTGCTTTGAGATGTCCTCCTGATGTAAGTATTGTTATAAATTCAACAATTTACCAAATTCTGGATGCTTGAAATGCTTAGAAAAGTTAAGTATAACAACAATAATAATAATCCTTAATAATAATAGTCCTTGCATTTGATTTAGTGCCTTATCATGTCGTTGAAACATCTTAAAACGCTTCACAGCATATACTGTAAAGTGAATTGACTGTATATTTCTGTGCGAAAGGAGGCAGCCAATTGCACACAGCAATATCCCACAAATAAATAATAACTTGCATTTATGTAACACCCTTCGTGTGAGGTAGTGTCTTGGAGTGCTTAGACTCAGGTTCTCCCCTTAGGTTTGAAAAGACAACTATTAAGAAACTGATTACCTGGTCAGTCTTTTTTGTTGTTGTTGTTACAGCACTGTTGTTGTAGCACTCTCCATTGAAACAGCCTATTAGATCTCTAGCATGTGCATTAAGACAGGCAGGTGTACAGAATAGCTAGCCTAGCCGGTGGTCACCTTTTTGGAACAATTCCCACTCAACTTTATACCGCCCTGAAAAGCAAAGAAACCAGGAGACCGCAAATTCCACCTGCCCTGAGCATTGTCGGACTATTGGAAAATTCGCCTGCNAAAAATACACAGTCACTACACTACATTTTGCAGCAAATCACTTTGAGGCATCCTGCCGACGAGGGGAAAAAAGCACTATATCAAGTATAAGAATTATTATATTATTATTATAATAAAATCCCACAATTCAGTTTTAATTTGGATGCCGACATGAGAATTGGCAATTGCGGTCTTAAAGACAAAACAGGTGCTACTGACGAAGACTAGGTGGAATTTGGTGCCTCTGGGTCTGGGTTACTTTATTTCAGGAGCCTCTCATGTGCTGGGAAAAGCCCTTTACAGAAAGGGGAAAGGCTGTGTGAACATTACAAACACTTTAGCATTGATAAATACAATCCTTTTGCTCACTCATTGCCCCGAAACGCTGTGTTAAATACTGCGAAGCAGAAAAATGTTATATATATACTGTATATTAAAAAAAGATGATGCCTACAGATAATCTTATACTCATGTCAGTTGGCAGCTGAAAGACATCTGCAGCACAAGCCACTGCTGGCCTTTTCCCGGTGTTGCTCAGTTGGTGTGAATGTGTGTGTGTGTGTTTTTTTTGGCTCGTAAAGGTAGGGCATGGAACAGGAGGTCTAAACAAGGTCACTGCAGCCTTGGCGGTCATTCGGCATCACATCGTCTCACTGTTGGACGTCGAGCTACATTTCCTTCTGGGAGGTGGTTTGGGGCGCCTAAGCTCTGCCTGTAAAAATGTACAATAAAGGGTTACATCTACACATACCAATACCTTCACACCCCCTCCCTGTAAACATATTCACTTACCGATCAATTCCAGGCCTACCAATTCCTCCGTTCTTTCCCCCCGCACCCGCCCCGCCACCCACTCCGTAAAAATATACATGTTGCATATGAAAAATGTAGGCATATTGGTCAAATGTACTTGTACCAATTCTTCCCCACCCCCACCCCTCTCACCTACATCCCCCACCCCCGGAAAAATATACACATACTAATCAAATACACATGTACCAATTCCTGCCCCCTCTCTGCATTTCCCCCTGTAACACTCTACACATATTGGTCAAATTCACATGAAAACAATCCATCACCCTCTCCATTTTCTTCCCCAAAAGAACAGGAGAAGGCCATTCAGCCCATCAAGCCCATCAAGCCTGATCCAGACGTCAAATCCTGGATGAGAGCTAAGTTTCTTCAGTTAAACGTCAACAAGACCGAGGCTCTCCTGTTTGGCTCCCATCAGCGTCTCCACACCTCAGGCGCTGACAGCATCACCATCCATGGCTGCACACTCCACCTCACTGAGCCAGTCTGGAACCTTGGCGTCTTGTTTGACTCTCAACTATCCTTTCTGCCCCACATCCATGCCATGACCTGCTCTGCCTTCCCCCACCCAGGAACATCGCCCAGCTCTGCCACTGTCTCACTCCGCAGTTCGCCAAAACCCTCATATACACATTCATAACATCCAGGCTGGACTAGGCAAACTCCTTCTTTGTCAGTCTCCCCAATGCCTCCCTCCATAGGTTACAGATCATCCAGAACTCTGAAGCCTGTGTCTTTCCCACATCAGGCTCCGTGACCCTATTACCCCCATCCTCGTCCTACTCCACTGGCTTCCCATCACACAGAGGATACAGTTCAAGATCCTGGTCCCCACCTTCAAAGCCCTCCATGGCCTCGTTCCCCCCTCCCTCTGCGACCTCATAACCCCCTACCAACCTGCCCACTTCATGACCCTTGTCTCGTCCACTCCACCATTGGCGGGTGGGCCTTCTGACACTCTGCCCCCACCCTCTGGAATTCCATCCCACAGTCTCTTTGCCTCGCCCCCTCCCTTGCTTCCTTCAAGATCCATCTGAAGACCCTCCTCTTCGACCATGCTTTCGAGCACCCTCCGTCTCCCCCCCGCCCTCCACCACCCCAATCCCAACCCCCAGCTCGGGTCCGAAACATTGACTGTTCAGCACCTTGGGACATCCTCCCAAAGTGATAGGCACTATACAAATGTAATCTTGTTGATCCGCCAGTTTATTAGATAATGGCATACCTTTCAATCCTATTTCCCTGCCTTTTCTCCATACTTCCTACCTATATTTACCTGTGTTCGACTACAGAATCAGTCTTCCTATCCCAAACCCTTACCCTCAGTCATGTAGTATTCTCTGGCTCATAGTCATAATATTGAATGCAGCCCACCAGGCTCTGTGGTTGAGTCACCAGTGGGTGTTATGCTTGAGTGAGATGGCTTGGAAAGTCATCTTACCACCCCCCCACCCCCGTTCCACCCTTCCGCAGAATCCAAGTCAGGCTCAACGAAGATCAGTAGTGATGCCCTCTTCGAGAAGCTCCTCATTCAAACTGAGATCTCCTCCTTATCTCATATCCACCAAGTCGCAAGGTGACCCTGATGTAAAGAGGCAGGTTGATCTATTAGGTTTAAAAGGTGGCCGCCTGGACAAAAGTAATGCCGTTGGTTATCTAATTGCACATTCCTTGTGATGCCAGAATGTTGCAATTACTTTCTCTCTGCCTCTTATCTCACTTCACACAGCAGCCTTCCAACTTGAACCCATCCCATCGATCTTACTCTCTGCTCTAAACTAGTAACTCTGAAGGGAGGAAGGAGGTTCTCATTAGCTTTTATTTCTATTTTGCTGGCTTGGAATAGAAGAGGTTTAAGGGGGTGTTTTGCTGGGGAGGAGGGGTGGAAATTCTGTCCTTTATCCTTCAAGAGGTTGATTGAGTGCTTTGAGATGTTATTCCCACATGAAATGCGCAATATGAGTGTAATTTGTCCTTGATTAAATAAGATGGGTAATAGCCCCCACGAGGTAACAATAATAATCCTTGGATTTGATATAGCGTCTTATCACATTATTGAGACGCCTCAAACCCTTACTCTCTACTCTAAACTAGTAACTGCAGAGGGAAGGTGGAGGTTCTCATTAGCTAATAATAATATTCCTTACATTTGGTACAGCGCCTTTCATGTCAGGAGGATGCCGCAAAGCACATCACAGGATATATTGTAAAGTGCAGTGACTGTGTTTTGTGGGTGAACACAACAGCCAGTTTGCACACAGCAATATATAATAATAATAATAATAATAATAATAATAATAATAATAATCCTTGCGTTTGATATGGTGCCTTATCACATCATTGAGAAGTCTCAAAGCTCTTCCTCTGGGCACTAGAGGGACAGTGACATTGATTTACGTATAGCTTGGAAATCCCTTGGTAAACACACATTGTCAGAGTCACAACAGAGTTCTTAAGGTTCTTCACTCTTGAGTTTCCGCATGTGTCAGATAGACATCCATCTGACCCAAAACAAATTCCATAAGGGTTAATATCTAATTCACTCTAAATGTTATAATAGACATGCCTTCAATAGCCAGTTGCGGTAATGCATCCCACATCTTGATATGACTCCAGTAAAATACTTTATGATTCCGATTGATAATTGCAACATTCTGGCATCACAAGGAATGTGCACGATAAGGTGCTATTTGCAAATTCATCACCAGTGGAAATAATCTGTCACTATTAGAGGTGAACTGAAGAGATTTCTTATTTGGTCAGCTGGGTGGGACATCTGATACACGTGGAAACCCATCACAACGCTTAGACTAATAGGCATCTGTCTATGGAGTACACACTCATTACGCTTTACAACATATCATGGGAACAGCTTCGAGACGTGAAAGGTGCTGAGTCAAATGCCATGATTATTATTATTATTAAATAACAATCGGCCATCGCAAACCACAGCCATCCAGTAAATAACACAAGAAGAGACAAAAGGTCCCATTCTGGGGGAGGGGACAGTGACATACCTCGGACCGTGGTAACTTTTTCCTAAGTGGTTTCTGGGGGCGTTTGATCACGAGCTGCTCAACCTCATCATCAGAGTTCTCTACTGCTCTAGCCTTATACTGCTCCTCCTCTGCCCTTTGACCCTGATCAATGTTTACTTCATCGCCTTTAAAGTCCAGTCACCCGTCTGAGCGGCCAAGAGAAGGAAACAGAGAGCGAATGAATGGGTTACCTTTGTCTCACTGCTCGTGGCTTAAGATGGTCAAAGTAAAGGAAGATGTAGTTATGTCATGCTTGTGGGAAACACGGCGGTCAGTTATCGGATTTAACCTGTTGCTCATCCATTTCTGACATAATATTTATACAACAACAACTTGCATGCCCTGCACACGGGGTGGCATCTACGAATGCTCTACAGAGCCGAGCCGGGGGAAGAGGTGACTGTAAGCGTGGTCGAAGAGGAAGGTCTAAAAGAGGGGAAGGAGGGGTAAAGCGGGGGGATTGAGGGAGAGAGGAACAACATTGCAAGCAAGAAGACCTGGGTTCAATTCCCAGGCAGGGCGAAACCTTAGGCAAATTTCACGCCTGTTTACCTAGCAGTAAGTAGGAACTCAGTTGTTAGCTGGATCACTTTTCTGGGGGCAATAATCCCTTCAAAACAAATAATAATAATTTGGTCACTCAATCCACGACTGTTTGTGGGACGTAATTGGCTGCCACATTCGGCCCATGAAATATACAGCCAATTCACTTTACAGTATATTATGTGAAGCGCTTTGAGACGTCTTGAAGACGTGATAAGGTGCTATTTCAAATGTAAGGTTTATTATTATTTTGCTGCTCTCGGGAATTCCACTTTGCGCTTTCGAAACAGAGTAGATCAGCGGAAATCGCAATCAGATCTTTCCAACACAACAATAAATTGCATTTACAGTATGTAGCGCCTTTCATTTTGGGAATATGTCCCAAGGTGCCAGACAGTTAAGGGTTTGCACCCAAGCTGGAGGCTGGAGTCGAGAGGCATGGAGGGAAGGAAGGTAGTGGTGGGAGGATTTTCGAAGGCACAGTCAAAGAGCAAGGGCTTGAGATGGGCCTTGAAGGAGGCAAGGGAGGCGGTGAGGTGGAGGAGCTTTGGAATGAAGTTCCTAGGGTGGGAGTAGAAAGGCTAAAGGTCTGACCAGACAGAGAGTGGAACGCGGAACAGGCCAGTACCCGCTGAGTGGAGGCAGCAGCCAGGATGGAAGGGTTTTAGGAGGTCACCGAAGTAGGGTGGAGCAAGACTATGGAGAGCTTTCAAAGTGAGGAGAAGGATTTTAAACACGATCCGCTGGGGAACAGTAAGCCAGTGAAACCAGACGAGAGTGCTCCATGTCCCCCATCCCCTGAACCCTGCAAGCTAGACACCAGCGAAGAAAAATCACGAAAAGTGCCAGCAAAGGACTGAGCACCAGGATGCGATCGTTTGAGATGCTCAGTCTTTCAGGCTCATGAGGTTCACTAATTTATTTTTGTTAAAAAAATCCACAGGATCTGATTGCCTGTGTCACACTGTTATTTTCGATGTGTTTCGCCCACAAAATACACAGTCATTCTTCACTTTACAGTATATTCTGTGATCCACTTTGAGACGTCTCAATGATGTGATAAGGCACTATATCAAATGCAAGGATTATTATTATTATTTTTGGCTTTAATGTCTGCCAAATGATAAATTTGCTATGCTTGATAGTTAGCACTTTGAGACATCTCGACGCGACAAAGAGTTGCTATATAAAAAATAGCAAGTTCTTTAGTTACTTGCAAGGCAGCAATTAGCACCCATGAATGAATGCTATTTAAAACCATGTGTGAGGTTAGTGCTCATCCCACAGCAAAACAAATTATTAATTCGCAGCTACTGAGTGTAAGGAGAGTTATTTCAATGCACAGCCTGGTTTACTTTCTGAAGCGCAGTTTTCATGCCTCTCGGTGGGACTTACGCCAGCGGCGTTCCCAAGACGTGGACGGAGAATGAAGAGACGAAAGAGAAAGGAGAGAAGGAAAAGGCATTGAAGAGGCTTTGCAATCTCTGCGGTGAAACGGCACACGTACAGCGCTTGCGTACAAATGCACTACACTCTTTTGGATGTCTCAAAAATTGTAAGTAAGAAGTATTGTTATATTACATAATATATAACTGTGTTTGCCTGGTTTAGTTAATTGTACTTTCACTTCTGAGGCAGAATCTTGTGGGTTCAAATCCTACGTCAAAAAATTGAGCTCACTGTCTAAGCTGACACTACAGTTGTCGGAGATGCCATCCTGCCGATGAGACATTAAACCAAGGTCCAGTCTGCCTATTCAGGAGGACACTAATGATCCCACGGGACTACTCAAAAAGAGAAGGGAGTTTCTCCCTTCCCTCTCCAGGAAACAATCCCCCAGATAAAATTGGTCACTCACTTCAGACAATACAATACAAAATTACATTTATATAGCATAATTCACATTGGGACAACGTCCAAGGTGCTGGGGTTTCATGGCTGTTTGTGGGAAATTAGTCATTCACTTCATGGCTGTATCTGGGACACTGCTATGTGCAAATTATGGCAACCACGTTTGTCTACAAAATAGATGTTTACAACAACAAGATTACATTTGTATAGCACCTTTCATGTCGGGAGGATGTCCCAAGGCGCTGGTCAGTGTACAGCATTTCAGACCCGAGCTGGGGTCAGGGGGGGAGAAGGGAGGGGAGGGGAAGGGGGGTGGCCGATGGCATGGTCGAAGAGGAGGATTTTGAGGCGGGACTTGAAGGAGGCTAAGGAGGGGGCGAGGCAGAGTGATTGGGGGATGGAATTCCAGAGGTTGGGGGCAGAGTGGCTGAAGGCTCTCCCGCCAATGGTGGGGCGGGTGGGTCGAGGGACGTGGAGCAGGCCAGAGCCGGCTGAGCGGAGGGAGCGGGCGGGTTGGTAGGGGGTTAGGAGGTCGCAGAGGTAGGATGGGGCGAGGTCATGGAGGGCTTTGTAGGTGAGGACCAGGATCTTGAACTGGATCCTCTGAAGGACAGGTTGAGAGTGGGGGAGATGGGGTCACGGAGTTTGGTATGGGAGAGGACACGGGCTGAGGAGTTCTGGAGTTTACAGCAAAACCTATGAAGTGTTTTGCTGTTGTTATGATGGTGTTTTAGGGCATGTAGGCATGTATACAATCTAAAGATTATTAATCATAATAATCTTTGTATTTGATATAGTACCTTATCCCATCGTCGAGATGTTTCAAAGTACTTTACAGGAAACAGTACTGTCAAATGGATTGATTGTGTATTTTGTGGGCGAAACGTGGCACACAGTTTTGCACACAGCAATGTTCCACAAACGGTTGTGGAGTGAATGACCAATTTTATTTGGGTGATTTTTGACCAAGGCATTGGGAGAAACTCACTTCTCTTTTCAAATTGTGCCATGGGATCTTTAATGTCCACCTGAACAGGCAGACAGTTCAACGTCTTAACCGAAGAACGGCACCTCCGACAATGCAACACCCCCTCAGCACTGCATTGGGGTGTCAACTTAGACTATGTGATTCCAAGTCCCGACGTGGGGCTTGAACCCACACCTTCTGATTCAGAGACGAGAGTGCTACCACTGTGCCAGGCTGACACACAAAACATAATGTGTCCCTCGTTTTCTGTCACATGATATTATTATAATTATTGGAAACAAAATGACAGCAAGAATTAATCCTCCAACTAACTCCCTGGTTCTTTACTGGATATGAAATAAAGAGACAGATAGGAGTCAGCCATTCAGTAAACTGTTTGAATGTGCACAATCCAGCATCATTTCCAGCCGCTGCTGAGCTCATTAATATCATTGCGGCAGAGGTTAAACAGAAGACATGCAGCCACTTCAAACTCAAGCCTAGTGAGGGCTCAAACCTGCGCTTGTCATATCAAAACCAACTAGTCACATCCTCCTTGGAGATAAGTGGGGTCTCCTTGGAGCTGAACTGGCTCCAAGGTGACATGCTTGAATGGAATGAATTAATGTAGGAATCGAGCCAGTTCTCTGCGGGATAGAGTGGATAGAGGGATCCAGGGAGAGAGAGCACATTCCATACCAACCATCTATCTCTGGGATTTCCATGTGTAGGTGGGATGAATGGAATTATCAGTTTGGTTTGGATACTCTTAAGCATGGGGATGGGTTTCCGCGTGTGTCAGACACCCGGTTAACCAAAAGAAACCTCAAGCCTGCTTTTACGCTTGTACAGTTAAAAGACTTGGGGGCTTGACGCAATAATTATAATTATTCATATCGTCATATGGCGTGACTCTGTTAATGTCTCAGTTGATGTCTGGGGCTTGGAGGCTGCCTGTTTTCCTTTCAGATTGGAGACTTTCTGTGGCAGTTTCAAATTTGAGTTAAGCTTGCCAACCGGCGCTGAGATGCAGCATGGCTAATAACAGGCACAGATGGTTATGGGCCCAACCATTGTGATAAAGATGGTGGAGAGGGTAGGTGAGCAGGGCTGGCGGGGGGGGGAGTGTGGGTGGGGGTGTTCGCAGAAGTGATTTGAGACTTAGTTGCAATAGGACAGTGTTGGTCCCTTCAATGTCATCATTTGTCACTTGGGATATTATTGCATTGCAGCAACAAGGACCAGCAAGGTCAGTAGCTCTAACATTTGGGTACCTCAGCTGGGACTCCCCGACGTGCTCTGACTCACCTGTTATGATATTGAATATGATGCCGTTTCTAAAGGCTAGAGAGAGAGAAAAAAATAAAGACCATGAAAAAGAACGAGGGTGGGGGAATAAACAAATGAAAATGAAACAACAGATGTGCAAGTGGTGTCCTCTCTATGAATGTTTAGACGCCTTGGAGGGAGAAATTGCACTTAAGAAATCCCACTTGAGTCTAGATTTACTCTATTTTTGTAGCATTTCAGAGAGTGAAGAGTTTGGCAAATTGTTGAATTCAATCTTGACTTGTCAGGTCCTGCAGTGAACCAAAATTAAGACAGTGGCTTCAAAATTAACTCTGTGTTTCAGAATGTACCATATTTTGCACATTCTGAAATACTAAGAAAACAAAGTAAATTTCAACCTGGGTGGAAATTCTACCCATTGACGATAATAATATCTACATTGCAACTGGCACTAACCAGATTCAGCAATGCCAAACACACTCAGTATCTACAGGATATTCGAAAATTTCTATGTAAGTTGGCATGAGATAAAGATGGGTGAGGCAATGGCTCACTTTCCCATTGGGTCAGAAGATTGTGGGATCAAGCCCCCATCCCCACCAACACCACAACAACAACACATTTGAATAGCGCCTTTCACATCGAGAGGACGTCCCAAGATGCTGGAACAGACAGAGTTTCAGACCCGAGCTGGGAGTCGGGGTCAAGGAGGGTGGAGGGCAGGGGAGAAGCAGTGAGATTGAAAGCACGGTCGAAGAGGAGGGTCTTGAGATGGGTCTTGAAGGTGGCGAGGAAGGAGGCGAGGCAGAGGGACGTGGGAGTTCCAAAGGGTGGAGGCAGAGTTGCAGAAGGCTTGCCCGCCAATAGTGGAGCGAGTGAGGCGGGGGACGTGAAGCAGACCGGAGCCTGCTGAGCAGAGGGAGTGAACAGGGTGGTAGGGGTTAGTAGATCGCAGAGGTAGGGGGGAGCAAGACCATGGAGGGCACCACACCCACATTGAGACATCGAGTTCACATTCCAGTGCAATGCCGGTGGGGTGGTGGGCGGGTGGCGGGGGTTGCATTGCTGGAGGTGACATCCTTCAGATGCCACCTACAGCCAAGGTCCTGACTGCCTGTTCTACAGGGAGATGAAAATATCCCACAACACTATAGCAAGATAAAATGGCCCAACCAGTCAGAGTCCTGGCTGACAATCCCCCAGAGAAAAGAGGAAGGAGTTTTGTCTCCTGGACAACTATCTTCCAAGTTAAATCGATTATTAACCTCATCGCGACTACCACATTAGCCTCCAAAAAATCAAGCACTTAACTCCAATGACAGTGTTTTGTGTCTGCTGGGGTACAACACGCTACAAAAAAGCAAGTTCCTTCTTTGCAAACAAGCCACCCAGCAGACTGTTATTGTTATTTCACTTAATGGCTTCTCCAACACCCCAGCCTTGTCTCTGCCGCCCAGACAGCTCTTGTGAACAACACCAAACTTTATGCATTATAACAAATTGTATTTGTGCGGCTTGGAAATGGGCCACTGGGCCCAACATCCCTCACGTCGGGAGGACGTGTCAAGGAATAAAGATTAAGGTCAAAATGGTAGTATTCCTAAACAACAACAATTTTACATTTATACAGCGCCTTTCATATCAGGAGGCCGTCTCAAAGCACTTTGCACTGTCCCTGAGAGAGACTGAGGGAGGAGGGAGCTTGAGATGAGAGTTGAGGGGCAGGAGTTGGGAGGGGAAAGATGACCAAAAGCTCAGTCAAAGAGGTCGCTCCTGAGACAGAGAAAAGAGGAAGGAGTTTTGTCTTCTGGCCAACTATCTTCTGGGTTAAATAAGTCATTCACCTCACTGGTGCCGACAGGACCTTGCTTTATGTTCAAAATGGCTGCCGCCTGTGGTTGCAGTATACGCAGCTGTGTGACAATGATTACTTGTAAGGTTCCGGTTAAAATAAAATTGCAAATTCTTTCTTCTTTTCTTCAAGCCTGGAATCTGACTTGCTCTCTGTGGAGCTGGACATCCCGAAGTATTCTTTGCTATCTCGCCCCCTCCTTCCTCCACGTGTCAGTCAAATGTCACATCAGTCAGGCTGCGTACTCCAGAATTTCCACCTTGTCCTAGTGTGTAAGATCACTGGACCCAAAATTCCACCTAGCCTTAGCCTATAAGATCACCAGTCTCAAAATTCCAACTAGTCTTAGCCGGTAGGATTACTGTACCCGAAATTCCACCTAGTCTTAGCCTGCACACCCATTGAAGAATTGAAAACAATTTACCCGCAATTTTCTTGGTACTTTTAATATCAAAATGTTAATGATGTGTCAGATAACTGAGCTAAGGGTGGGCAGTTCCGGACCTCATTTGTGTGTCCCCGTGAAGGTTTCCAAGCTTACCCGAGTTGTCGATGGTCTCTGTGATGTGGCGGGGGGCACTCTGCGTGGGAGCGTGGGCACTGCCTATCCTTGTCGTGGGGCCGTCTTCACCTCGGATTGAGGTCAGGTCCTGCATGCTGAAGCTCCTCAGCCTCTCCGACAGAGCCCCCTGTCCCTGCAACACAGCAAAACAGCTTACCTTTACCACAGAGTGCATTAACCATGGCCCTTAATAGAAGGGACTATTTATAGCAGGGTTGTCCAACCTTTTAGCTGCTGAGGGCCGAATGCCTGATTTGAGAAATGTCCATGGGCCTCATAGACAATATTTGATCCTGATTGACCGGTCTCATTGCTGGGCAACGCCTGAGCCCCCAGTGACCATCTCCTGATTGGCTCGGTGGCCCCCCACGAGCCACCTGTTGGATTTATACAGTGTCCTGAGAAAAAGGTGGGGTGTCTGTCTGTCTGACTGTCTGTCAGTAACAGACAGCTCTGTGCAGGAGGCTATCACAGCAAAGATCCTCTGCCTCTCAAAACACTGGTTTCAAAATCACTGCGGGTCATGCCGGCTCCCAAACACTCTCCCACACATATGGTGGGGTCCAACGTTGTTTTATTCCTAAACTCATTTGCCGACAATAATTAAGAGACTGTCCAGATATTCTGAGTCCTTTTAAACCTGTCCTGAATAAGAGGTTTGGGACTGAATGGTCAGAGCACCATTAATTGTCACCGGAGTTAAATATCACAGCATTTGCGATCCGTGATGTGTTAATTAAACAATATCTTGGGATACAATATATAGTTTGGGACATGTCATGTGCATGTGACTGCCAGGATGGTGGAAGGCAAATTGAATGAACCTTGGTCTTCCTTCACATAGCGATTCCTATGTTCTTATGTTCTAATTATCACCAGCGTTGTCTGTCATAGCATTGTTAATTGTCATCAGTGTTAAGTATAACAGCATCGCAACCGTGACTGAACACTTCTCCCTCACCCTCTCTCCATCCCCCCCACCCCTCCAGTCACCCTCTGCCATCAAACTCATTGCTGCCCCCCTCCCTCCACCATGTCCCCTCTCCCCATGGACTTCAGAAAAATGCTTTTCACAGCCAATTTGGTCACCATTTTTTTAAAGCAGCTTTTTATTTTACCGCATTATTTATAATGTTACTTTTACCAAAATGATTTTTGAGGCCATTATTAGGCAAAGTTGTTCGAAAGCTGTGCAGATCGGGCTCATAGAAATTTACAGAGAAGAAGAAAGCCATTCAGTTCATCATGTACTTTGCTGACTCTTTTGAGAGTAGTCCTTTGCCTGCCCTCCCCCACATACCCTACAGTTGACTCCTGATAGAACCATCTTTAATCAAAGCTAGTTTGCCAATAACTGGCCAAAAGACCATACAGGGTCCCCTTCAATTATGCCTGGTGATAAGGAAGGATCATAATGAGTTTAAAATTTCATAATTTTCATCCCAATAAATATCTTGCGATGTCCTCTCGAAGAGCTACATAAATGTAAATTTGTATTGTATCTGGAATAAATCTCAGCCTTCCTAAAATCATTTGATTTACATTTACTTTTAGACAAGACAAAAATCCTAATAATCCCTCAAAAAAAACAAGATATCTGTGAGATGTAGTGACTGCGTATTTTGTTGGCAAACTCAGCAGCCAATTTGCACACATAAACGACTATGAAGTAAGTGCATGACCAGTTTTGTCTGGGAGATTGTTGACGAGGATTTAGTGAGAAACTCCCTTCTCTTTTTGAAATAGTCTCGTGGGATTTTTATTGTCTACCTGAACATACAAACAGGACCTCAGCTTACCATCTCATCTGAAGGATGGCACCTCTGAAAAACACAGCACCCACCCCCAGCACTGCACTGGAGTGTCAGCCGAGAAGGTGCGAGTTCAAAGTCCCGATATGGGGCTTGAACCCACAACCATCTGACTCAGAGGCGAGAGAGCTACCAACTGAGCCAGCCTGACACCTAAGCCGCCTGACCAGGCTGTTTGTTCTGCTTCATGCAGATACACAGTCACTTCACTGTACAGCAATTCTGTGTGAAGTGCTTTGAGATGTTTCAACATTATAGGTGCTGTAACAAATACAAGGATTGTGTAATAATAAATGCTAATCAATAATAATAATAATCTTCGCATTTGATGTAGGCTTTTCACATCTTCTCGAATATGCTGTAAAGTGAATTGACTGTACATTTGTGGGCGAAACGCGGCAGCCAAATTGCGCACAGCAGTGTCCCACAAACAGTCGTGGATTGAAAATGACCAATTCACTATTGTTTTTGGTTTTGGAGGGATTATTATTAGGCGTGTGGAGTAAGGAAACTTGCCCAAGGTTTCGCCCTCTGCCTGGAATTGAACCCAGGTGTCTCGCTTGTAAGGCGAGTCCTCTAACCACTGAGCTACAGAATTTTGTGGGCAAAATGCTAACTAGTGCTCCTGTAATGAATCGTCATAGGAGTATCAGTTAGCAATCTATTTTCTCTGGATAGGTTATGTCTGCAATCCCATTAACTGCGACCTGAGGTCAGTGCATTCAAAGGGGGAGGGGGGGGGGGGTGCTGTGATAACCCGGTGATAAATTAAATCACAGGGTGCATTGCTATGATAATTTACACTGGTGATAATTAACACATTGTGGGTTCCAATCCTCCTGCTCTCCCCCCAACTCGTATGTGCTCCATGAGGATTTTAGTGCTTTTTTGAGCAACAACTGAAAAAGCCTAAAAGCCCACCCAGTCTCATGCTGTTGGACCTTTTTTTTTGTCTCAAAAGTTTTTCAGGTTTGGAAAATTGCGAAATTCATTCTCAATCGTGATTTCATGTTTCATGAACGGAAAAACAGGACCTCGGTTTAACATCTCATCTGAAGGATGGCACCATCATATTTCTTAGCAAAGAAACTGGCTTCCAAGTTAATTAGTCAACTAGACTGCTGCATTCACCTACAAACAAGTCACAGTAAATGACTGTGAAGCTCTTCGAGATATCCTCCAGACATGAAAAGGTGCTACAGTAAATTAAAGATTATTATTATTATAATCCTTGTATTTGATGTAACTCCTTATCACATCGTTGAGACGTCTCAAATCGCTTCTCAGAATATACTGCAAAGTGAATTGACTGTATATTCTTGTGGGCAAAACAACAAAATAAAATCATTAAAACTGAATTTAAGAATTTTCCACATTTCTGCATAATCTTGAATTTTAAGGGAGAAGCGAACGGTTTTAGGGGCTAAGACTAAGGTGGAATTTTGGGGTTCTCAACTTTTGCACAGTGAAAATATTAGCAGTCTGTGTGTGTGACTCATGAGCAAGGGCATTTGTGTGTGTATTATTTCAGAATGTAACACATGCAAATAACAATCCGGTCAAGGAGTGACATGGGTATGAAACATAAGTGTGCACTGTGCTTAATCCAGTGTGAAAGTGCGAGCGTATCACCCGCTCAAAATTACAGCAAACGTGAAAATAAGCATGCAACAACATGCAGAGAATAAAATACTTTATCATCAAACATTACGATAGCACCACGGAACGAGCAAAACTGGTCACTGTTAAACCTTGGCACAAAGCATGTAGATCAAACTCTGCAAGAGCCAGGGTTTTTGGGGGCTGCTCAGTTTTTAATACGTCTTGCACAAGCAGTCACGGTTTGTTAGGGACGTTTGTTAGATACAAGGCTATAATGAGTCGGCTGGGCTGTGACTGGACACAATGAAAGAGCTCGCGATCAAGGGTTCCAGCAGCATCTTATGGCTCTCTACACTTTACAGCAAATCCTGTGAAGTGCTTTGGGATGTCCCCCTGATGTGAGAGAGGCCATACCAAATGTAAGCATTATTATTTTTTAATATTCTTATTATTATTTGATTTCATTTTGGTTATCTTCCCACCACCACCCTCCACTCTCCTTGACTTCAGCCCGCAGCTCCTGTGCAAACCAATGTCCCAGTGCATTGGGACATCCTCTCGACATGAAAGGCACTATATAAATGTCAATGTGTTGTTAATGTTGTTTCTAAGTATTTTTCGGTGATGGATTAGCCAGACCAATAACATTGACAGGTTGCATACGAATGGATGTTACTTTTCTTAGCATGTTTGAACTTCCTAGAATACAGCAGTTACCTTTTGCAGGAAGTTGATATTTTGTTCACTGGGTATTTTGTGGAGCCTTTCCGGAATCGTCTTATTAACAGTCCCATTTGCACCAATGACTGTAGGAACTATGTTTAATATATTTCTTAATCTGCTCTAGTTCCTTATTTCTTATGTTCTAATCACTTTTTTATTATATTATTATTATCTCCTCTAGGTGTATCCAGAAAAAATTTACAGAATTGGAGAATGTTACAGCACCAAAAGAGGTTGTCAGACCCATCAAATCTATCAAATACTAGTGCTTTTTTCCATATGACCCACTTAGTCTAATTCCTCACAAAATTCCCTTGCAGTTCCCAACCCCAGCTCGCCAACCCAGCACTGTGAAGCAATTTGAGATCTCCTAATGTGCAAGGCGCTGTATCAATGTAAATTGTGTTGCATCAACCGCCAATGGTCTCTTGTCTTCTCTGACGCCATTTTGGGGTTAACATCTTTAATTTGTGGTATCTCTTAATAAGCAATATACAGCGAGTTGTTCGGATCTGGAATGCATTGCCTGAAAGGGTGGTGCGAGCTGACTCGATAACAACTTTCAAGAGAGAAGTCAATAGATATTTGGGGAGGGCAAGTTTGCAGGGATATGGGGAGAGAACGGGGGAGTGGGATTAATATGGATAGCTCTTCCAAAGAGCCGGCACAGACACGTTGGGCCGAATGGCCTCCTTCTGTGCTGTGATTCTGTGCTATGATTCTATGATTCAATCCAGTAGAAATTCCCGTCGACCAGCAGGAACTAAGCTCCAAAATGCAGATGGCGCCAGAGTGGAGATCCCGTGAGTTGGGGGCTGACGTGACCTTTGGTTACTGGAAGGAATCCTAATTTGCATAACTTGTAATTTTTTATTAAGAAATAGCCCGAAATTAGACCCGTGGTTTGTTTCAGATACAAAAGGGCAAAGATGCTGAGCAAGTTATCAGGTGCAAGGATTATTATTATTTGTTAAAATGCAAGACATCCTGATACAAAGTGTGGGGGGTTGGTCTATAGTAGTGTTAGTAGCAGTACATTTGGGATTACCTGCCCCTCTGTACTCTCTTCAGACAGGGTTACGTTGAGAAAGGGAGACACCTAGTATAGAAAAAGGGGTTATGAAATCCTGTGAAAGCCTGCTGTTCGCAATACTGTACGTTCTTTTATGTGACATGATCACAACACAGAGACCTGAAATTTCCCCCGCTCTTAGCCTTACAGCCATCGTTTTCAAATCTAAGGTCAGGCAGAACATTAAGAAAAATCTTCAATTTGTGCTCAAATCAGAAGCTAGGTTTCTGCAGTTTTCTTACAAATAATTGAGCCAGTCTGGAGGGGGAGGAAAGGAGGGAGGGAGGAGGGGTTTAACAGATGGTGCTATCGTAGGGAAATTCCTTTATAAAAGTGGGGAACCAATAAATTGGTGGAAGCGTTCCATTCATCGTCACGGATATCTGTGGATTGATGAGCTACTGTGAAAATAATGACCAGGTCTTCAATAATAATACTTGCATTTAATATGGCGGCTTATCATGTCGTTGAGTCATCTCAAAGCGCTCCACAGAATATGCTGTAAAGTGAATTGACTGTATAATTAGTGAGCGAAACGCAGCCGCCAATTGCGCACAGTAGTGTCCCACAAACAGTCATGGATTGAGTGACCAAATCATTATTATTATTGAAGAGACTATTATTGTGGATTCAAGACCCACATCTGGACTTGGAATCACCAGATGACACTGCAATGCAGTGCTGGGCGTCTGTTACATTGTGGGAGATGCTGTACTTCGGATGAGATGTTAAATCGAGGTTCCATCTGCCTGTTTAGGCAGACATAAAACATCCCATTGCACTATTTGAAAAGTGAAGGGAATTTCTCTCTCCTGATGTCCTGACCAACAAATCCCCCAAATAAAATTGGTCACTTGTTTCATGGCTGTTTTGTAGGACATTGCTGTGCTCAATTGTGCTGCTGCATTGGCCTACAAATACACAGTCACTCCATTTCACTGTAAATCTTGTGAACCGCTTTGAGACGTCCTTCCGACGTGATAAGGTGCTACACAAATGCAAAGATTATTATTACTCTTATTCTGCCATGTTTGCAGCAGAGTCAGACTGTGGGCTGGGGTCCAGCAGGAAGGCAAGGCTGGCAATCGGTGACCGTTACCTTGGCAGCGGCTGTCACCGCGGCGCTGGCTGCCACATTCAATCCCCGTCTCCCAAACTGCACCACCGCTTCATAGCTACGATCTTTGGCTTGGCTCAGGTACTCGTCAATCTCCTGCAAGACAGGAAATAAAGGGGAGCAGGTCAGGTGGATATTTTATAATCCTCACACTGGGTATCACACCTGGAACACGTAGAGTTCCTGTAGAGTTTTGATTAGAGCACTCGCCTCGATTCCCAGGCAGGGCGAAACTTCAGGCAAGTTTCCTTACTCCACAAGCCTCTGTTTCCCCAGCAATAATTAGCAACCCGGTTGTTCGTCGATTAGCAGAACGCTTTCCAGGAGTAGTAAACCCTTAAAAAAAGCTCAATCCACGACTGTTTGTAGGACACTGTTGTGCGTAATTGGCTGCCGGGTTTCACCCACAAAATACACAGTCAATTCACTTTACAGTATATTCTGTGAAGCGCTTTGAAATGTCTCAATGGCATGATGAGGAGCTATATCAAATGCAAGGATCATTATTATGCAGAAATGTCTCAACATGCTTACTAATGATAATAGTAATAACTATTTTTATTTCTGGCATTTAACTCTGTTTTAAGTACTAAGAGTACTCTTCTTATATATAGAAACAATTTTCAATTTCATGACTTTATGCTCCATTCCATGACGTTCATCTGTTCCAAAATTAACAATAATAACAAGAATAATACTCATACTTGAGACAGTGCCTATAACACTCAACCATCTCAAGTATTTTGCACGTAATTTCTGTATATTTGTGTAAATATGTAGACAATATAGTGACTGTATATTTGTAGGTAAACCCGGCAGCCACTTGGCACACCGCAATGTCCCACTAACTGCCAAGTAGTGAGTGACAAATTTCTACCTGAAAGATTTGGGAGCCAGGACACCAGGAGAAACTCCCTTCTCTTTTTGGATAATGTCACTGGTCCTTTAAGACTCCCCCCACACCTCAGTTTAAAGTTCTCGTCTGACAATGCATTGCACCCCCAGCACAGCACCGACTGATGTGTCAGCCTAGATTGTGAGTCCCAACACTACTTACCCTGGAACAAGCAATAATAATAACAATCATCATTATCATTATTAATCAAATATTACTATTAATCATTATTTTTTACTTTTATCATTATTATTAATAATCCTAGCATTTGACATGGCGTCTTATCAAGTCACAACAACGACTTGATAAGGCGCTATATCAAATGCAAGGATTATTATTATTATTATTATACCAGAGCTTCATAGGATTCATTGCAGTGTAGTGACTGTGTATTTTTAGTAGCCATTGAAATGAGTTGAGAACGTTAAGCTGTGTGTTTGAACAAATCCCTGGTTTCCCTCAGCTTTTCTTCTCCCCCCACCCCCCAACCCATCCCCACCCGAAAAATGTCCCCTCTTGCTTGGGAATATAGAAATGTGCCGACCTGGAAAGACAATTATAAACCATCACAGTTCATCCAGCCAATCCCATTTTAAAGTACTGTAATTTTTCTCTCTCTTCTCCTACTGTCTCCCTCTTTCTCTCACTCACTCTCTTTACTGAATATGGTGTATGCAGTATATAGTTTAGGACGTAACATGTCATGAGTCTGTCAGGTGGAAGGTGATCTGGATGCACCTTGGTCTTTCGTCTAGTAATTCTTATATTCTTTACAACCTTTATGCCTTTAGACTAACTCTAGGTTTGATGAGCTAAAGTTAGCACAGAGGAGTGTTTACATCACGGATCACGGGGTTAGTGTTTAGGAGCTGGCTACCTGCCCTCAGTCATGGGTTGAGCACATTACAGCAGCTTCTAAGAGATCGGGAAGATCAACAACATTGTTCAGCCTTGCCCAATTTGGCCTGGTGCCCGCTGCTTCAGTGAGTCCTGTACAGGAACGAGTGCTGTGGGGACATTAGAATCATAGAATCCTATATCACAGAAGGAGGCCATTTGGCCCATCGTGTCTGTGCCAGCTCTTTGAAAGACCTATGCAATTAGTCCTACTCCCCTACAGCTTCTCTATAGCGTTGCAAATTTTTTCCTCTTCAAGTAAATATCGAATTCCCTTTTGAAAGTTATTGTTGAATCTGCTTTCATTACTCTTTCAGGCAGTGTATACCAGATGCAAGGGTTTCCATCAGTCTGGTGATTAAGCAAATGGAAAAAAATGCTATAAATAAAAAGAGTGATGGTGCTTTGTTGTCATAATAATATTAATAAAAACCCTTGCATTTGATATAGCACCTTATCACATCATTGAGACGTCTCAAAACCCTTCACAGGATATGCTGTAAAGTGGATTTGACTGTGTATTTTGTGGGTAAAATTCAGTAGCGAATTGGGCACAGCGATATCTCACAGACAGCCATGGATTGAGTGACAAAAATTGTTTTGAAATTTTTTTTTGAGGGATTATTACCCCCCAGAAAGCGATCTCACTGTCGAAACTTCTCAAAGCATTTCACAGGATTTTCTGTAAATTGTGGCGAATGAGTGTATTTTTTTAATGTGAATGCAGCAGCCAATTTGCACACAGCAATGTCCCATGACCAGCCATAAAGTGAATGATCAATTTTATCTAATGGATTGTTGGACTGAAAGCCCTTCTCTTTTTGCATAGTGCCGCAAGAACTTTAATGTCTTTAACAAGTAAACCGGATCTCGGTTTGACGTCTCATCCAATGCAGCAACAAAACAACAACTTGGATTTATATAGCACCCCTCCTGCAGGATAGTGTCTCATTTATATAGCACTCCTCCTGCAGGGTAGCGTCTCTCCCGGTGCTTGACAGTGGCAGAGCACGACACCGAGCCTACGCACAGTCGAAGAGGAAGATCTTCAGGCGCGATCCGAAGCACTGAATTGAAGCGTCAGACTGGACTGTGTGAGCTCAGAGTCACAATGAACCCGCAACCTTTGGATTCAAAAGGCAGAATGCTGCCAATTGAGCCAGGATGTCATAGCTATCTACTCTAATCCCTTTCATACTAATTCACTCAAGTATTTGTCCAATTCCCTTTTCAACGCTGCTTTGACTTGACCTAAACAACCATTTATGTCAAGGAGTTGCACACGAGAACCATTCTGTGTGTAAAGGGAAATCTTCTAACTCCTCTCCTTTTACTTGTAGCACAGTCAATCCTTAATTTCTGCTCCACTATTAATGTCTTGCCTGATTCTCACTTTTGGGTTGGGGTGGGGGAATTATTGCCCATGATACTGGGAGAAATTCCCTTCTCTTTTCGAATAGTGCCATAAAATCTTTAACATCCACCTGAACAGCAAATGGGACATCAGTTTAATATCTCATCTGAAGGACGGCACCTCCGACAATGCAACACCCCCAAAACACTGCATTGGAGTGTCAGTTTAGACTATGTGATTCCAAGTCCCGACATGGGGCTTGAACCCACAACCTTTTGAGTCGGAGGCGAGAGTGCTACCATTGCGCCATGCTGACACACAGTCGCTAAACCCACTCCTGCCATGGGTTATTACCCACTCTGTGGCTTTAGGGAGCATGTTGTGAAGCAGCTATTGTTTTATACACTCACCTGCTCTTTGGAGGACAGTGTCGGGTGCACAAACTTCCTGTAGAGAACGCTGGCTCCTTTCGTGTAAGGAGACAGCAGCCAAACAATAAAAGCGATTTTGAGTTCATAATAAAATGGAAACCTGGGAACAAACAGGGTGAAATTACATCAAATACAGTCGGGATACACTCAGGCCAGTTCCTCTCATCTAACTGGACAGGGCTCAATACCTGCCATTTTCAGACCATTATAAAACCATTTCCTTAAACATTAAATCTTGTGCCGAACTTTCAAAATGCCTTCATTTCTCCTTTCTTCTCTCTGCCCATTTCTTCCTTTCTCTCTCCCCCTTTCTCTCTCTCTCTCTCTCTCTCTCTTTCTCCCCCTCTCTCTCTCCCTTCCCTCTCTCCCCTCCCCTTCTCTCCCTCTCAAGCACCTTAGCACCAAGTAAAGGGGAGACATATTGAAGAAAACAAAAATACAACCATGAACAGCAATGGAAATATAGTGCTCGCAATGTCCTTTAAAAAATGAATACTGCAACATTGGGTGAAGCACTCCTATTGACCAGCCTCGGAACAGTGTGAATCACGACACCTCCATTAATATCACCTGAGCTGGTGCAAGTCTACGGCTGTCACTAAAGATTAACAATGAAATGTCACAGTCGGGTCTCACCATGGAAGGAAGAGATCTGTGAAGGTTTCTGCTGTGGTGAACAAGGCAAATATGATCCAGTACATCATCCATTTCACCTGGTTAGACAGGAAGGCAAAAATGTCAAGTGGACGCACCATATTTCACCCGTGACGAAAGTACTGAGCACCAATTACGCCACAGACAACTCTGAACATAATAATAATCCTTTAATTTGATATAGTGCCTTATCATGTGGTTGAGACGTCTCAAAGCGCTTCACAGAATATACTGTAAAGTGGATTGACTGTATATTTTGTGGTGAAATGCTACAGCCAATTGTGCACAGCAGTGTCCCACAAATAGTCGTGGATCAAGTTTTTTTAGGATTATCCCTGGAAAGCAATCCGCCAATTTTTTCTATCAACCAATAACATAAACAATAAATTTAATATAAATAATAAATGTAATATAAACAATAATTTATTATAATAATAAATTTAACATAAACAAACGAGGCATACACTCATATACATGTGATTACTGACAGTACAGTGATTACTGGAGTAAGCTACAGGGATATGGGGTAAATGGCAGGTAAATGGGACTGAAAGAATTGCTCTTAAAATAGCCGTCATGGACACAATGGGCTGAATGTCCTTCTTCTGTGCTGTAAATTTCTATGGTTCTATTAGTTAACGTAGACTGCATGGGTTAGGCCTTTTTTTTAACTAGAGAAGAGATGTTTAAGAAGGGACCTAATGGAGATGTTTAAAATTATAAAAGTGTTCAATAAGGTCAACATAAATAGGCTGTTTCCACTGGTCGTGAAGTCCGTAACCAGAGTACATAAGTGCAAGAGAGCGACAAGGGGATCTAAATTTAATTTAAGAGGAACCACTTCAGTAGCGAGAAGTAGAGAGTTGCGAAAATGTGGAACTCGCCGCCTGAAGCGGTATTTAAATCAAATAGTGTAGATCCGTTTAAGAGGAAGCTAGACCTTCACTTGAGAGAGAAATGAATAGAAGAAATTAAGGAGTGAGTGGAGACTGAACAACAATAAATTACATGTTTATAGCGCCTTTCACATCGGGAGGATATCCCAAGGCGCTGGACGGTCAAGGATTTGGACATGAGCAGGGGGTTGGGATCATGGAGGGTGGAGGGCGGGGGAAGGTAGGGGTAGGAGGGTGACCGAAGGCATGGTCAAAAAGGAGGGTCCTGAGACGGGCCTTGAAGGAGGCAAGGGAGGGGGCAAAGTGAAGGGACTGTGGGATGGAGTTCCAAAGGGTGGGGGCAGAGAGGCTGACAACAACAACAATTTGCATTTATATAACACCATTCACGAGAGGTAGTGTCTCAACTAGCTCTTACATGAGCATAAATATCGACACAGACTGGTTGGGCGTAGGGGCCTGATTCTGTGCGTATCCCTGTATGTTACTCTATATCCCGATTATACTGAACTAAGTGCTTCAATTGAGGCGCCCTTTAACAGTAGTGCAACTGAGGCAGAGAAGAGCTGAGTGTGTGCATTTACTCAAACAAAGTCTCGGAGCCCCGCTCACTGGACTCCGGTTGTCAGGTAAGCGGAATAAAAATCTGACCGGGTTTCGCTGGATTATTTGGGTAAAAACTCTACTGACTGTCACACACATTGACTTTGGCGGCCTCAGCTTTCCCCATTATTTGGCGATGAGTGTCAGAACGACTGAACCATAGAAATTTACAGCACGGAAGAAGGCCATTCGGCTCATTGTGTCTTCTAAAGACCAATCCCCTCAGTCCCCTGAGTATCGAGCTTTAGTCGTTGAGACATCTCAAAACGCTTCACAGATTATACTGTAAAGTAAACTGATAGTACATTTTGTGGGCGAAACACGGCAACCAAATGCGCACAGTGGTGTCCTACAATCAATTGTGGATTGACTGACCAAATTATGAATTTATTATTATTTTTATTTTTTTTGAAGGGATTATTACCCTCGGAAAAGCGATCTGCCAATCGACCAACAACCGGGTTCCTACTTACTGCTAGATAAACAGAGGCGTGTGGAGTAAGAAAATTAGTGTAACGTTTAACCTGGCGGGAATCAACCCAGGTCCTCTTGCTTGCGAGGCGAGTGCTCTAACCGATACATTACAGGACCCCACAAGCACCATGTAGCACCCCCTCACACAGAAATTGAATTTTATTTAATTATTTAAAAAATATTAAATAATCCAGAGTATTTCACAGTGTGGGAGCACGACACCGAGCCGAAGGAGGAAGTGACCGTAGGCACGGTCGAATAGGAAGATCTTCATGCTCTACCTGAAGATGGGGAAAAATGGGTCAAGATGGAGGGATTGAGGGAGAGTGTTCCATTAATTAATGATTAATGACCAGCCAATTAATCGTAACCTTGTGCCTATTCTCTGCCTGTTGCATGCAGCGAGCAGGATCAATCTTCGAGCAGTTCTTTCTCGTTCGCCCACAAATATACAGTCAATTCACTTTACAGTGTGTTCTGTGAAGCGCTTTGGGACGTCCTCCTGACGTGAAAAGCGCTATATCAAATGCAAGGATTATTATTATTATTATTATTATTAGTGCTAATGGGAAGGCAGTTTGCATGTTGAATTTTATGACTGCTCCACTTACATTTAATACAGTTTCGAAATCCTACTCTTGCCATTCATCTCAATGACACATACATTGTAAAGCAAACCTCAATATTCAATACCAGAGACCCAAGTCCCGGGAGACCACTTTTGTCTGAAAATTTAAGATCAGATTTGTAGAAAATTCTCAAATTTAGTATGAATTCAGAAGCTGCTTCAGGAGGACCTCCCAAGATGCTGGACAGTCAAGGGTTTGCACTCAAGCTGCAGTTGGCGTCAGGAGGGCTGAAGGGCAAGGGGGGTGGTGGTGGGAGGATGACCAAAGGCGCGGTCGAAGGGGAAGGCCTTGAGACGGGCCTTGAAGGAGTCGAGGTGGAGGGGCTCTGGGATGGAGTTCCAGAAGGTGGGGACAGAAACGCTAAAGGCCCAACCCCCGATGGCGGAATGGGAAGGGAGGGGGCGTGGAGTAGGCCATTGAACGGAGGGAGTGGACAGTTTGGTAGAGCTTTAGCAGGCCACAGAGGTGGGGCAAAGCAAGACCCTGGAGGGCTTTAACAGTGAGGATGAGGATTTTAAACGTAGTCCTCTGGGAGATGGGGAGCCAGTGGAGCCAGGCAAGGATGGGGGTGATCGGCTCAGAGTCCTGTCATTAAAAGTGTTATATCCAATGCAAGGATTATTATTAATTAGAATGCAAATTAAGATTGAACAATTTTTCATGATTCTGTTTGATCTTGAATCTTAAGCCTGAGGTGAGATGAAATTGTGAGCCTCAGATATAAACAAGAGAAAAGATAATAGGCTCCGTCTCCTTTATACATTCATGAACTGTAACGGTAGGAACGCCCCAAATGAGTTCAAAGCTAACTGCAGCATTGCCATTAAAAGATAAACCAGAAATTCTGAGCTCATGTTACATCTTGAGATGTCTCAAAGCACTTCACAGAATATATTGTAAAGGGGATTGATTTTCTATTTTTGTGGGAAATGAATAATAATAATCCTTGCATAGAGCGCCTTATCACGTCTTTCGAGACGTCTCAAAGCGCTTCCCAGAATATACTGTAAAGTGAATTGACTATATTTTGTGGGCAAAACGCAGCAGCCAACACTCGTGGATTGAGTAACAGAATTAGATTAGATTAGATCAGTTCTAATGATAAAACAAACAAATCAGCTGCACAGACATGTGCAAGACGATAAGTAAGAAATATGCGGAATGTTAGTTGATGCGTAGCTCATCGTGTCTAAACAGTGTGAGGCAATAAATAAGGCAATAAGGAAACTGGGCAAGTTTGCAAAATTAACTGACCTCAACTCTCCCTGACATGGTGCTTCAGCAGTGCAGTGCTCTGGAGTGCTGCGTACAGTGCTGGTCGCTGCAAAATAAGGGTCTGACTGCCCAAGAGGCAGAGCACAGGTAAGCAACAAGACTGGTCCCCATTGTTAGAGGGCCGAGCTGTGAGGAAAGACTAGGTAATTTAGGACTCTTCAGCCTCCCGGAGACATCCCAAGGGCACCTTATGGTCTGTGTCTTTGAAGGCGCTTTCGATCATCTTTTCCTCTAAACCAGGACTGTCGAGCACCTTGAGACGTCCTCCCCACATGAAAGGCGCTATACAAATGTAAATGTGTATTGTATTTAGTGTATTGTCAGAGCTATAACAGGAAGGTTAAAGCGTGCGTGTTACTCACATATTCTTTTACATTCTTTGTCTTTACAGCCTTGTATGAAGAATACGCTGGATAAAGTGTGCCAAATATCAGCCTGTTAAAAAAAAAGAAACTCCTGTTACAGTATCAATTAACAATCCTCCACATGAATTCTTTCATTCATTTTATGACTGTTTGTGGGGCATCCATAGTCTGTGAGCAACCTGGCTGCCAGGTTCGCCTACAAAATATACAGTCAATGCATTTTACAGTAAATCCTGCAAAGCACTTTGAGACGTCCTCTTGAAGTGAATGACACTATATCAAATGCAATAATTATTATTATTCATTATTTAAAATTATTATACTTTAAGTGAGCTAATCTTGCCTATGAGTACCTCACTCTTTCGATACAAGGATCGAAAAGGCAGTGTTTAATTGTGTGATTCATCAAAAACAACTCAGAGTAGTTCAATCTGAATTAGAGATTTAGAGATTTACTGCAATAAGAAGGCCATTTAGCCCATTATGTCATTGCTGACTCTTTTAAGGATCAATTACTTAATCCCATTTGCCTACCTTTGTGACATCCTCCTGACATGAAAGACGTACAAACATAAATAATAAATAGTATTGCATTGCATTTGTAAACAAGATTAGTCTCTTGAAACAAGGAAATTAACAATAACAACTTGCATTTATAATAAGAATAATATTTGCATTTGATTTAGCGCCTTACCACATCATTGAGACTTCTCAAAGCACTTCACAGGATATATTGCAAAGTCGATTGACTGAATTTTGAGAGCGAATTACATAGATCCCTTCATGCAGGATAACATCTTGGAGCACTTCACAATGGCGGAGCAGAGGGAGGGGATTGATCTTTAGCGTGGTCAAAAAGGTAGATTTTAAGGTGGGATTTAAAGAGGAGAGGAGGCAAGGTGTTCCAGAGATTAGGGGTGAATACATTAAGTGATGTACATCACAAGGTGCTGTGAAGTACTGTAATTCAAGAGGATGCAAAAACGTGGTGATAAAATTACATCAATTAACGTACATAAATCTTTAAAGGTGATCAAACTTGTGAAGCGAGCTAATGGGATCCTGGGTTTTACAAACAGGAGCGTAGAATATAAAACCTAACAGGTGATGATGTTTAACCTGTATAAATTATTAATTAATGACAATCCTTGTATTTGGTAGTGCGCTTTTCACATCAGGAGGACGTCTCAAAGCACTTCAAATGATTTCCTGTAAAGTGTAGTGACCTGTGTATTTTGGAGGTGAAAGCAGTTAGGGTATTGTGTTCAGTTGTGGTGACCACATCTCAGAAGAACATCAGGACCACAGAGAGGATATGGAGGTGAGTTACTAGGATGATATTAGGGACAAGTGGTTTGATTTACAAGTAGAGGATCTCGGTCTATTTGCATTGGAACAGAGAAGGTTGAGGAGAGACCTGATAGAAGTTTTTAACATTATGAGAGGTTTTGATAAGGTCAATAGGAAGAAATTATCTCCACTGGATGGTGAGTCAGTGACTAGAGGGCATTAATTTAAGATGATTAGGAAGGAAGAAAAAGGAAGAGATTAGATTTTTTCACACAGATCATTGTTAGGATGTGTAATGGCCTGCGCTGGTCCAGGCACAATGAATAGTAGCTTTAAAAAGGGAACTAGATAGATATATAAAGAGTAATTTACAGGGAAATGGGGAAAAGCAGGAAAATGGGACTAAATGGATTGCTCTTACAAAATAACCATCATCATCATTATAATAATAATCCTTGCATTTGATATAGCGCCTTTCACATTGTTGAGAAATCTCAAAACATCCACTGTAAAGTGGATTGACTGCGTATTTTGTGAGCGAAATATAATAGGCCAAATATTTATCCTCTGAGCTGTGAAGTTCTATGGTTCTAAGCCGAGGTGCACTGCAAATTCCTCTTATTTCAAAGATGCTTTTAGCCCCACACAAACCAGAGTTGCAAATTAGGCATATGTATACATATAATAAATACACAAATAAATGAGGCCAGGATATTGATAGCATGACGACTTGTCAGGGGGGTCCAACCGGTAGCCTGTGGGCCACATCTGCCCCCCCCATATCCCCCCCACCACCCTCCAGTTCATCTGGCCCAACCACTCCCTCCATAACCCATAAATGTTATGTTATGTTTCTGAAAGGGAAACACCAAGGTATTGCTTGTGTGGCCCACAGAGGTTTCTCAAATAGGGAATCCAGCCCTCAGCAGCCAAAAGGTTGGACCACCTTGACAGTGGCAGTGACAAGTTATCAGACGTTTACCGTGTGTTAGCACCTGTCACGTAAGATGAATGTCTCCAAGACCTTCACAAATATGAGCAGGACTCCATGAGCGAGGAGAAAGCAGTGAGCATTACGAGAATGATCTAGAGCGAAGCCACACAGTTTCCCAGTGTGAAGTCTAGTTCACGATTGTGTGGAAATTACTTTGAGATGACAGATGTACAGTGTACGCAGTGGGTGACACCAGGTTCCGCTGACTCACTGCCTATGAACCTCCTTTATGCATAATGATGGCTGAGTCAGCAGAATCCATTACATCGAGGCAGTTTCTTTGACTGATGTAAAGGCAACTGCTGGACGCTCTTCAGTTCAGTAAATTACATTGAATTCATCTTGTAGATAAATACACGCACTCTCAATTCTATTTTTAATGTGTTCTCTGTTGGTGAAGCCGATGCTGTTTATTTCAGTTCATATGTTTCCTAATGTTCTGCCACGCCTGGCCTCCTTGTTTAGCATCTTGGCTCAGTTGCTAGCACTCTCTGAACCAGAAGGCTGTGGGTTCAAACTCCACGTCAGGACTTGAGCTCAAAATATGCGACTGACACTTTAATACACTACTGCACTGGGGTCAGGGAATCTTCCCACTCAGCTCTCATTAACCCTGCAAGCCAAAGCCCTGTCGGGGAGGGTTGTCCCAGCTGGACAAGCAGTGGGAAAGCTTGCCAGACAATTGCTGTCAAAGACAAGCTATGCGGTGTTAGCAGGTTAGACTCCAGCAGTTACCCCAACACACACTTTGGGGTCTCCAAACCTGAGCTCTTGCCAACCTGCGCCTAATACTTTCTAGAATTAGGAGCAAGATGTGTCCCTCCAGCGAGAGAGTGAGCATTCTATTCCAACAATCTGTCTCTGGGATTTCCATGTGTAGGTGGGATGCCTGGAAACCTCAGTTTGGTTTGGATACTCTTAAGTCTAGTGATGGGATTTCACATGTCAGACACCCAGCTGACCCAAAAACATGAAGCACTGCATTGTCAGAGGTGCGTCCTTCAGATGAGACTTTAAATAGCATGCTAAAGCATTACCCTAGATGAAGTATGCTATATCAATGCAAGTTGTTGTTGCTGTTGTGAACTGAAGTCCCATTGGCTTGTTTGACTGATGGGTATTAAAGATCTTGCAGCATCATTTGAGATGAGAAGAGAGTTCTTCCCAGAGTCCTATCTACCAAAACTCTAGACTAACTTATCATTCATCTCAAAGCTGTTTGTGGGAACCTTTCCATGAGCAAAATGGCAAATATTTGCCGGCCAAAGCAACAAAAAAAAATTACATTTATATAGTGCCTTTCATGTCGGAAGGATATCCCAAAGCGCTGACAGTAATGGGTTTGCATCTGAGCTGGGGGTTGGAATCAAGAGGGTGGAGGATAAGGACTGGGAAGATGACCAAAGGCACGTTCAAAGAGGAAGATCTTGAGATGAACCTTGAAGGAAGCGAGGGAGGGGGCGAGATGGAAGGATTTGGGGTTTGAGTTCCAGAGAGTGAGGGTAGAAACACTGAAGACTGGTCCACAATGGTGTGGCAGACAGAGCGGGGCACATAGAGCAGGCCAGTACCCGCCAAACGGATGGAGCGGGCATGTTGGTATGGTGTAGTATGGCTTTAAAAGTGAGGATGATGATTTTAAACTTGATCCTCTGGGGGATGGGGAGCCAATGGAGTTGGGAAAAGATGGGGGTGATCGGTTCACCAAGCTTGTAGCGGGAGAGGAGATGAGTTGCAGAGTTCTGGATAAAAACAGCTAGCACTCTTAACAATAAATACTGTTAAAAGCACTTTCAGGCATTTCAAAGGAACAAGGTGCTACAAACAATGTAAGGTCATTCTTTCTAAATAATGTTATGAGATGAGAAAGATTGGTTTACATGAAGGATTGGCTTGGCTCATTTGATCTCATCCCCACATTACCATCTTCCCGTTATAAATAAATAAATATAAATATAAATAAATGCAATAAACCTCCCGACTTGAAAGGCACTTTATAAATGTACATTTGTATTGTACTGCATTGTATTACTAGCCTCTTTGTAAATAAAATTTTCCTTGTTCTGTTCTAAATTGCCCCTCACAACCCTGAACCTGTGCCGTCTTGTCCTGTTATCTTGGAAGGTATTGTTTAGTTTTTATACTTTTTGTCCACAAAATACAGTCAATCCACTTTATAGTATATTCTGTGAAGCACTTTGAGACGTCTCAGCGACATGATAAGACGCTATATCAAACGCAAGGATTATTACTATTACTATTATTATTATATTAAGAATACAAGATTAGAATTGTTGTCATTATTAAATAGAGTTACTCAGAACATTATAGCATACAAATGAGCTATTTGGTCCAATTACTCCGTGTAGGTGTTTATATTCCAAATGTAAAGGTTTTGTAATAACTGGAAATAATCTTTGTATTTGATATAGCACCTTTCACAAAGCGCTTCACAGGATTTATTGTAAAGTGTAGTGACTGCATTTTGCAGACAAAACAGAATTTGATGCACCTCCTCTCCCCTCTATCTGACCTCAGCCTTCCAGAACCCCCACCCCCACCCGTCACCTCATCATAGCACCAAATGCTTTTTAAATGAGTTCATTTTTCATTCGAAGAAAATGTAACTAATCCTCCTCTCCTGTTGGTTTCTTCTCTTTCTCTTCCCAAGCCTCTTCAACAACAACAACAACAAGATTCCATTTATGGAGCGCCTTTCACATCGGGAGGTCGTCCCAAGGCGCTGTACAGTTGGGTCAGGACCCGAGCAGGGGGGAAATGGTCAG